GATGTTGGGCTTGCTGGGGAATATTCAGCCTCATTGCAGGAGCCAGAGTTTGCAAATCGCCGGGAGGAGTACAATCACGAAGCTGGTTGGTGTAGCGATAGACCGATGAAAAATAGATTAGAAGTTTTCGTGGGTCTCGATTCAGAATATGTTCGAATTTATGTCAATAGTAAACCTTCCAAGGACGATAAGTATTTTGTAGGAGTGTCTTTTTGACACACCCAGGGTGAATAATGTTTCCAGGAATCGAATGCTTAAGATAGATTGATCGGTGGGTTCTGTATCCATCTCCGTTCGAATCTTTCTGAGGGAGCAGTATACTCGTAGCGTACATGGCACCCATGTAAGGAGCATATTTCATACAATCACGCGATTGTGTAGGATCCGCAGCATTACAACAGGGTCGTGTGAAACGCTTTACTGTTGATAAGAAAAGCCAGTGGCATTGTTGCTATGGAACATAACATAAAAGAAAAGAAAGGAAAAGAAACAAACTGCTTTTCCCTTGATAGGGTGTTACCTTCCCTTCCGTTGTTTACTTGCACCCCCCCGTTTTCCTCGTGTACACTTGTCGCACTCCATGTCATCTATCACATACTGTCAAGTTGTTGCACTCCACTTCTTCCATAATCCATTCGTTTTATCAATTATTTGTTCGTGGATATGGTGTAGACTAGTTTAGTGAACTTGTAACCATCATCCCAGAGATACCAAATGCAATCCATCAGAGAAGATTTGATATGGTATGCTGTTTACTCTGCAATATATGTATCCCTTGCTCTAAAAAGCATCGGGCAGGCGCAATCTATGAAAGAACAATCCTGGTAGTTGGTGACTCTTCGTATGCCTTGTGGTATACGTACTCTACGTAGAACACTGGCTCATGATATGTGATGATTCTCAGGTACTATACACCATTTAGCTTAGATATATACGACACCTTATGACATATATTCCATTGTGGAGATACTAAGTCTTTCATCATATTTGATTCCCTACTATTTGACATGATAAGTCTTCAGGTACTATACAATACTTAGACCATTTGACTCAAAAACATAGGATACGTTATGACTTAGTTTCCATTTTGAAGATATTGGGACTAGCTCTAACATTCCATCCCCCCGTAATAGCCGATGGTATTTTCCTATCCTTTTTGCTTGATAGGAATTGAAACCATATTTCTCATCTATCGTTCTTGGATTAAAATTTTTTTATAGCCAATGCAGCATGGCGAGAGAACCGACATCAACGAAGTGTTCAACTCCACCCGTAAGCACCTCCATGCACATATCACATTGTGTGGCTATGGATCATGGCAGCATGAGACTACGAGTCCATGTAAGGCAGTCACTGTCGGGGAGAATCTCTCCAGCCAGGACACACTGCTCTGCTTCCACACGTAAATTTGTGGAGTTACATGGGACCTAAAGTCTGCTTCATCGTGAATTTACCAGGAGTTCTGGGGTAGCTCTTAAAGGCTTACTTGCATTTCCACACAAGGGTTTTTGGATAGATGCTTAAACTATTCGGAGATTTTTAAGAAGGCGACCAGTAAAATTTTCGGAAAAGAGACTTAATATCCAGAAATTGACTCCATTTTTCACCATTTTTACAATGTTTCAAGTTGGGAGATTTTGGGATTTTCCCATAGAATTGTTTATAGATGTTTACACGATTCAGCACTAAAATGGTTATGTGAACATGAAAACTTTTTTGACTCTGCTGATGAGTTGGCCAAGAGTAAATAATAATTCATGTTCACAATGCTCATAATTATGACTTTAAAGATCATACTTTAGAATAAGAAATCATAACAGTTCATACCAAGTTGAATACAACACCTTGTTGACGTACACATATGAATACAAAATTGAGTATTTTTTACATTCTTGATAATCATAGATGACAACATAGATATATTTAAGGTTGGGATACTATATGATAATGCTTAAATACATGATATTCAAGTATTACGTACTGTAAATCATTTAGAATACATCAAAGCAATTACTGTTCTTCCTTCATAAACACTTAGATATTTTGTGAATCATTCAAGTTAGTCTTTATTAGCCAGGATATATAGCAAAGTTTTACTTTTGTTATTGTACTGGTCAAAGATATGTAAAAATATCTGTAATCATGCAAAGAAAAAGAAATATGAAACTTCTTACATGAAAAATTCACGCATTTGTACGTTGAATTAATTATGTTAATATTTTTATTTAATGATTAACATACAAAAGAGATGAAGAGATAAGAGAGATCACTCTGAAATACTCTAATAAATAAAATAAATATTTAATACATAAATATAGAGATCTATTTATAGAACAAACAGAAAGCTTGAAATAGATTTTGTTAGCTATTATCTGGAATAAATATATCAACATTTTTAAGCTCATATTATATGGTTGATATATATCTATCTTCTGCAATATTGCTCATGTGTCATAGCTACATCAATCAATTTTTTGATGACACGAGCAATTTTATTTAGAGTGTAGATATATTTGAAATCTCTCTTATCTACCTCTCTAATTTATAAAACATATATCTATGTCAGTTTATGTCAATTTCTATGAACAATTTCTTCAAGGTCCTTTTGTCCAACAAACAAGTTTGAAATTCTAACAGTACCTGTATCATAGATCTAGTTACTAGCTTCTTATTTGAACTCTTATATGATTATTTTTGCCTTGATGAATGCATATTACATAGAGTTTGGTGATATGGAGTGTCAAACTTCTTTAACTTAACTTGCAATCTCAAGGACATGGAACATCGAGATGTTTTTTGTTTCACTTTTTTGACATTGCATCTAAAGCAGCACCAATTAGAAACTGTATTATTTAAAGATTGTGGTTTTGGCTAAATTTACATAATTCGCTTAAATTCAACTTACATATCTAGTTGGATTCTACTGTATACCATATAAATTAAAATTTTAGTTTATAAGTTTTTAGAATAAAAGATAAGTTTGAACTTTTTTGTGTGATATTTTTTAAATTTCTCATATTTATTAAAAATTTTATTTTGTCTGATATTATTAATCTTCAAAATAATTAAAAGGTACATATTTAAAAGATATCTATTTAAAATATATAGAATAAAAAATCAAAGAGTAGTGTTTTTTAATGTTAGTTTCTCATCGTTAAAATTGCTTTCAATGAATTGATGCAAAATTTTTCAATTCTAAGAAATATTAATTTTTTTGAGAAAAATTATCTTTCTATAGGCCAAAAAAGTAAAAGATTACAATTGTTTTAATCCAATAATTGATTTTTCTTAGATAGTGCATCTAATTCTTTTTTGGTAAAAAATAAATTTTTAAGAGAAAAAAATATCTAATTGTAGTCGTGAGTTTAATATTTAATTAGATAAATTATATCAAACCAATTATTGAGCAAGTTTTTCCTCATTTTAAAAAAAATAAAATTTGAAGGAAAAATTTTATTATTTTAAGAAATAAAATTAAAATCATAAGTCCAAATAAAATGTAAATTTTTGTACATAAATTTTTAAGATAAATTTAATTTTAGAATTCATTTATTTTTTATAACATAGAAGAAATATATAATACAAGTAATGTTGCTTAATAATTCTTGCTTTTCAATAATTGCGCTTAATTGCTCTGGTTAACGTGCAACTGAAAGTAATATGGACAGGTCCGGGAGTTCTGCGGATGAATTCACGATGTGATGCATCTTTCTGATCTTCTATGCAAGTGATTTCCATAGTAGACTTGTTGATCTCACTGGTACGGAAGGTCTTGAACATTTGTGAGTTTAGTACTCACGGGTGGAGGTAGTTAGTCCGTCAGCTCGAGCTTCCAGGAGTTTGATGTGGGACTTTGTTCCTTGAAAATAATTTCAAGTCGATAACAAAATGAATGTGTGACGCATAGAAAACGGGAAGAGCTCAGAGACACTCTCCAAAAATCATCGATAGATCAACTTCCCCGCAGACGACGTAATATTGCAGGCATCGGGTTTCAGGAACAGTTACTTTGGAATTGCAATCACTCGGCGATAGTGTGATGAGCAGGTAGGGAGAGCGGAGGTCACTACTCCACACTATGTCAGCAGCATTGGCATAAAGTTACATGGATGATGGTGTGACTTCACTTGAGGTAAAACCATACTTGATGAACTTGAGACTCTATGGAGACATCCTTGTTGAATATAAACTGGTGGAGGGCCGCGCGAACGCGAGCCCTCCGCTGCCACAAATTATGACGTGCATTTTCCCCTTGGGGAAATGCTACGACTTGCCCGGCCGTAGTGCAATGGCGAAGCTCGTCATAGGTCATCGCCCTTCCGGATCAGCGATAGGCCCCGCCCAGGTAAGTATGCACCTCTCTCTTCCGACCTGCAACTCATTGTTCCCAAGATGTAACCTTCTGCTCATAGTGTATGGTTTCTATCGAATCTATAGGCATAAAGTTACAACAACTTTGTTGAGAACATGCGTGATGGTGTGACGTCACTTGAGGTAAAATACTTGTTGGGTCCCATAAAGATATATTTGTTGCGAAAGGGACCATCAAGTAATTTTCTTGGAATAATCTGCTAAATTATCTATCTTCATTTAAATAATCTTCTTTGCCCAAGTTAAGTTCTTGGAGTTCTTCCTTGGCAACAGGTTACATGAAACATTCTCAATAACAAGTGGATCATGGTTCTAGAAGAGAAAAATCCAAAATCGAAAAATACAACTGATTACAATGGAGATAACAAAAGTTAAGATAATTTTTCAGAATGGATCTTCTTTTATTACGTTAATTATAAAATCACTATAACGTACAGAGATTTAGGCTCAATAGTAATTATTAATTTTCCAAAGAAACAAGTCGGGTAGTAGGGATATGGGGGCGTATGGAGAAGAAGACAAGAAAAAACCATGGCCCAAATTGCGAGGCGAAGACGAAGCAAAGATGAAAGGGAAATAAAGAGCAACCCACGCCCAGATTCAGATGATGTAACTTTCATCCGGATACCGAAAGGATTCCGCAGATTCTCCTTCGGATGCTCCAGTCCTTCAACGCCGGGGTTGTAATTAAGAGAAGTGCTCTTGATTTGGCAGTGCACACTTGTTACCCTCAAGCCTTTTGTTCCGTGCTCATCTGGAAGTTCATCGAAGACATGTCTTTGAGATCGAGTCGTCATAAATTCGACTCGATAGAATTTCGGAGGGAGGAATCCGAATTGTGCATCTATTCTGTGAGTCGGCGCTCTTGACGCCGGGCTTCTGCCACCTTTTGAGAACAAGAAATTGTGATGAATTGCAATAAGCAACCCGCCAGCTCAAGTGTAATTGCCAACTTGAGCCAGGTGGTGTAATGATATTCATCTACTGATTGTTGCTAAGATTGTCGCTGGATTAGAGTGAAATGGCGGAAACGGAGAAAACTTCGGAAATTGTCGGAGTCCAACAGCTGCTGCGCACTTTTCTTGATACACAGCATCGTCGTGCTTCTGCCTACAGTCTTTGGCACAAGTGAGTGAATTTCTGAAACATTTGGAGTCGTCGAAGCATTTTGTTGTTTGGTGGTAGGCCGTGCTTCTCGAATCTCGATGAGCCTTTCCTAAGTTAGAAATTAGCTCTGAGTTCTTACTGTTCAACAGGTTCAGTGCACACATTCAAGTGTCAAAATGATGAAGGCGCCTCTGGCATTTGATTCATGAGTCCCGCTGTATGTAGTCTGGAGTATAGTTTCTCAACGTTTGACGTAATTGTCACAAAATTTTCTTATTCTATGGGATATTCTGTTGTTTATAATTTCTTTACTGTCAAGTCGAAGGGCTCGCACAAAGTTCGAAATCAGAGGATACCCTAAACCCTTGACACCCATTATTTCGAACAAATACAATGTGACTCAAGAGTTCTCGCGACGGAAGTGTTATTGGGCCTCAGGATGCCATGAACGAAGAATGCTATGCTCGGATGTTGCATTGCCGTTGTTCTCACCTAGTAGGGAATTGCCATATCAATGTAGCAGATTACAAGGTGTGTCTTATAGCTCGTAGTGAGTTGCAGTTGGTAAAATTGAGTCACTGCTGGAAGTTCTGACTCTTACAGATATCCTTGTCTGACAGAGGCTTTACAGAGTACATGAAGGCAAGCTCAGACGATGCATTCAATAAGCTTTGCGGTCAAGTCACCGTTGAGTTCAGTGAGTGTTCAAAGCAGGTAGAGGCAATTTGTCATCTTTTCCGCAATTGGAAGTTTTCTGTATGGATCTGTCTGTCCGTCTGAAAGGAATAAAACCATGTATCGAATAAAACCATGTTCAATTGTGGTTATGAATGTGAGAAGGCTAAGGTTAACAATGTTATCTGAATTTGAGTGTCAGGCTAAAATGTTGAGTTCTTCGTATGGAATTTGAAACCATAGTTGACCCTTTTAGGTATCGCATTATCCTCTTTGGTCCTCATATCCGCCCTGGGTTATCTTGGACTTCCGTGATTCAGCCAAGTTATTCATACAAAGATTTATTGACTTTTACAGGTGAAAGACACAATAGTTCGTCTCAAGGATGCAAGTCTTGCCCGTGAAGATCTAGCATCAGTGCTCGAAGCTGTCCAGATTCAGGAAAGCCGAAAGCTCCAAATGGTTAGTCATTACCTACTCACAGCGAGCTAGCAGTCACCTCTGCGGAAAAGATTTGTACCCGTCTTCCATTACACTGTCTTCGGCTGCTTTGTTTTTTGTGTGCCAAAGCCTAGAGAGTAGTGTACCTGTAAATTGTTGAAAGTGTGTGTTCAGTACTGACGTGGTACGAACGGCTTTCGTTATTTGTCAAACAGACTAGTGTGCTTCAGGTGTTAAGGAAGGCAGGAAAGCCATCGGAGCGAGCGAGTATGGCTGAGCATAAGCACGAGTCGACAAAGGGTTGTTCTCATGCTTGTTCTCATGGTTCAGATGACGAAATCGGGGGTTTGGAAATGGCTCAATTAGATGCCGAGTTTGAGGCAGCTGTCAAGGAAGCCACTGGAGCTGTGCAGGATGCAACACTTGCGATCAACGAGCACATGGAGGAAATAAGATACGAGATCGAGGATTTGGGAGAAACGCAGTCAGAAGATGCGTAGCATAGATTTACTGGACTGAATCTAATCTGAGTCAGCCTTTTGATGGCAAGGTAATGTGCACTTTTTTGCAGACACCCACTGTATATGATACTCCTCACTTAAACCTACCAGGAAAGCTTCCTGCAATTTTATTCATGTTTCCTTTTACACGAGAAGCTATAATAAAGGAACCTTCAACTCGGACTGCGCTTCCCGATCTTCGAAGTTATCTCCTTTGTTCGAAAGTACTCACTGCCATATTGATGGGTCATTCTGTTGAGCCGCATTACTGTGTTGCACTCAACAATTTGCTTCTAAATTAAGAAATCTAGAGAATGACAGGAAATGTTACATGAAGGTAAGGTCGAACAGTCGCAGAAACTTTATCTCAATTGACTGTAGGCTGCTTGCTGGTAAGACAAGACCCGAAGTACTATTGCATATGATGTGACACTTGAAGTCAGAAAACCAAATGTTATCTGCATGTTTTTACAGCCTTCTTTAAAATTAACCAATAATATGATTGCCGAAATTTCTTGAAGGCTATATAAGTCTATGTGCAGCCTCACTGTACACTTACAAAGAAGGGTAGATGAATTTTACCCTGGACATGTACGACTTTTATACGATTTTATACGCTGAAACAGTCATTTATATGAAGGTGACAGTAGAAGAGGAAGTTGTTGTGATTGCATTGAGGTCAGAAGCTCTTTTTTCAGAGGATTCAACGAAGACGGTGTGAAGGAATTTACTGGGATTGTGAGAGGCTGTCTTTCGACTTTAGGAAATTATCTCATAACCTCAGGGCTGCTATTCTGGAACGCAACAATTTTCTTGAACGATCAGCTACTTCGACCCTGCAGCGAAGCAGTGGAGATATGTTTTGGAGGAAGCATTTTGTGTCGTAAGCTGACGATACTTATCGGACCGATGGGTTACGAATTTGTACAGGCCCTATTTCCTCCTCAACGACGTATGCAGCTTGAAACTTGGTGCTATAAGTTATTTATTTACCGGAGATGATATAGCGCTCCTCATAACATGAAAAGTTCCCCAATGGACCCTCTCGTGCTAACCGCGTCGCTGGGTCAACTCTCGCAACGCAACACACCCAGGTTAAGAAACCTACACGCATCTGTTGTGCAGAAAAGGGAGGGGTGTGGGAGGCAGAGGTTTGAGCACTGACTACTCTAAGAATTTAGATAAGTGTGTGTCTATGTTGTAGCAAAGTACGACGATATACTTATCTAAAATGTAAACCTTTGACGAAAAGAAAGGCCGTGAAGTATAAATTCTTCTCCCTCGTTTGATGAACTAAACTGTTGTTAGAACAATGAACTGCTGTCTAAACGTGGTCAATTAAGAAAGATGGACAAACTGAGGATAGAAAGTTGTACCAAACATGAGAGTAAGCGACTCTACTGTTGGCGTTGTTTGGCTACTGTTGTCTATCTCAATTCCGTACGAAGGGCTTTCTCCTGACTGCCACACAGCTTAAGAACCGGACATTTTCTCGTATTCGGTTTTCGCTGACGACTTTCTCCATACCTTTCATTCAGAGAGGTACCATGACAAGATTCTCAAATGAATAGAATACCCCTCAGTTACTGGAATTACCATAGCGGCTGTAGAGGACAAACTATATCACGTAAAAAGGAAAGAGATGGCCCCAGAAGTCAATGTCGCTGTACATACGACCCAATTCATCAGACTGCCGAAGACGAGACGCTAAAGAAGTGAAGAAGAGCGATCAACTTTATTTACATTTATCAGAAATAAAACTGTTACACATTGGTCCAGAACCGTCTCAATATTTAAAAAATTTGTCGAGGATCCATTTTATGGAGGCACGAGCTCATATGAAGGGGCACTCTGATCCATAACTTGCCCGCTTGTGCTTCAGACCACGTAGTACATAAGGTCGTGAGGCCGATGTGCTTCGATGGCAGCTGCTGCAGAGCAGTGCCGGATCGTCCAACTTTTATTCGGCTGAATCCTTTCAGCGCTCAACGTAAAACCCTCTCAGCTACCTCCACATTTGTGGAAAATCGTACAAAACCCTCGACACCATTTCTATGTGGCAAAAATGGCTCGGCGAACCAGCCTCACTCGACGCAAGCCGCTGGTCCGAAAAGAATGAATGGTCCCCGCTCGCACCTGCACGCACAACCTCACGTTCTGCAAATGAAGCAGCCAGGCAACATTTTCCTCACGGCAACTATCTACCTTTGTCTCGGCCGATCGGTCCCACGACCCACTGCAGCAGCAGCTCAAGTCTCTTTCTTACAAGGGCCCTGGCTCCCGAATCTCACGTACACGTCTGCGCCCGACGGCGGACCGGCCCCCACGCTCGGCGAGCACCGGTCGCCATCATCATCTTCATCATCCTTGTCCTCGTGCTTTTCCTCAATGTACAAAGCCTCGAGCTCACTTGGCGTCGGTCGGTGTGCAGAGCACGGAGTCCGGAGACCCGGGAGACAGCAATGGCTTCCTCTCGTCGGTCGACTCCACGTTGCCGCTCGGGACTCGGATGGGCGAGGGCGCCGAGTTTCGCACCGCCACGTAGAAGCTGGCGTACATGTTCACTCGATCCATGTACGATTCGCTCGTTTGAATTCGAGTCACTGGTCCACAAGCCCACGCAGATTTCGGTCAGCGTTGCCGTTCGAGCTCATCCTGACAGGAATTCGAAAAGCGAACGAGCCCTTAGGAACGCATTTCGATCTTACCTTTGAAGCCGGCCTTCTCGATGCACTTGGCGTAGCCCGGACGCCTGGATGCGCTTCTCCAGATCACACGGCCGCCAGGCTGCGATTCACACATTTCAGATTAGATCGGATCAAGCGCTGTGAGATTGCACCGATGATTCCTGAAGCAGCAGGAGGAGCGCATGCTTGTGATGGGAGATGCCACTCACTCTGACTTGGTCCCTCAGCGCATCGCACAGAGTGTCGATGTCGGGCTGCTCCAACCAGTCGACGTGGTCCATCAAGATGACCTGCGCAGCCAATCGATGGCCGAGTCAGTGCAAAGCGTTCAGACTGCTCGCAAAATGTGACGCAATTACAATCTCAACTGCTGCTTGGCTGCTCTCTCATGTGAACGATCGGCTTCTAATATACGACACTTCATCTGGGCTCTTCTTCTTCACTCACCTTGGAGTAAGTGCGCTTCCTCAATTCGCCAACGAATGTTCCGGTTCGAATGAGAAGTCGCTCCCCTCTTGCCAATTCGTCCTGCAAATACATGTGGGTCGGTAGCGTGAGGTCCGAGCATCGGTGTTACCGATCTGACACAAAGGGCATGGTGAAATAGAACGTGAAATCGCGCTGGCCGGTACCTTCAGCTGGTAGAACGGCCCTTGTTCGAGGAAGCGAGGACAGCACTGCCTCGAAAATCTGCCCGTCAGGCAGCATCGGTAGAAGTAATTGCTGCGGATGGGAGATGGAAACTGACACGTGAGCAAAGGAGATAGTGGAGATAGTCTCGCCGGTGTTGAGGAAACGAGTTCATTCCATGTGCAATTCCAAAATCCCAAAATCATCGAGGTGGTGGCATAATAAGCACTCGACAAGGGTTCACTGGGCGGAAAAGTCTCTTACCTATCCCGAAGGTGAGAGTACTCGGCGGTCGAGTTCAAGCAGCGCACAATGTAACTGCATGCCGAATAAGAACGGGAGATATGAGCTCCATTCCTAACGAGAATAATCTCACCCAAGACGACTGCGAATTCCTATTTGCTCTCATGTCATCCATCATTCCCTGGAAAGCTACGGCTCATTGCTAGGCCATTCTCGAGTTCACATGTTCGTGGCCTGCGTTCGAGAGTTGATGAGTGGCACCGAGAGTAGGAATCATTTTCGTAACCGGAGAGAGAAACTTACTCGTATATGTTATCCTCCTTGCGTATCAAGCTAAGTTGCCCCTTGCAGACTCCGGCGCAGAACCACAAAACAAGTCGGTTTGTGACGAGGAATGAAGAGATCCTGGTGAAAATATTTGCCTGCCTTAACCACTTGCCCACCGTAGCGAACCTACAAAGTCAGACGAGGGATTTCAGTCGCGGCGCTGGAAGCTGTGGTTGCATGGAACGACCACGAGGTCCACGACGACAGATCGTGGTCAGCTGGCCATAATGAGCGATGAGTCATCCTGTGACATCTCACCACAACACTCCAGAGACTGATTTCGAATCAAACGATCCATACCATAATTCCTTTTGCTTCTCCAAAGTCGGCGCGTTGACGAGGCAGTCCACCCAGTGCTCCTGCAGAGGACGGCGGGAATCCATGAGCTTCCGACAGAATCGATTTTCGAGAATTCCGCAGGTAAGCAGCTGATTGAATACGAAGAAGTTCCAGTGGACGTTTTGCAGGCTTACCTGCCGTGTCACCTTCGCCAGAATTTTCACAGCTCGCAGAAGACGTCCCATGCCACCTGCAGGCGCAGAAGAAACGACTCAAAACCCAATCGCACCTGACGGCATGAATGCGCGAATGGCCAGACGAAACATACAGTACAACAAAATGCACGGAGCCGACCAAGAATACAACTGCACTTCAGGGTACTGTGAGTGGAAGAAATATGGAAATATGGATTCTCACCGTGATAATACAGTCCATTCTTGAAGTAATAAGACTTTTGGTACCTGGAGACCAGACACGACGAATTCAGATCAGTCTCAGCGCCCGTCATGCGTTTGTTGATCCAGAAATCCAAATCATGGGAAACCGGCACCACGTCGATTACCAGAAATTCGCCGCTCCTTGACTCAGGAAAGGGGCGATTTCTCTGTCAAGAAGTTGCTCGAATTTGGGATGGACACCGTCGCCAAACATCTTCCACACGTCCTCGAAAGGCAATCTGTCAATTGCACAAAACCATCCAGCCCTGATGAGAACTCGGCCAGCACGACAGAGAGCTGTAAAACAGATACCACGGCGTGTACGAAGGCCAACCCGGCGCCTCTCTTTCATGATGGTCACTCACCGGAGAACGGCTGCTCGTTTGAGCTCGAGGAGATAACTCTGGGCAGGGTTGATGTCGACTGCCACAACCTGTCCTGCACCCTGAAGTTCAGACAGACGACGCGAGAAGGCGTTCGTTAGCGCCAAAGGCCGAAAGTCGGATCCTGTCGGTGTTCAGCACAGCAAACGGGATCTCCGTGAGAGAAGCGCTCGACAATAGCAACGAGCTTGCAATCCTTGCGCGCACGTACCTGGTACACAAGATCCAAGGCATTGCAGCCTCCGGATGTGAGCGTGAGGACGGTGTCGCTGGGGTTGATCTCCAGAACTTTGTCATCTTCGCGGGGGTCTTCCCACGACAACGAGTAGAGGAACGTCGGCGGGAAAGTCGGAGGCCTTTTGGCTTCGAATTCGTCGGATGCTCTCGCAGGAAAGCGCTGCAAGTTGACCTCTGCAATGCGAGTTCGAAACAGTCAGGTTCAAATTTGTCAAGCCCAGCGCGATTGACCTTCATCGATCACACATCCGCTGAATACGAGAAATTCGAGCTGAGTGATGATGAGTACAGAATTTCGTCAAAGATCGTCGGCAGAGACAGAGGAGAGGATCAGGGAGTTCAGGGGCTTACTGTCACACTTGATCGGGCGACCAATCCAGATGTAGTACGGGGCCTGAAAGTATGGTACATAAGGGATCTTTCCTCGGGCGTTGAACTCGAAGACTGCAAGAACAAAACACGTCCATTAGATCTTCGCCCGAGTTGCATCCCGCTCATTCACCACCGTCGTGTGGACATACTACAAATCCTGATCCAGGGACACGAAGGCTTGAGCAGCTCCTGTCGGGGGAGAACTGGTGGAAACATCGATGAGCAGGCATGTGTGAGATCCGGAGCGCACGTACCAGGCGCAAGTTTGTGCTCGAGATACTGGCGCCTCTCGGGCCCGACGTCGATCCCGTCGCAGTCAAAGACAGTCCTCCAGAACCATCTTTGAGCGTACGAATGTTGTCGATTCGGCAAATCGTATTTGGCAGAAGTGAAGAAATCCGCTATGCCAACCATTCCATCATCTGCCAAGTATGATGTCGACTGGTCCACGGCGTCCATGAAGGTTGGAATCACTGCGAGTAATAAATGAAGCAGATTTTCAGAACCATCGTCGATGCAAATATTCGCGTGCATGGCCTACAAGACGAGGCTCCGCATAGCCGTCAGAAAGCGTTTGTGGGAGGAAGTGGATCGGAAGATTACTTGAGAGAGAGTAGGAGAAGGTGACGAGGGTGGCTTGCTTCGTCGGCTTGAATGTGCACGCATCTCCCTCCACGATTTCGACGTTGCTCCATCCTTTGCGCCGGACTTTCTCGCGAGCGACTTTGCACAGAGCAGCGCACATGTCCACCACGTAGATTTTGTCGAATGACGCGAGATCTATGAGCTGAGCCATCATGTCGACATTCTCCGCTGTTCCGCCTCCCAAATCAACCCAGATCATGCCCGTCGAGCCGCGCAGCCTCGCGGCGCAGGCTGCCAGCAGCGGCTGTCGTCCGTGCAAAAAATTGGCCCGGAACCTGTCATCTGGCAGCGCACGAGGGAGTGAGGAGTAGGTCCAAAGATCCACATAAAATTCTTACCACACACGACCTGGGAGATTGGGAAAATGGCTAGCGGCCGAGGAATTTCAGGAGGGCGAGGGGATTTGAGACAAAAAATTCGGTGCTCGGGAGCAGTCAAAGCGCAGGCGTATATCTTACAAGCTTCTGCCTGAGGACGGTAAAACTCCTCCAGGCGCTCTTTGTGCGAGCCGCCGTTGATTTTCTTGAGCCACATTGACGAGAGGCACTGCAGATCCATGTAATATCCCTTCACGGACTCCATGACCATTTTCGGAGCTCCGGTTGCAAGTCCTGCAATTAAGCTGCCTCTTCGCGGAGGGGAGGAGAGGAGAGGAGAAGAGAGGAGAGGCGATGTGTGAATCGCCGCCCCTATGCAGCCCACAGCATCAACCGGACATTGACATTCGGATGCCGGCCCGCCCGCCCGCTTCCCAAGTTTCCTTGCTTCCTTCTCTCTGAAATTCCTTCCTTCTCTGCTGCCGCTGCTCTTCAGCAGTCCCAGCACCGCGCAGCAGCCTCACCCAGAGCAGAGCAGAGCAGAGAAAAGCAAAGCGAACGATCTCGCAGAGACAGCGCAGCGAGCACTACTAGACCTTCCGCGCTCGCTCGCAGCTGCTGCTGCTTCACCTGCTCGCGAGCTAGCACTGTTCTTCCCCAGTGACGAGACGCGACGAGATTGCGCTCAACTGGTTGAGCTCAAGCAGAGCAGGGCAATGACGAAATGCGAGCTGGGGCGAATAGGAATGCGATCATGAACCGAGCGTGCGTGCAGCGACCCACTGCAGTAATGTGCGCAGCCGTGGTGATGCCGAGTGGTAATTGTAGCAATGGTAGATGAGTCTCGTAGTGGTAATGAGAGAGGAGAGCACCAGGAAAACCAACAGCGCAGAGAGTCGAGAATCTCTCTCTCCTGCTGCTCTCGCTGGACGCCAAGACCAACGCGAGTACTGAGAACTGAGACAGGATGAGAGAGCTGGAGACAGAGCAAACTGTAAACAGACGGACGGACAATTGGAGGTGCGTTGGACCTGCTTTCATATACCAGGAGCTGCAGCCACAGCCACGACCAGCAGCCCCCTCCCTCTCTCTGTATCTCTGCGCCTATTTTTTCCATGCGTATCCCGCTCGGACCTGGCCCGCCATTCCCGACATCGTCGCGTTTCGGATCGAGTCCTTAGACCTGGCGACCGTACCTTAGCTTACCTTACGAGCTTCGACGTCGACCGCCTGCAAACTTACGCAGTGCTGCTTTTAGCGTCACAACTCGAATGCACTTCCAATGCTGCCACGTGAAGCATCGAACGGTCGGTCCTACAGCGAGAGCGATCCCGGCCTTTGTCTGACTCCCTGTAAAAAATGAAAAAGTAAAACTCCGTTGCTTGGATCAGTCTGAACGACGCGAATGAGAAGGTATATATGATTGTGCGATGATGTCCAGTTAGAGGAGATCTTCATTCGCTGACGGTTGGAGCCATCCACGTTTTGTTTAATTGGGAATCTGAACGCTCCCCTCTAACCGTGGACGTCCAAGGGGTCCTATGCTGATCGAGATGGTAAGTGGTGATCCTTAGCATTTCCATTGCAGGGCGGAATTTGGAGTTCACGCTTGAAATTATTGGTGTCTGTCTCTCACTCTGAATGGTTCGATTAATGATAACTAAGCGCCTTGTGACCGGCTTCAGACTCACGGAGCTCTACAGGTGACATTTACAAATCTTGTACTTCTTCTACTGGCCTTAAAATTTCACTTTGTGGCTCGGATTTCCACTCGGAGGTCACTGTGTGCACATTTGTTGGATCTCCTTTTTCAAACTTGTCCTGCTCCATGAGCCATACACAGAGCGTCCATAAGGAAACTCTTCGGGGATAGTGCAGATCATGTGGCAAATTTAGTCAAAACCTACCAGTATTCTAGTTCGAGGTGTCCATGCGTGGACGAGTTTCCAAACGTTTAGAAGATAGTCAAAACGTATATATATTAAAATGTATTCATTCCTCAGTAACCTCGAGACCTTAAGCTAACTACCATCCTTAGCTCTGTGAAATCTTCCAGAAACCAAGTTTTGAAAACATGACAATTTTTGAAGCCAATTTTTATGAAGAATTAAACTGCAACTTCTAGGTCAATTGCATTTATGGAAATTCTACATAAATTTTAAAAAATAAATAGATAACCTTTCGGAACTGCAGTTTCAGCTAATTTTGCTCTCACTCCATAAATCTAAGTATTGAACTTTCAACTTTTGAACAACAAGGTCTATTGCACTCATAGAGATCCTATATGCTTAAAACCCTCTATAAATGCAAGAAGGGGAGCTAGTCCCGAGGTATGAAAATATCATTTTCGTTGAAATCTAAATTCATCTCATCAGGATATAGTATCTAGGGCCCAAGTTCTCTTGTACAGAGCTGGAAGGGCAATGAATATTAAATCTATATAATGAAAAGTTTCATTGCATATCCTGCTTGTGTATAGGTTGCATGCAAAAACTTGAACTTCACATGAAACAAGACGGAGAAAAAGAAAAAGCAGCGGGTGAAAGAATGGACAGGATATAAGATAAATGCTGGTAGGGCCATCTCATCCTCAAAGACCTCTTTCGATGATTGATGGCTTCTTGAACTATTTTTTAAATATACGCTTCCCGATACCCAATATTCTACACTGCTCTTTCTCTCTTTAACCTCGTGTCCAGGTATACCCTCTTCACTGAACATCGAACGTAGCACAACAGAGTCGGACATGTCACATTAAGTAAAGCTCGTACTGTCCAAAGAAACATTTTTACGAGTAACTCTGATTAAAGACCCGGTCTTGCCAACCAATGTTATCTGGTCATGCTCTATTGGCAACATTAAAAATAAATAAAATCGAAATTCGAATTAAATCATGCAAGTCTATTGATTACGAGTGAACTTGCGAAGAGTCATGATTTTATTTCTGTTATAGTCATCGAACTGTATTTTACTTTCAGTAGAAGTTTGAACCTTGAATTTGTGACCAACACAGATTAATGTACAAATACCGTTCAGTGCAATTTATAGCCGTCCACGTAAATTTGCGGTACGATCCCCTTGATTCATAATAATATTACTCTAGTATGGCGCAACGAATGTTTGTTACGTACTGGCTTTGATATCATTCTCTTGTAATTTTTAGCTCAACTGTACCTCCAAGGGCAATACATGTGTGTTGAATCGTTTTAGAAGTTGTCGTGACTGAGAACATTATACACATTTGGGGGTGGGAGGAAGTACATCTATGAGTGATCTTAACACACGACTTTAAGGGCATGTATAATCATTGCTTGATACGTTATATTCAATATGAGTTCATCTCATTCTAGTGTAGGTCACGAGCTGTGTACAGTACTGCATTCAGGGGAATGACGTTTCACTGAAATATGAGCACCGTATCTTTGACATTGTGGAAAGAAATAAAATGCAAACGCGACAGAAGCAGGTTCGTTTGTGGTTTCTCTTTCCATTTCCTTTTCCTCCAGCAGACGAAATGATGCTCAGATGGACACTTTACCTCTAGATATTAGGGGAAAATCAGCTCCAGTATCGACAACATTTATGAGGATTCCGAATTGCTTGTCATGAAGTTGGATATTCGTTCGTCATCCCAGAATTACAGACTTTCTCCACAGTCACGCGATTTTCTCATCCGCACTCGCTTGTCTCTCGGCCGGAGGGTAAAAGTAGCCTAGTAAAACGAGAACGTAGTTGCTGTAGACCTCACCACAATCCATCCAGCATTGACATCTGTCCACGCCCCGTCTCGTCAAATCTAGCCGCTGTACGTAAGCAATGGATTGGAGCGGGGCAAAGTTTGGAGTCGCCGCGGGCATTAACTGTCGATCCGATAGATCCATATATTCGGAGCATATTCGCAATCTTGTGTGACGCGCAGGATAGATACCGTAGATGCTATTGTTACTTTGTCATGACAAATAGATGGTGATCGTACTTGGATGCGGTACACTCACTCCGAACGACTGTCACACATCGACGCCGTAAAAACGTTCGGGTTTCTGCGATTGTAGGATTCTATTCACTCCTCTCCTTCACAACCACTCTGCCAAGTCATGAGCTCTCAGTCATTTGTTGGCAACATAGACCCTGCAGAGAGCAGGCAGATATTCCGTAGAGTGGGCAGTTTTCTGATCATTTCCCTTCTACTGATTCAATCCCTCTCGAGCAAAATGAATTGTACATAAACTTTAGAATAAATTTTCTTCGTTGATCATACACAAACTTACTCACTGCATGGAAGAGATCTGGGTCTTATACAACGTATGTTAATAGTTTCGAATTAACGAAAGTTGTGAGTGTATCTTTGATATATGGTCAGTACATGGTGTAGGTAGTGGAATGAAGCAGTTTGAAACACCAGAGAATTAGGGAAGGTATATCCCAGTTTTACGATTTTTTGTATGGTTTATACGATTTTATTTATTAAAGGATTATGACGAGCATAGGAGATGAGATCATAATGTATTTGTATGTCATGCTCTATGTGTTGAAGACTAGATTCCACCTGTGTTGTCGTTCATAGCATCTTCCCACCTGAAGAAAAAGGAGAAAAAATCTACGAGGAAAACGGATACTCGAGTGGGCATTTTGGTTCATTCCCTTTTGTTCCTTCTATAATAATATACGTCTTTGATTTGAAAATGTTTATTTCATGCCTCAATCGGCAACGTAAATTTCAGCAACACGATCATGCCCAACGATAAAGATGAACGTGGGAAGCCATTCAAACCTTCTCAACGGTGGTGACCTTTCGTTGTGGTAGTTGAAAATGTAGTCCGACCGTACAGGGCCATAGTCAGAACTACGATGGTCGTCTCCTCGTACTACTCACGCCCAATCGAAGCACGGAAGTTCGCTGGTGCTTCGCAATACGGATTTAATTTCCCTGCAGGAAGACCCTCGAAACTGGCAGTCAAAGGAAAACTCTAATCGAGGTGCTCTTCGCCACGGCACAAGGCAATCTATGCCACCAACCGAAGCATCAGCAGTTCAATCAGGCAGCACAAGAGAAGGGGAACATGCGAAAATACACTCTCGGCATCACAAATGGAAATGCTCACGATGTCGAGAGCCACTTCTGTCGCAAGAGAGATAACACTTGCTAATGTCGCAGCCGTAAGATGGTTCGCGTTCGCTTCTATGTGTACGCCGTACTTGTTAACAGCAAATTACCGGACGCCGTCTTTTCTGAATACGTCACACATCGACGTACGGAGGGACGGAGGAGGGCGGCAACTAACGGAGCTGTAGAGCGGAGGACTCCGCTCTGTAGGTCCGTGAACGAAGATGGAAAGCTGGCAGTGCTCTCTGGAGGCGGAAGCGAGGCAGCCCTCGGACGATGAATGGACTGCAGTCGGATGAACTCGGTTACGACGGGGGCCCGATCTCGGCGAGGGCGGAGGGCCGGTCCTAGAGAAGGTACGGGATGGGGGCGACGAGGGCGGATCAACTGGGTTCCCGGCCGACGATTCCAGCGTATGCCTTCCGGCCTCGGAATGTTCGCAGGATATGCAAGAGGTATGTGCGTCTATGCCCTTTTGATGCCCTGTCCGATCCGCCTGCTGGACGGCGCGTGGCCGCTCTGCCGGAGCTGTACCCGGGCCGTTAACTCGGGTGCACCTGACTGACGGGACTCTTTTGGGCCTGTCCCCACCAGCCCCATCAGAGCACCAGGGACAAAATCACAGGCGGGCGCGCGGGCGCGGGCGCGGGACGAGCTTTCTTCCAATGCGCATTGAGCTCCGCCCCGGCCTTCGCCCTACCTGCCGCTTTTGGTGTGCGTCGTCGGTTCTTACCCCTCCCGTCCCGTCCCGTCTCGTCTCGTCTACACGCCAACTGCCCTCGTCCCCCTTTTATCCGAAGTTGTCCCCCTGCCAGTTAAACCCTGAACCCTGCAACCTGAAACCTGAATCCAGGCTCGAGAGATTCCTTTGACTCCTGTCTTGCAATTCCCGAGATCGTAGTACTGTTTACATCCGGCTGGGCGGGCTGAAGTCTTTCGTGCATAATTTACTTCCTTTCTCCCCTTGCCCTTGCTCGCTCTGGTGCAGACTCAAAGGTCCGAGGAGGAGGAGGTTGAATAAATTTGAGGTATGGTGACACCGTCGTCGTATCTGCCACCAAGACAGCCCTTGGCCGTGTTTCGTTGCAAGCGAGCTTGTAGTGTTTGCCCCTTCGTCACCCCTGGGGAAAATTAGTCAATCGTTAATCGAAAATCGTTAATTTTCCATTTGGGTTAAACCAAAGGCATTCACATCTTCATAAGGTCTGGAGGTAGGTCGGGAATATGTTCAGACGATTGACATGGTGGAGGCTGTGGACCATCGGAGGCATGAGAGACCGAGGAAAGTTGTAGGATTAGAAAACAAGGACAGTGCGCATTCTTCTTCGATGTTCAATGATTGTATGGTTTCCACGAGCTGAATGGCTGGAGGTACGAAGTTATGGTGTTCGGAAGGGCAGCATTCCCTCAAAAGACACACGCGCATTCGCATGAAATCCCTTTGTTTTTGTTGCTGTTGGGAGGATGGCCCCTCACACCAACGAAACAAATATGCAACACCGGGAAAACTACAGAGTCCAAGTATAGAGTCAGGAGAACAATCTCGATTCTCTATCCCGGTCAAGATCACTGTGAGCATATTGTTCAGTTTCCTTGTACAGTCTGTACCATACGAAGGAAATGATAGAGCCTCGTATTTAAGAACGATAAACGACGATTTCCACCCATTTTCACAATCTTGCCTACACTGTATCTTAGTCCGTTGCAAAGCCCGAGTCCGCACAGCAGCTTGGAGAATTTGCAACGTTCGCTAAGTTTTGAAAGATTTCTGCGGCTTGCTCGAAATTGGACGAAAGAATATGAGAATATGCAGGCAGAGAATATGCCTCACGGATGAAACAAACGTAACCTTCACGATGCAGATTCTTTGATGGGATCAGTTTCAAGTCAACGTTAAGACACACGTTTGATTGCAAAGATAGAGGATGTGCTCAGGGTACAAGGATTGCATGATGCGTAGTACCAATGACACGAAAGCCAAGTCAAAGATTAGCAGCTAATGCAATTCTTTCTAATGACCCTCTTCGTGGTCACAATCTGCCTGAATAGAACAAAGAGATATTGATGAAGAAATTCCAAACAGTGTCGTCGGGGAGGATGACATTAATTCTTCCCTTCACACCTGCTTCTTCACTCGAGAATATGCTCATCGAAGAAGCCGAGCTACCTTTACGAGATCATTCTACCTTCGCAAGTTTCTGAAGTGGGATATAACGTCATGCAAACAGCTCAGTAGCAGCATGCTGCAAATCTCATATAGAAGTGAGGATTTTGTGCAACTCCGTGAATGCTACGTCCTCATCTTGCCCGGATCAAACCGCTAGAGTTCTCATACAGGACAATATAATCCCATGTTTAATCTCACATGCAGGTATGGTGTCAGATCCCATCAGAGATTATTGGAACACCAGAGTACGATCTTCAACATGCTACATAATCACTGTTGCTGTTCTTCTTACCACATAAGGTCTGTGAAAATTGTAGTTCTCAGTCCTAGAATCTAATCAAGTAGGCGCCGACCGTCTTGTCTTCGCGTCTCTTAATGATGATACTCGTGATCGAATTCCACATATACCACTCACGATTGAAGAGGTAGAGAGTGAATAGGATGCCGATAAACTTCCAAAACACGGCATCCTGTATGAGAAACCCTTGGAGATGCTTTCTTATAGAAAATCCAAATCTGGATCACATTGCAATGTGATGCGCCACTCCAATCCACGGCCATCCTTTCCTTTTGGCCCAAGTGCTGCTACAAAAGTCAGTCCCCATGTTTCTCTTAATGTAAGTTGATTTTAGTCCTGTTCTCTATCGCTTGAACCAATTTCGTCTTTACACCTTCAGTCAAGGACAAGGATGGGCATAGATCATATTCAATCCCAAGGTGTGTGCAACTTTATATCGATTATACAGTGATAAACCATTCTAAGCACCGTGCTGAGGATAAGTGACGCAAAGACTCTGAATCTCGCGTGATTCATTCAAACTTGATTTGGTATGTAGAGCAGTGACCATCTTCTTCTTTTTTGCATTCCTCGCCATCCAGATCATCTATTTGACTCTGGACTTCTGATGGAATCTTTGGCTTCAATTCTCAAGGGGTTTTTCCATTTGTGGCAAGCCTAAAAATACATGCAGTACAGAATGTAAACTAGAACAGTATAACAGAAATAAAAGAAAATTATCGTCATCTGGTACTTGAAGGGCATACAGGAACATTAGGATTATTAAAGTTGTCCAGCATTAGAACCTGTTGTAGGTTTTATCTGGTTTTATCTGGTTGTTTCCACTTTCGATTGCAACAGGACATTTGAGCTTGTTTACTTCGACTCCTCAAGTCCAGAGGCTAAGTGGGGTCTCCGAGCCTACAGGCCAGGAGTAGTGGGCCCACAAGAGGAACAGAGGGCATGCTACCGGTAGGTTGGCTAGGCTCCAGACTCCAGAGAAAGCACCTCTGTGCACCATACACTGATTCGCTTTTCACATTCCAGTGATGCCACATCAGGAGGATCTTTTGAATGGACAATGTACAATCAATGCACTGTTCTTCCATTCTGTGAGGATGATTTCAAATGGTGCCGGGAATCAGCAAATCTGCACACAGCTGCATAACTATCGTCGACCCATCATCGGTTGCTCGGGTTTGATCAAATGTCATATTGCAGACAGCAACGTGTACAAATCTGATCCAGCAGCCATCTGAATGTCCAAGCTTGAGTATTTAATCCGCTAGGGATGAAAAGGAAGTTCCCTGAAAAGAGACACCCGACCTACAAACAACGTCCCCTCGACTGGAGCCGAGGAGTGTGATGTGTAGTTTGTTAGCTGCACACTTGCGGGCTGTAAAGTCGAGCTGTGCAACCGTTTACTGGGCTGCAGAGCGCAGAGCTGGGACAGGATGTGAGAGCACCTCCACCGCGAGAGAGAGAGAGCTTCTATATCGTCCAGAGTAGAGTATCTGACACCGAACAGGACAGTGGAATGTTGTACTTTTGTATACCAAGGCAAAGTCGCCATGGTTGGGAGCCTGAGATCAGTGGGATGGATGCTCGGGTTGGGTTCAACTTGGTTTGTACCTTTGCACAAGTGCCGAAAGGTGAATGGTGCATGTCCATCGGATTGCCTTGTTACTACGCAGCGCTGAATGAGAAGAGTGGCGAGCCTTTATGCCTTTCAAAGCTTTAGATTGGTCGTGTCTCTGACAAAAGGATCGTACATCTGGTTCCACAGAGAGATGCCGAATTACACACACGTGGCTCCCTAGAGGGAATGAATGTGGAGGGACTGTGCAGTTTTTCCATTGGCAAGGGTTTGATTGCAAAAATCTCCCACAGTTTCAAAGCCGTTCCACCGTTCTGCCTGAGCTACGGTTGTCACAGTCACTGCTGGCCATATCAGGGTCTCAAGGATCAGATATCCGGGTACCTTACAGTGCTTTGACAGTGATGCCAAATGTCACTCAAGGGCTGCTCTGGTTGCGACTGAAATCACCGATAGCTTGGGAAATCGAAGGACCCTACGATAGCTTATTAGCATTGGATAGATTCGTCGCCCGCCCGCGGATGAACCCATAAACAATGGAAAGCTCAAAGCAAAGCATGCGTAAACATGAATCGAATGGCAAACGTGATGCTTGTTGTCTAATCGCAATGGTCTTTCAACGCGATTGGATGATGACTCGTGGACATGTAATTGCTATTGGCTAAGTGGAGAATCAATCTCCTTTGCAGTTGGTCCCACGAAAAAGCTGGAAAATCTGCTGCAACGCTCTCGATGAATGAACTGCTCGTTGACGGCACAGGGCGATCGTAGCAAGCCTGAAGCCTCAACGTCACGTCAGCCAAAGCACAACAAAGTTCACATCCAGGAAGCAAACCTCTTTCACCCCACGGTCAATTACCTTGATTTCGTCCGTGGCATCATCAGGATTCCCTCCTCGGCTGCGCACTTCCTACGCTACGAGACATTGAGAACTCAAAGGAGAGAGGCTCAACTCCAGCAGCAGGACGGTACTATACTTTTCACAGTGGTCAAACCCCGATGTGAAAGTAGCAGGCATCAGATATCACCACCTACTAGCTAACTTTGATTTGCTCTCAGGTTCTAATCTAAGACCGACGAGGAGGAGGGAGGGAGGGAAGGAGGGCGCATATGATTTTACAGCCAAGGTTTCAGGTTTTAACTAGGATCGAGTTCTAGCATAGTGAAAACGCAACAAGAAACAGAAATCAACCAGCTCCTATATAAAAAGCAAGAGAATGAGAGGGACAGGAGAATTGTGCTTCTGTAGATGCTGGTTCACAAAGTGATAGCTTGTGGTACCAGAGAGATACCAGGAACAAGTTTAAATCTGCTCCAGCAGCAGTAGCAGCAGCAGGGGACGACGGAGACGGACACAGGGAGGCCAAACAGAAAAAGGACAACCTACGGCCATCCTTTTTCTGCTAGGCTTCGAGATCAAATGTGTCAGAGGCAGAGACAAGGAACAGAGACGACAGATCGGCCCGGGGGCCGGGAGACAGAGATGGAGAGCACTGTTGATAAAAGTGGCAATGGAAGGCCGACGGATGCGTTTGAGGTGTGGGGGCAAGGCATAACAAGAATATCTGCTGCATATTCCCCTACAGCTCTACAGCATAAACAGATATTAGCAGGAATGTGCTGCTCGCGCATTTGGGAATTCGTTGGTTGCTCCTCGTGATTGGCCGCCAAGCAGCCAGCTGCAATCAGTTCCAGTGTCGTCTTCAACCTTCTTCCAACTGCTGTCGTACCACTCTACCATTCGACCACTTCGAACCTACTCACAGCTAAGCTGCCGATGCTGCTACCATAGTACTCGAGCATATTCCTTCCAGATGCCCTTATTTTTGAACCATTTCCTTACTTCTGGAGGCCCTTTCTCATGTGCTCGGCTCCGCTGCCCTTCCATCATCGCATTCCTAATCTTCCGGAGCACTGGATGGTTCACCAATGATGTCGAAGTGGATTGTTCTCCTATTCCTCCTCCTCCTCCTCTTGTTCTTTTAAGACCTCTCTGTGCTTTGGCTTCCACCTAGCATGATGAATCTTCTCGTCCACAGCTCCCATTTGACTCGAAGAGTCCAGAGTGTTTTGCGAAGCTTGGAGATGGTCTGAAGATCTGATGTTTCTGATGGTGGGTGAGTGAGTGAGTAGCGAGGGAGTTTCAGTCTATTTTCATTGCCTGGTTTAAGGTTGACTTCTACATACTTTCTAATTGGAATGCTCTACGGATCATGCTCCCCATGTTCAGTTTTTCGTCGCTCGATGTTTGCAATGGTATCACTCCATGCAATGGCATACTTTATTCTGCAAAGGACTTTGTTGGAATGCTGTTCTGAGCAGGGATCGTTCTAGTTTCCAGTGTTGTTTTTCAGCTGCATTGGAAGCTGCGTTGCAAGGGTGTTGGTTGTTGATGTCGTGCATTTGGATCGAAAAGCTTCGACTTGCCACTTCTAACCTCTACTTCACCGGCCCTTCACAATCTCAGCTTCGTTCTGTTGTCAGCACCGTGCGTCATCTCGATGTCATGTACATTGTCCCCAAGTAAGCTCATCCGACATTGTGGTTGTCCAATACTTCAAGACGACGCGTGTCTTCACGGAACAACGAGATTTACGAACTTCCGATTAGAACTCGCCGAATTCTTTCAGGAGTTGAGGAAAGGAACCCTCGACTTCACTTCAGCTAGGAAGACTTGCAAATTACTGAGAGGTACCTGGTGCCTCATGATCGTAGAAGTCAAACGGTTTAGTTCATGCAAACTTTACTTTTCTTGCCAATTGGAGTCCTGCTGGTTTGGATAAGAGCGTTAGATTCCTCTTGTAGACACAAACAACTATGCATGCCAATTTCGAAAGACTACTGTTTCTATATTGTGATAGAAAGACTATTCTTCAGAATTTTCTCTTAGCCCAAATTTTCTCAGTTAGAGCAGACAGACGTGCTGCTTCATCTTTCTCATTACAAATGAGACGTTTCACACATCCTCCTAATCCGCAAGTCTGTACATGCGCTCCTTCAGAGTCCTTCTTGCTAGCTGGAAAATGAATGGGTGTATTTTTCAGCAGATGGAACTGACATATACACCATAAACTTAATCTTCAATGCTGGAACTTCTACACATTTTGGTCCGTATTTACTATAGGGGGGAAGAATTGACGCTAGTTCTTGATACGCACGGTTGCTGATCTTGAACTCATTAAGAGGGATTCCATCACACTATGGTTTGGTCATGAAGAGCTACCCATAGTATGTAACACAATGGAGACGGCCTTATAATCACTTCGGCCTTTGAAGTATGACTAGGAGGGAGGTATTATGAGGACTTAGCTGGAATTGCCCCAGTTCAATCTACTGTCTTTCTAACAATGTAACGAGGAAAGCTGGAGGTAGATCTGTCGTACAATTTACGATATATGCACGCCAACAATGCAACACTTCATTCTCAGGAACCTCAGTAATTTTGAGTGCCGGACCTGCAGGTACGATTTGGGCAAGGCACAGAATCTTCCAGATGAACCTATAGAGTGTCTTCTCGGGTGGAGAGGAATGTGTGAATGATTTCGTGTTTCTAATTTGCCTTCAAGCTCTGACTTGGAGTTCTTTTCCGTTTAGGATTTGGAATATGGTTGAGAGATATGCAATATGTAGCTGTCTCAAGCTTTATTACATTCATCGAACGCGAATGCGTGAATCTCTGGCGAGCAGCTCATGAGCTTTGTAGGTTACTGTGGGCTCCATAATAGCGCATTTCTTTCTGGTCTCATTCGTGGAAGGCAGATTATTTCTCGTAATGTAGACACAGATTCCCAAGTAAGTGTTGATTGATTGTAAATGTTGCAGCTGGTGATGAGAAACTTCTCTTACTGCAAGTGAATTCAGATCTGCCTTTAGACTTTTAGTCAATCCCTTTGTATCTCCTCTTTTCACAGTTGGCTGAACCCAAATGGTCGTGATACGAGCCAACAGAAAAAAAGTTTGTGAAATGGTCCGTTTCTTCCTTGGGCCATCAGAAGCTAGTTGTTATCAGTCTCTTTGTCCATCTCAGATTGATATTTTTTCTTTGTGTATAAAAGGTTTGAGCTAGAAACGTATCATTTTTCAAAGTCGGACTGCTTCTTTGGAACATTGAGCTTGAAGTCTCAACTGTTTTAAGATCAGGATAATCGCCGCACAAAGAGCATGTTGTCGCAAGTTTTTCCATAGAAAATGGATAGTCTCGACGGAAGTTATCAATTTTTGATATATATATATATATATATGTTTAAGTGTTTCCAGCCAAGTTTGGTGTCATGACGAGTATTATGGTCCCACTCTTGTACTCAAATCTAGTTCCACGTTCATACATTTTGAACCCTAGAAGCTCATTTTTTGGTAACCAAAAGAAGGAAAGAACGAAGCAAATGTACCAGTCATTTGACGAAAGGACGAAGAACTGGTTCGGGTGTATCACAAAGTACAACCTTAAAACGACGGTTCACAATTGATAGTACAAACTTATCCATAACTTTCAAAGGATAGATCATTCTCGGGTTCTCATTTAGGGACATGTATTATGTCCTCCATCTAACAAAACGTTGCTGAGATCAAGAATGGCAGTTCAAGATCCAAATGTTCTCTTGAAAAGAAGTAAAAAGTGTTTGTTAACAACTAAGTTGCTAACAACCAAATCTTCGGTTGGAAGATTAACCAATTTCACTAAATTATTTGCAATTAGGTCGTGATAAAATGATATCTGATATCAATTTTGATCTCTCATGACTCTTTTGATTTCCTTTTTGTGCAATAATACTTTGATTATCACAGAATCTTTGTCAGTAGCACTTTCTTATACAAAAGCAGAGTATAAGGCGTTGTCCAAGTCTGGAGCTGAAGCTTTGTGGTTGAGAGGATTGTTGAATGATCTGGGCTTTGACGTGGAGTCGACAAAACTATTCTGAGATAATCAAAGTGTTATTGCACAAATTGAGAACCAGAAGAATCATGAATGATCAAAGCGCATTGATGTTAGATATCATTTTGTCAAGGACCTAGTCGCAAATAATTTAGTGAAGTTAGTTCATCTTCCAACGACGATATGACAAAATCATTAGCTAAAGAGAGGCATTGGTATCAGTCAGAATTTGGGTTTGTTCGTTGAAAATGAGGAAGAGAGAAGTAAGTAGGTAGTAAGTGGGAGTGTTAGAATACAGTTATACTCCCTACTTCCTGTCTGTGCGGACTAGTGCAGTTAGAGTCCTTATAGTTAGGACTGAGATGTTCAATGGGTGTGACCCACTGTAGGGGTTGTATCCCTTTGTAGAGACACATCCCTTGTCAACTCGGATTGGGGGTTTAACCCCTGATCCGGGACCAGTGATGAAAAAACAACTCTAGAAAAATAAAACCTTCCTCAGAACCCAATTCCTGTGTCTAGCCTTCATACATTGCTCATTTGATAGAAGGGTATGAGTACCCTTCTATCTACACCTGCATGGTCGCTACATGAACGCTGCTGGTTTGTTTCCTCGCGGTACACCATTTGTAAAACATGTTCTGAATCCGTTGTGAATGCTTTCAACGGTCTTGCATCCAAGGCTGGGGCACATATATCCAAATGCAATGTCGTTAGCAGCTCCCATCACGATTTTCGTGTTCATCCCTAGACTCAGTTCTCTCTGCATCTGCAAGAGTAGCACTGTGCACATCTATTTTCACCTCCAGGTTTGGGTTCCCAAACTTGAATCGAAAACCACGAGACATCACTGCCGATTATCCTCCGCAGTCCGTTGATCCGGTGAAATGAACTTGTTTTAGCACGTCCAAATAGAATCGCAACTATCCATTCCTTCGTCTTCTCAGGTTCATGGGAAATGAATAGTTGTGAGTGTTGAGCTAATCATGAGTCAGTCAGTCGTTCAGCCGTTGGACTTTTATCCATTGGTTAGTCCACTGTAAGATTGAAGATCGACCCCACGAACACCCCTTGCTAGCTTGACCAGGAAGTGCTAGCTTCAATCTCAGAGATAGCAGCGGGTCCCATTCACCGTCGCATAGCAAGGTCCCAAGAAGAAAGAGCGTTTGTCCTTCTCACTAGGACTTTGATTTCGACCATTTCCACTCTACACGATACGTAGTCCTCTTACCTTCTCAGCTAGAGACCCTGATAACCGCGATCTTCGTTTATCTTCAAGTTGCACGGATCAAAAGAAGCTCCCCGTTCTCAGTACACGGAGTAGCGACCAAGCTCCATGCCGTATTCGATAAGTGGCTCCACCTTTTCCCAAAGTGGGCACAATGAAGGCATGATGCCGTGAACGGGCACTCTGGAGTAGTTTTGTTGTACAGATCGACCTTTCTGCATATCACCGGTGATCAACGTAGATTAAAACCACCATCCAGAACAAAGAGCGATTAACTGCCTGAAGATCCACGATGAAAAGAAAATAATTACGCTCTGGCTAGGCTTCGATTAGTGATGAACTTACCTTGTTTCTTTCCGTCAGGGAGCGACCAGTTCACGTGCTCAGTATCCCTGTAAACTACTCCACGATACTGGCCGGAATTTCTTCCTCGGTCTGCACAACACGGAGCACACGCAACAGTTAATAAAACAATCCATAGCAAAGGCAACTGCATGACGTTAATCTTCCCAGTTAAACCTGTGCTGAAAATCTTGAGGCTATTTTTCTGTTGCAAAGAAGAGATGGATGACATGGGAGTGACTATGAAAAACTCACACGTAAGCAAATGGGTGTGAAGTTACGAGATACGAGGGTTCGGTCTAAATTCATCAAATCTCAATTACAGCAGCATCTTATGCATGTATACATAGAAGGTAGATAGGCTAGTATACCTGAGTTTCTTCGACTTCGACCTTGTCGGTTACATCTGTCTTCTCAACCTTATCTGCAGTGTAAGCGAGAATACTTGCAAAAGGGTCGGAATTGTCTTGGATAAGATCATCGCACTTCATACGAACAAGCAAATCCTCGTAATGAGATTGATCTTTCGGTCGATATGTTAAAGCATCTGACACACGTCGTGGATTCGAATTCTCCTCTTTCTTGTACTTCGCTTTGATCTGCCGCCGTGTTCGGTTTGGGAAAAGGTTCTTTATCAGATCAAAGTCGGTACCAAACTGTCTAATAGCTCTATAAAAAATGTCGGTTTCCTCCGCTTTCCATCTTTCCGTAACTGTCCGATTAGAGTAAGTATGGTAGTTGAGTCTAGAAGCGTTCTCTTCAACCCTCGTGTACTTGTCTGTATCTTGAGCAGATGTGGCGTAGGCACCAACTGTAAGACTCTGTTCGTTTACCACAATGCGCCCATTGATCACTTGTACTTGTGGCGCAAGAGAAAGGCTGCAAGTATGAATACGTAGGAGACAAAAATCAAACCCTGACAAACAAAAATGACAACACACTAGCCAAATGGCCTTGCTGGTTGGTCGCACGATAGAAAAGGTTGCAGGCGTTCAATGACATTAGCAGTTTCACAACGTACGGGTATTTGTAACTAATAAGAAGATCATTCGACAAAGTCAATATCTTCACGTAAAAAGGAGTAGAAATACTTACACATCTCTCTGAGGTTCGGCCTCTCTAACTACTTCTCGTTCTCGAGGTTTCGAAATGTCTAGTAAAGACTTCTTAGCCAACTCATCCTTCGCTTTCTGCAAAGATCAGAAATAAGGGCACATTATACACACCAAGTGGCTTAATACCAAAACCATTCAAGCAAACACAACTAATTTCCAGCGCTTTGATCAGATTTCCTTCAAGTCTAACAAAACTTAAAAGGACATTACCTTCCGCTCAATATTCTCGGCTCTTCTTATCACTTCGCGCAATGGCAGTGTGCCGGGGTTTGAAAGGTCATAGTTTGTTTTGCTCGACTGTCCGCCTTTACTCGAACCACCAACATCTGAGCCAAAGCACATATTTTTTATTAACCTGAAAAAGTTGGTGCTTGACCAAGATCTCCAGTAAGGAAAATACACTGTCAGACCAAAGAAATGACCTCAATAATCGCACCAAGGAGAGCACCCGCCAGAGTTGGATGCGTTCTATGCGTCTCACAATCAACGTTGTGGTATACGATTACCAACTCAGAAATATACCATCAAGGTAAACATAAAAACAGGCGACATGTTGCAGGTAAATTCAGTTGGAAAGCGACAAAATGCCAACAAACTCAAACATGGCATCCCCCGAGAGGCGATAAACGCACTATCTTCAATTCCTTGGCTAAGTAAGCACGTGTAATCTTGACAGAATCCGCACCCTCTTGAACTCGTCTCGGCCGACTAGAAGCATGCGGAAATGCTCTCTTCCGCTTCCTTCTCTGTACGGCTGGGTCTAGTGGAGGATCTTCCTCTTGCAAGCCAAGTTCCGCCATTAGTTCATCGTCGAGAGTCACCAGAGTTTCTTCCAGGTCATCATCAACCACTTCTGCTTCTTTGGAGCTTGTAGTGGGAGTGGCAACCTCTGTTTTCCTGACTTTCCTGGCAGACTTTTTGAACTTATTCTCTCTTGCCCGCTCAATGACCCCATTTGGGCCACCTTCTTCATCATTTGTAGGTTGCACTATGCCCTTGCTGGAAGGTTCCCCAGACCTGGGCAAGGCGTCTCCTTGTGTGTCCTCATTTTCTTCAGTTGCCGTAGTGAAAGACGGCAGAGGAAAATTCTGAGACATGAAATGACAACTGATAAGACGACGGCATCACAAAACAGATTTCTGATGTGTGGATATAATAACGGCGGTCTAGATAACAATCAAACAACGTTTTTAATTCAGCATACAAAGAGCTGTAGCAGCATGTATGCTGAGGGTGAGATGCATAAAAGTCTAGATGTTGACCAGTATCAAAGATCACATGATCTCAGAGTTTCGGATATTATCAACATCTAAATATCCAACAAAAGCCGAGAGAAAGCACAGCCACCGAGTACACCTGAACTCCAAATAATAAGTGAAGAGTGCAAAATCGAAGTTCGGCATGTTCAAATGAATCTCTATGACTTGTGACACGATAGTCTCACAAGTCACGAGTCATAGGGATTCATAGTGCGACCGAACGAAAAAGGGTCATCCTAGGCAAACAGCCAATATCGATCAGACTATTTCACTCCGACTAAAAGAAAGTTGGTGTCACAAGAAACTTATACAAAGGGTGTAGAATGTACATCAGGACTTACTGATCTCACAGCAACGGGAGGGGAAACTTCTGGAGCGTTAATGGCAGCAATGACATCATCTTCAGCCTGTAAGAGAAGACTGCCGTCCTCGGCAGCAGGCGACGAGTGAATTGCAGGTTCGATCGACGAAGTTCGGCTAGGAGATGTCACTTTTGTTACCTCCGTGGATACACTATCGATCACACCGACAGTTTCTTCTAATGTAGTCGTAGAAGACGTTATCGGGAGTAATGGTTCAGGGACACAATTTTCCTCTATCGACAGTGGAGCATCGGGAACTTTAAAATCCGGTTGCGAAATCTCGTTTTCTTCCGCATTGTTTTGGTTGCCATCAAGAGGCTCGGTATCGCTCGCGACAGGCAATGCGGAAACAGGCTTTTCTGCTGCCGGCGCAGCTGGAGGAGCTTTGACAGCTACGCTAGCACCGGCATCACCACGACCTCCACCCTTCCTGACCCGAGCTTTGACTTTGGGCTGAAAAACTCCTGCTCTTGGTACTGCAAACGAGAGACAATGCATCAGTCTATCGCTGGCTATTACACATATATTCCAACACTCAATAACAATGCACAGAGCATTCATATCCTCAAGGAAAGACTCCCACTTTCGAATTTCTACCATCAATAGGGAATGGTTTGATCTTCAAAATCAAAGGATTCCGTGACTGTCTTCCTCGGACTATTCCATTATATTTGAACTGGATAAAAAGCCTGGCACACCCACAACTGTTTTGCTAACGAGAATGTATGAACCAAGATCAATAATGGCAATTGTGCGATGGCCAATAAAAGGACGGCATCTTCACCAACTGCAAAAGATAATCAATTGGAAGATACACGTCACCTGGCCCAGAAACTGAACTGAAAATTTCAAGGGTTGATTCACCGTAAAATTCGACTTTGATTTCCTTAAAAGGTGATCGACATAAACAACGAGAAATTGACATCTTACTGTGTACAGACATGACTACATTGAAATGTCTGTCGACACGAAATTTCTTCATGTTTGTGTTTCTTCCGCCATTCACAGAGTGATGTATACTTCATTCTCGTTGTAACTAAGCCCATTCCCCCATATGGCTTTCATAGAAGTTTCGAATGACCTCCGACATGTCCCGATTACCAAGATCATAGAACAAGAACGTTTCCTACCACAAAAATGCAAGCTTTGCGTAAATTAAAGTCTCGGTACACCTACTTTGACTGAAATTGCGGCAAAGCTTCTGCTACATTACCACCATCCAGACCGCTACTAGGCAAAATTGGCTCTTTCATCATGAGCTTCAAACCATCTGCTAAAGGTTGTAACAATCGGAAATGCCGACTACGTTCGGTCCTTTACTTCTTAGTTTTATGTCTTCCAAACGAACCGAACAAGAATAATCTTCGTTACGAGTAGAAATTCGGTAGAAGAGAGAAGTAAGCCCAAAAATATAAACATTGAAAATTGTGGACTTCAGGATGATTAAATCCCACAGAAGCGATCGAAAGTAAATGTTTGTCGCCTGTTCCCGTGGCATTGCGAACTATTTAAAAAGACAAAATAAATTTGTCCAGGAGCTTCTCTCTTACTCGCCAGCGGTCAGTGATTGCGTTTCTTTCGAATATTATTTCCCTCCGAAACCGTGACAAGAATTTTTTTTTTAAATAATTTGGACAAACCAATGCCAAACAAACTCCACTTGAATGACAAATCCAGGCATGGCAAGAAATCAAGAACTACCTGAAGCACCTTCTGGCACATCTAGTGCATCCACCAGCGTAGAAAGCATCGACATTGCTCCCTAGCTTCCAGGCAGGGAGCGAAGGTCTTGTTCCAATCTCCTGGCCTTCTAGAGCTAATCTGTCCGAGAGTCAGCTCAGCTGCACAGTCACATCTTCTACGCATTAAAGTTCCCGTGATCAACATGTGCAAACGGCAAGAAAATTCCTGTCACCGCTATCAGGCCCTCTCATTCCTGATTGTCCGTCCTTGCCGCGCTCTTCCTCTCCTCCCGTCCCGCACTCTCACGCTCCCGGCTTCTTGTGTCAGAGCACAGTGGAGTGGTTTTGCACTAGCGGACTACGATCTTCCTCCCGCTAAACCCTAATGTTCGCTAATTTGTCTCCCCACTACCATCAAAACCTTCCACCGAAGGCCCCGCGAAATCCATTGCATATGCTCGGGTCCACTTATACAGGAGCACTCCAAAATCCTCTATATTCTAAAGTCCAGAAATTGAGACAAACAACATCATTTCGTAAAATGCGGGTAAAAGCCAATGAAGAAAGCCCCAGCCCCGGGGTCGACGGAAGTACGGGCGAAGGCATAAAGATGGAGATTAAACTCCACTGTCTCCTCTCACTGTCTCCCTGTTATCGGATTTTCGCCGAAGCTTGAGGTCTCGTCGTTTGTCGTGGAATGGATTTTAGTAATGTCCACCGGGCGAGGACAGGATTAGGCATCATGTACCTCCAAGAACCTCCTCAGAATAGAGTAGGCGCTGATTGGCGCATCAGTGATCCCCTGTACATGTACTGTACTGTGAAGCAACTAACTGCTCACTTGTTTGTTTGTTCATTAAACAAGAAAGTGAGGAGGGCGGGAGAATTTGTTGAGACTCATTTGAAACTTGTACGCTTGCTATTTGGAGTTTGTAGTTTGGACGAAGGCAACTTGAGTTCTTGTGCGCCATTTTCCGAAATATAGGACAACTGTGCCGTGGTTTGCCTTGCAGGAATTCAAGAGACATCTTCTGAGATTCTTTCGAAGGAAAGAACCTCAGACCAAGATGCTTGTTGCATTCCTGCTGTTCATGTGGCAAGGTTGATTGGAATTTCGAACCAAGAAAAGGGAATTTTTTTCCCTTTTAATATTCAAGAGAGAAGGAGAGAGTCTCGATCATGTCTTGTTTGACGAAGGAGTCAGCGGGAAGAAGGATGGGTTTAGGGTTCAATGTGAGGGATTAGGCGCCAAGAAGAGAAGGAGATGGAGCCATTCGTCGTCGCACTTTTCCCTTTCTCTTACGCCTTTACACGCGTTCATTTCCTTGTGGTAGTTAGTAAATATATTTCTGATGTGATGTATTCACCTGATCACCTGGACAACTGATCTGGAAGGCCCATGTCGAACGGCGTGCCAGATTGGGTCCAACTTTCAGACATGAGCAGTTGGTTCTACAAATTAGTCATAGATACATATTGGAAACCAGGGGAGAGATTAGCATCTTTGTTGTGTACGTCCCAAATCTGTCTTTTTATGTGTTGATATTGCTTTATCAATGTACTAACTTCCTTTTACAAATGTCACTCCCATCTATGTCGTTGCCATGCGTCCTTTGGCTCGAGCCGGAAGCTACTCTGTAAAAATTGAACGCAAATTATCGAGCATGAGAGCAGATTTGGCTCATGTTCTTCAAGTTTGATGTTGGAATGTTCAAAGTTAAGGTCCCGTTATAGAAACCTCAATAAGAACGACGTTTAAAGCTTGGCACCGAGCAAGGAAGGCTTCAGGTGCGAGGGATGAAAGCATCTCGGTTTTTCTAGTAGAATGTGGACAAAATTATTTTATCCAGGAAATCTGTAACTGGAGCATAAGAATTGGGCCAGCTTTCTCGGTCATGGAGCTGGAATATTAGCATGGAATCAGAGAGCTGAACAAAGAGTTGATACTTAGCACACAATCCAGTCTGAACGTAAGCTTTACGTCAGTGCCATGCATTTAGTTCCTGCTTCACAGTTGCATAGAAATTGAATAATCGAACTATTCCACGCAGTTATCTGACACACAAATGGCGAAGAACTGTTTCTCGCATGCAACAAACTCTCCCTGTCAATGCTCAAGCCGTAAGCAACTGCAAGGATCTAAATGGAAAATGCTAAAGGTGCAACGAAGATGATAATGGCAAGGATTGCAGGTACACTCGAAGATCCCATCATGTTAATATATAGTGGCTAACAGTGTTTGAGTCAGGGTGAATTCCCGGTGAGAAGAAGTGAACTAGGAGGGGCAAATCGTGCGTCATATGTTCCATCCAGTCAGGTTGGTGGACCCCGTGGGATCCATGCAACGTAGAATGTTGCTTGTAAAGTGAGGGCTAGTGAGTGCCGAACACAGTTCCAGAATCCAGTACGGTTGCACGGTAGGATATCCCTCGGCGACAACACTGGAGGAGAAGAGCAACGCCTCAAAGGAAGCATCTGTATGTATTCAAATATCATTCTGAGGCATCTGGCTCCCCTTGTACATAATTCTGTAAGTTGGAAGATCTCAGACAATTTCCTGATCATATTCTAGCATTTGTACTGCTCTGGACCAGTCTATAATTCGGTGACACTTTTTGAGGCAAGTACAACTAGTGAGTCAATTATACAGTTCTGCTAGTCCGTTTCCCAGTTACAGGCAGTCTCCAACTCCTTGCGATGTCCTCGTACTTCATCAACCAGAGACTTCACATTGGTGGATGTGTCTGTCTGCTACGCTGGAGGCTACATATCCTACTAAGCCACGCCATGTGTAACAGACGGATCTTTCTTATCAAACCTCAAGGTTCTCAATGATTCATCACTTCGACAGCTAGCCATGCAGTCTTTTGAAAACGAACGTACGTTGTTGTTGCCTCTGAGCTGACCGTGGCGCATGTTCAGTAATTTGGCGGAAAACAAGCTGAGCGACATGCACACGACAACTTCAACCCACCTCGTTTCAGCTTCTGCAGTTGAAGAGACGAGGGATAAGATATTAAAACATTCCAATTCAAGAATAGACGGAAGCATATCTGGGAGACTAATGTATGCTTGATATGTATGCTTGGTTCCAGTATGGACCTCAAGTCGATTCTATCGATAAAGTCGTGCTTTCCATAGTTTGAGTCCGCTTCGCTGCCATCCAAAATATTGGCTCCTTCCCATTCGTTCACCTGCCTAAAACTGCTACTTTCATATATTAAATGTTGTTACCAGTACGGTAGATATGCGTGAACTACGTAGCAGAATCGAGTGTTGATCAAATCATAACATGAAGGTTCGATTCGACTCTCCTTTTGGTGACATCACTAACTGTGCACAGAATCGAGTGTTGACCAAATCAAAACATGAAGGTTCGATTCGACTCTCCTTTTGGTGACATCACTAACTGTGCACGGTTCGTGAAATTGATAAGTAGCACAAGCCAATCATAGAGGTTCCACACAGGCGTCAGACATCCACGGCTGCGAGGTGAGGGTAGGAGAAGGGCACGCACATGTACAGATAATCTGTCGGGTGAGACAGTCAATGTTCCATTGAAATGGATCCCTTGATGCTTACATCCTTATGTTCTTGCTCTACAGGTGCATGAAGGGATAATTGTGGTACAAACTTCTAACTTACTTTTGATACATACCCTCTGTTTAAAGAGCAGGGTGAAAGCTGAGCGAAAGTGACCTCGTGAGACTGCACATGGTCAAATGTGTTCATGCACTTTCTGTACAAGAAATTGATGTGTTGTGTTGGGTAAGCCAGCAGTAATCAGTATGAATTCTGATAATTGGGGCCAAGAATATCCTGTAGGGTGATCCCTTTGAAAACTATACCAGCCTTTAGTCGCAGGAGTTTATCAGGGTCCTTACTCTCCCACGCTTCTCCATCCTCACTGCCAGCCTCGTAGTCGTCTTCTTTATTATCCGAGTCACTGTCACTCGCAGTTTCCCACTCTGAATCTTCATCGTCTTCTTCCCGGAAGTCGTCATAGTCGTTCTCGTGCTGAATTCCTCCGTGCTTCAATGCAGCTCCTTTAAATAGCCAAGAGGCTTGCATTTGCTTCTTTACGAGCTTTTCCACGTACTCAGGAACTCGATTTTGCTTCAACTCGACGTCACCTTCCGGAGCTTGCGAGCACTCATTGATAAACATGATTGCATCTAAAAGGCTTTCTTTGGCCAGACCCAATATTTTGTAAGCTTGGGCTCTCCTCCACAAGCTCTTCCCATGCCGGTTGACAGGGTTGTGCAGACACAATGCCCTGGTGGTGTCGCTTATGGCTTCCTTCGGACTTCGGAGCATCAAGTGACACTGTGCTCTGTTGCTATGCAAGACTACTCTCTCCTTCTTCGCTCTGAGTGGGCACAGAGCCAAGGCTTCGGAGTATTTCAGAGCAGCACCTTGAATATCTCCAGAAGAAAATCTTGCGTTGCCTTCCAACTTCACCACCAACGCTGCCGCTTGTTTGATTTGCAGATCTTCTTTAGGAACATTTTTCTCCCACTTCATTTTCTTCCGAAAAGCTGCGAGGCTGTCGAGCAGACTTCTTGTCTCTGATGACATTTTAGACGCGACTTCTGGTGAAGGAAAAGGATTGTAGTCTTGTAAGAGCACGGACGTTATAAATTCACCCACACGCTTGTGATCACCCAGGCACGGTAACTCCACGAGGTCCACGAGCGCGGTGGCTGCTTTATCAAGTACCTGCCAGGAAACATTACCAGCAGAGAACGACGTCAGCTGGGCCTTTTTCAGAGATGCTCACCATGGGATCCGTACTCTTGCTCATAAAACCTTCAGAAAGATGCAATCGTCTCCGATGCTGATGTTCCACGGATTTAAGTTTGGTCTGGGCTCGAGAGTTTTGTGACGTTGGACGGAGGAGGTAGTGTGAGAATGAGGTCAATTCGACCGCCATACCCACCATACAGCGCATGATCGTACCCTAAGGGACACGATCATGGTGGTAATGTTACCTTTATGAAAAACTCAACAAATCAGTCCCTCTAAGGGCTAGTCACAATATCAGCTTAATTCAAAGTCCCAGGGTGAGGTGCTCGTGGAGGCCCAGGTATCATTCAGTTCGTCTTTTCCTGAGCGGTCGAGAGATCGTCCAAGAACCAGATCTTTCCTCGAGAGAGAACTACAATAAGATCATTTGTTACACAAAAGGCAGACTATCCACCAGTCGAATTTTGCGCGACCAGGAAGGATGCTTAGGCTGTAGACTGGCAGCAGTTGGACTCTTATGGAGTTATGTCAACCGGCAGGCGTCACTTGACTGGGACGCGTCCTCATGATAGTTGGTATAGATAGTAATTCAGTTCACTAAGTGAAATTCAGACCAAATGATGCCACAAAAGTTCAGACCCTTTGAATCACATCTGCCTTGTACAGCTGGTCTCCTTAAAGGAAAATGCCTAAGGGCAAGGAGGCCAGCTAATGACGTGCAGAATTAGGATCATTTTGGCGAAAGGAGAGCAGACCAGAGAAACATGAATGAAGCAGGGATTTACTGAAGGAGAGAAAAACAAGTGAGGTGTTGTAAAGAACGACCACGCAGGAACCGAACTTCTGGCAGTGACAAATCCCGAAGAAGTGCAGAAATCCGAAGGCTCATTGCATCAGGAGGACTTCGATGTGCACTAATCTCTACATGCGTGTGGAAGTGCAGGAGCTATGATGATGGAGAAGTGGTGAAATCAAGGCACCACCAAACCACTGACATAATCGGCACCGTTGGAAACTTCTACTTTCAGTGATTCCAGTGTTAATTAGGGTGCTCACAATTGGGTTTCAGTGGCGTACCCAGCAGACCGGGCAGGCTATTGGATAGCTACAACGAGAAATGCAATGATCAGAGAGAAGAGGCTCATGACAAGCATGACGATACATGCGGGAGGAAGCGGATACGTGAGAAGTAGAGTTAATTCAAGGACTGGTGCTGGAGAAGTTGATGTGCGAGATGCATGGGAGAGCTTGGAGGAAAGTAAGAGGGGAAGGGTGTAGGGAGAGCTGCGGAGGATGAGAGGGATGCATGGAGACTGAAGGGAGAAAAGATCTAGAGGTTAATAGAAGCGATATATCCATGTGATGGAGGCCAGAAGATGAAGAAAATGGAAGAGAAAGTATCTAATGTTCACACTAGCAGAAAAACACTGCCTGGGCAAAGCAGGAGACGACATTCTCCAGTGTGGAGACATCAGAGATTTTCAGGTGTGTGGCGTAGTAGCGATACGGCTGATGCACAGGAGATCCAAGTTCCTACATCGGAGCCTCACAAACGGGACAATATAATGGAGATTTAAGCAGATTCGGAGGTAGAGATTGCCCCTACGTAGAAAAAGTCGCTGAGATAGTCTCGTTAAAAAAGAGAGAAGAGAAGAACATACACACTGATCAGGCGACTGACTCGGTGGCAAGAGGCAGAATTCTGATATTACCTTGAACCGAGTATCGGTGTCTTGCAGAAGCCATATGAGGCAGTCGACCGCCATGCATTGCCAATCATCGGAGGAGCAAGCTATATTACACAGAGATTCCACCAAGCCGGGGCATTCGGCCACAGATGGTCTGCCAGCTCTTTGGTGGCAGATGGTTCTGAGGAGGCCAACACCTGCCGGGGAAGTCTCGTTCACCAGGCCTCCCCACATTCCAGGGAGTCTGGCCAAGAAGTCTTGTCGACATATGACGGGGAGAAATTCGGACTTGAAAGCAAAGCAGTTAATCAGCTGCAAGGACCAGCACTGCAGCTGGCTGGCCCATTCCTCTGCTTTTCTCGATTCCATCTCGACACCACCGGTCCCTCGAGTGAGGAGATCACAGTGATAGCTTATTCTTCTGTCAACAAATTGGAGAAAATGAGTATACACAATATCAAGCGAATCCATCGCCAGCTGTATTGACAATTCCAGAATCTCGTCATGCTCTGCAACATACGGAAATGTACTATCATACGTAGCCAGATGACCGAGTGCTCTCACCGCGACCCTCTGCTCCACCCATGTCAGCCTTCCTCTGAGCAGCTCCAGCAGAGGCGATATGACCCCGGATTGCACAGCCTTTTCGGCGAACTCTTCCACATTCATGGTGTAAGACCCTATCACGTGCGCAGCATAGTAAGGAATGTAGATATTCTGGTCCTGAGCTAGCCAGTCCCTATTGTCGATCCCTTTCCAGATGAGCGAAGCCATGCACTCGAAGATTCCGAGCTCCAAAAACTCTGGGTCATTGGGATGCGCCATCGCCGTGTTCCACAGCCCACTGATCGCTAACACTTGGCCCTGATCATTCTGCGACGGCAGCTCTTTGAAGAACTTGGCCACGTTCGTCCGCCGCTTCACGGGATTGCTCTCTTTCATGACGCAGAAGAAGCATCCGGGAAACGGGCAATCCGAAGCCCCCTTCTCCATTGCGCGAGGCGAGCCGGCCTTCGGGCGCTTCTCACTTCTTCCGCCGCTTCAGACGAGCCGATGAATTTGCTGCTCGCACGACTCCCCATCGAATCGCACGTCGGAACTTCGAAACATCGCTTTACCTGGACACACCACCGAGCGCCACCACAACGAAGGTTCAGGGACTGCAATCACCATCTCTCTCCCTCTCTCCCTCTCTCACTCCCTCACTCTCTCCCTCTGTTTCGATTCTGTGACAATCTGGCAGCTCGAAGACGCCGAATGGCCTCACGGATGAGCTTGCCGGGTGGAAAGGCTTGCCTCCATGGCACAGAATCGATTGCAAAGCAAAACACTCGCTCCTCCTGGCGATGGACAGGGAGAATCATCGACCAAGGGGTTACGCACGAGTGGCGTCACCGCGTAACCTAAATACGAGGACGCATGCGAGACTAGCCATAATCATCGGAATTCATGGAAGTCCTCGGGCGAGGCTGGCTGCGTGGCCTTTCTCAGACTTGATCGTGCTGCTGCTGCTGCTGCATCGGAACAGAGGTCACGACATGAGCCGCGAGCGCGACGGCTCGGCAAGAGTGTGGAGGGAGGGAGGGAGGGAGGGAGGGAGGGAGGGAGGGTGAGGAGGTGAACATCGGCCAATTTGCTCGACGAAGCGGAGCCTAGCCGAGCATGGCCAACAATGTAGCTTAATACGCTGGGGCGGAAGTAGGCTGACGATGCGAGGGCCTCATGAACATGGACCGAGGTAGCCCCTCTCCTGCTGCTGCGGCGCTCTGACACATTTCCAGCTGTAAATGCGCATGATTTGCACCATTTTCTGACAAAGCAGGAAAATGTTGATGGCATTTTCCAACAAGAAATAGCCACATTTGCGATCCGCGCGAGAGCTGCGCGGGACTGAGCAGGGCAGGCACCAAGACGATCCCACCGGCTTCGTCCTTCGCGACTACGACGGCGCCAGCTCGCTGACATAGTGAGCGACAGATGAGCTGTAAATGCAAATGCTGCTGGAGAAGGCTGCTCTCTCGATCCTCCGAGCTTCCCCGAAGCATAACCACGACCTGCGTCCGAAACGATCCGCATGCTGCCGATTTGCGCAGCCTCGGACCTTAAAATCAAGATTGAGGCTTCGGCTCGCTCATCCATCGATGCCCCTAACGATTCGTGTCTCGAGCTCACGCGTGGAGGAAGAGAGCAAAAAAATACAATTTTTGAAGAAGATGGGCTGAGGCTCGTGACCGAGGTCGTCGGCCATGTCGGACAGCAGAGAGACAGAAGGCGGGGATTGATTGTCGTCCCACCAGCATCCAGAAACGGGGCGAAGTGCGGAGTGCGAAGGAATCCTTGCCATAGATTCCAGAGACCGCAGGCCGGCAATGTCCCGGACGCGTAGAGGAGATGTGAGGAGAAGCGAGCTGAGGTGAGGTGAGCTGAATGACTCACCCAGCCAGGAAGGGTGGGCAGAAGCTGCAAATGCAGAGATTTCGAGAGCGCACGGAGGTGGAGTGATGCGGCTACTCGAGCAGCCCATCTCGCTGAGGCAGTGCCTTCATCCTCGTGCTCATGGCCGCCATCGCAATCATCATCACGATCATCATCATGATCATCATCTCCTACTACTTCGAGCTGAACTGTCACGGGACTTTCTTCAGCGCGGATTGAGCTCGTACCATTTGCGGTTCCCGGCTCCTCTCGCGTCCAGCATCGGGCAACAATGGAGGCCGAGGTCGAGTCAAAATACGAAGCAGACGCCGAGCACGGAAGGAAGTAAGGAAGGAAGAGAGAACGAAACGCAAGAGGGTGCAGAAGGTGCTACGCTTCGACGAGGGCAGCAAGGAGGCCAGGGGAGCAGGCCGAGGACGAGGAGGGGCGACGACGGGTTCGAAAGAGTGCGATATAGCTGGACGGAAGGAACGAACACGGAGAAAAGGCTGACACGGCTGGCGAGGCCTTGAACGTGCGAGCCTGCTCGCTAGCTGACACGCCCCGAGCTTTAAAGCGATGTGATGCATCCGTGACGAATACTCGAGCAACGAATACACTCACTCACTCACTCACCTGTTTTATTACCCAACTATCGGTCTCGTAGCAGCAGCAGCAGCAGTATCGGCGATTCAGCGGCCGCAGCAGCAGCAGCAGCACCGCAGTCGTAGTGGAAGCAGCAGCAGTAGTAGTTCAGCACTTGTCTTCGCTTCTCATCATCTCCTCCTCCTCTCCACTCCTCTGCTCTGCTCTGCTCAGCTCAGCTCTCCGCGAGCTCTCTGTCAAAACTGGTCGTCAGGGCTGCGGTCTTGTTCTTCAGTTCAGCTCCAGTCCGTGAATCTCCTGCCCCTCCTGCACCAGCACCAGCACGCATGCAGCATTTTTGTACAGGTACGCGCAGGAGCAGGAGGAGGAGGAGGAGGAGGGGACGACGACAACGACGATGTACAAAGCGCAGCTACATACATAGGACTGGCGAGAGTGCAAAGCCTGCTCCTGCTCTTGGCTAACTTGGTAGGACGAGGCCTTCAGCAGCAGCAGGTACGATGAGCGAGCGACTCGTGCGCGCGGCGGCAACGATTTGTGTAAGCCGGTGCATCACACTGACTCGCTCCCAAACCCGGCCCCACTTGGCGCCGAGAACGCGGGCCCGCCGGTGCAGGAGAGAGCAGGTTTGTGTCCCGACCCGACATGCCCCACGGTCGTCCTCAAGCCCTCCCTCCTAACCCCTCCTTCCCTCCTCGTTAGCGGGACCCCAAGCCCAAGCGCAACGCTCTGCCTCCATTCCAGGCCCACGTACGTACGGACCGACGGGGGGCTATTCCTCTTTTTCTCTCTCTCTCTCTCTCTCTCCTTTTGGGGCTTCCGTGGGGCTGTATAACGTCTTCCCCGTCCGGGCTTATCCACCGAACAGAAACCCAGACATCCTAATCGGATGGATGGACGGACGGACGGATGGTCGACCACTTTCTCCGTCCGTCTTCCGCTCGTACTTCTCCTCTGCGTATCTGTATATGGTTGGTGGGTGTCCATCTCGCCCTCCGCAGCGTCGTATTAGTATTCGTATGAGTACCGATTACGAATCGGGATACGAGATTCGCTGGCTGCCTGCTGGACCGGCCTGTCTGCCTGCCGGCGGCGCTCGAGTGTGCTCGGTGCGTACACACTGGGGCTGGGGCTGGGGCTGGCGACTGGTGTACTGCTTATCCTTGACATTCGCCCAAAGCCGGATGATTGTCCCCTTAATCTTCGGCAAGCAGCCGCAGACAGCTGCCCCCTGCTTTAGCACGCGACGGAATGCGATCATACGATCTCCACTTTAGCCACAGGCGTCGTAATCTAAGCCCAACAAATTCCCGCCTGCCTGCCCCGGACTCGCTCTCTAATGATTGATAATCAAGCTCAAGGGAGAAATCGTTCTCGCGAACTTAGTCATGATGATCACTCAGCGCACAATGTGTCAGGGGCTTGAACGTTGCAAAGCGATGACAGAAATGGAATTCTGCACCTCTTCCAACGACGACATTAGACATTCGCCCCATTAGAAACCTAAGCGCGTATCCAGTCTTTCATGTCTGGATATGAAAATTCTTTAATGGGGCCTCGAGGTCTAATCGGAGCGAGAATCCGCGAGAGAGAATGATAGAGAGCCCGGGGTTTAAACGGCCGTCATTACTGGCTGCAGACAGAAGCTATCACAGCCTCTTGCTATTTTCACCGGCCCAGCCATGAGCTGACGATTTTGCCCCCGTGTTCTATTATGCTGCCCAGGGCTTATTAATAACGATGCGAACGTCTCTCTCGCGGCTCTGCAAGCGCATTGGCCACATTCCGGGCTTCGACCAAAGTGACCAGATTATGATTACTACTCTCTATCCACCTCCCAATTTGGAAGCCCCGCTATCCCCCACCTGACGACCGCTATTTATAAGCACCTGCTCCTCAGGCAACCCCAATCTCAGCTGGAGCTCTATGCTCGCCTAACGTTCCCCTTGAGGCTGATGAGCTAGATCAGCAGTCGCAAAGATGCCGAGACAGAGTTAGGGCAACTGTGCTCATTGTACTGGGGGTACAGTACTGTGGTAAGTAGTGGGCCTCCAGAAGCCCGGTATTTATCAGTGTAGAGGTAGTTTTAAGTTCTAATATACTCCCGATTCCTGAGTTTACCTGTACGACTGGCTACAGCCCGGGCCCGAGTTTCGTCCTGGGATGGTTCCAATATGTTCCGGGACCCACATCCATTCCAGCTTCGTCGATTTTATATCTTGTCTCCAATCGTAGGGAGCCCCAGAAAAGGACGAAGATGTGGAACAATGTGCATTCTAACCCCACCGAAAACTCTTAGAACTGCACCTTGCCAACGCGTTGCATTTGGATGAAAACATAAACGACAGGAAGTGTGGAACTAAGTTACTGTAGTCCACTAGACTGACCCGATGTTCTCAGCTGATAGTGAATGAGGTGTATAAATATGTAGAGAGATTGTATATGAGAATTATGGAGTACATTATCCAGAGATGTTGTAGTGTAAGTGTGTAAAATGAAGTTGTTATAAGTTATAACCTTCAAGACTTACAAGGCCTCGTAATTCTTCATCACTCATGCACATGTTGTCAAAAGGCTTTCCGATATTTAGACATCTCCGGAGGCGTCTAGACGAATGAAACAACTGCCAAATTTGTTTCAGATGAAAGGACATATTTGTACAATATCAAAAATTTTGGACTTTAAATTCTTGAAGAAGGAATGAAACTTGTATTACATTATTATGAACATCTTTTCTAATCCTTCTAGGAATAACTAAAGTTTTTGAGTGCATAATATTTACAAGCTTTTATGTATTTCTGTCTATTGCAAGTTTAAGATAAAACAGACTTATGTAACCATAATTAAATTTGAACGATTTTATGAGACATTCGAGGACTTTTTTGAACAGATAGGTTAAATGGCCGAGTCAGTATTCTCATAATTCTTCCTTGATCTTTGCACTTCGATGGAGACTTAATCGCAAAACACTTGGCTGCAATTTGGGTTGAGTTCATGTCATTTTCTGCGAAGGTTAGGATTAGTTTGCAAGACGCTTGTGGATAATCAAACGAGTAAATCCCCTCAGAATCCTCATTCCAGCGTTCCATCTCAACGCAGATAACTTATACAGGTCGCTCGGTTCTTACTTCGGAATGACATATGTTGTGACTTCATCCAATGGGCCTCCACAGGGTGTACTCATGGTACGAAACCAATTGGACAGTACATAAACAATAAGACATCTAGGGCTTATATTAGAACAAGAAAAACTCAAAAGAAGTCATTGTCCTCTATGATGAGAACAGGAGGTGAGTTGAATCCAAGTGCGCTAACGTAATGTAGTGTCAGCTAGGTTTCCAGCAAAAGCACTACCTCTAACCGCTGAGCACTAGCGGAGTGGCGTAGTACCCGCGGTCAGAATCTGACCCGAGGGTAGGGTTTGGGAGCGGAGGTAGGTCACGAGACATAAGCCCCTACAAGGGGTTGGTTGGCCTTTGTGCCGTCCGTTCCTCTGGCTCCACTAGCCCCTGTCGATCGATCTGCCACCGCAGCGCAAATCATTTCTTAAGCCCCGGACACGAGTCGCCAAGAGCGGGTGGCAAAGAGGAAGAAGAAAGTCGAAGGGCTTGCGTCGTTCCACGAGACGGGGGTAAAGGGAGGCAGGCCTCCTGACAACGTCACCACGCTCGAGATGTCTCTAGCCCCCCGCAGCAGCGCCCTTCCTTGGCCCCTGTGCCTCGGCATGCCGAAAAAGGGCTTGGGCGAAGATCTGTGAAATATTTGCAGCAGAAGGGGGAGGGGGAGAGGGAGGGGCTCGAGCGCAAATCTCGGCGGAACTGACATGCCAAAGGCTGCGAAGTGCTTGTTGGTCGATTGCGGGGAATAAAAATAGAGACCAATATTCTGCCGCGCTTGGGGGCTCGGGGCTAGTCCGGAAGGCCCGCCCGAGGAGGCCGGGGTTAGAGATAGATAGATAGAAAGGGGCTAGCGGCTAGGCACACGCTCCGCCTAAAGCGACAGTCATAAATAGCGGTGCTTATTCAGAGGCGATGTGCAGATCGTTCCTCGGAGCAAATATCGTCCAAAAGCTTTCAAAACTTTCGTCTTCAGCGCTGAAGTCGGTGGATTGCGCGAAGATCTGCATGCTTCCAACAGCCTGTCCGTCGCGGACTCGGTCGACAGAGCCCCCCTCTCGGACGCGAGTCGTTTCGTCCGGCAGAGTTTCGATCTCCGTGCTCCAGGTTTGGCACTCTTGTCTCCGGCCCACATTCCGCCCCAATACGACTCTCCTGGGTCCACCGGATGCTCGAGGGATGGCAAAATCAGACAGACGAGACGACCCCGCGACCTCAACCGGATCTCTCACATCTCTCGCTCGCTTCTTTCCTCCGGCTCTAGCTCTAGCTTGTCACACATACCGACCTATGAATACGTGACCGCCTCGAGTACAAGGGAAAAGTTCCGCATACGACGACAGCCGCCCATAAAGCTGGTCGTGTAGAATCATATGAATGTTGCTGATTCCGGGGGGTCCTTTGGCTCGTTTCCACCCCCAAAGCCCCCGCTCTCACGTCTGTCTGTTTGACTGCGACTGCGATGGGGGCAGACCGTGAACGCGGTTGTCTCCCGAGGCCATCGGGGCTCCAAAGGGGACCCCAAGACGCAAGAAGGAGAGTGGACCATGAGCTCAGATTTCTCTCGCGTTCTCCCCCCTCGTGGATCGTGGATGAGGTGGGACGCACTGGGCTTGGGGGCAATCCTCTGCGGGGGGTAAGGTCAGTAGCCCCGTCGTCAGCTACGTTCGTTCGTACGTAGTTTTTATACTATATAATCTACTAATTATTAAATAATTACTACTGCGTAGTTGTACGACGGAGCGGACGCGGTTGACGCAAGCGGCCGGTTGCAGCAGCGTGATGGAAAGTCTACGTCGTACATATACAGTTGATACGCAGTTGTTATTAGTCTAATAATTCTTCAATAATTCTTACTGCGTAGTTGAAAAAAGCAGTATTTGTACGTCGGAGCGGATGCGGTTGACGCAAGCGGAAGGCAGCAGCAGCGTGGTGGAAAGTCTACGTCGTACATATACATCTACTGCGGTGCGAGCGACACCCACGAGTGTACCACAGTTCGGGCGAGATGGGGCCCCCGACCGCGTCCGGTCCTTGGCGTAAGCGTATATTTTCGTCGACCACGGCATGGCAGGGGATGGCATGGCGTCGCATTCCTTCCGACGAATGATAGGCTTGCCACGTAGGCACGCTGACGCGGACGCTGACGGTCTCCCCGTTCCGAGTCGGCTCGCCTGACTGCATGCGCGCGCCAGTCAGACTGGGAAGCTCTGGGGGGCGCAGGGGCAGTAGCCTTTCCGAGGGTATGACACCAAAGCGCTCCCACTTTCCTTCATAAGCCCATACAGTGTACTCCACATACCGTATCCCCCGAGGAGCCCCTACCCCTACCCCTGCCCCCGGCCATGACAGGGGCAATTGCCTCCGGATCTATTAGCCTCCTCGGCCGGCCCTAGAGGTCAATGCTGGGGTCTCTGTCCCCGACTGCACCGTGACCCTGCGTCGGGGCCCAGGCTCACCTACGCGACGCTAACCATCGTCTGGGACTCTGGGGGCTTCCAACTTTTGTCTAAGCTCGCCTGACCGCCTTCTCGCCTTTCGAGGATTTGTACGTAAGCATTCATCAAGGAGCTATTTATACGAGAGGAATGTGTTCCCGTGGGATAAGATCTTCCGTAATCCGTAGGTGAGTGAGTGATTCATGAGGTCCCACTGTCTGGGCCGACGCCAGTGGCTCACTCACGCTCGAGAGTTCTGAGTAAGCCCCGTCTGAAGTCTGTTTTTGGAGGTGTAGGCCCGTTACTCTTCTACAAACCACGCTGCGAACTGATGATGGTGAACATGTCGACGGCGATTGAGTTCTCGATTCCGTGTTGCGTTGTGAGCTCTGCCCTTTGACGAATTCTTGCGCGAGAGAAAGAGAGGAAGAGAGGAAGACCGCAAGATCTGGAATGCAAGGGCCTTCAACATCGAACATTCTTCAACTGTTGGAGTTGGAGGTGGCCCAGATTCGCCACATCTCGTTTGCATGCGGGTTTGGAACTCGTCGTCTCGATGACGTGAGCGTGGTCCCGATCGAGCGAAGGGAGAGCATGGATCCGAGTCTGCAAATCATATCCGCATGGCCATGGCCCTGAAAAACTCGACGCTTTGATGCGGCTGCTGATGGCGGGCGGAGCTCTAATGGAGCCTGATGCCGTGGGCGTGAGTAGTGCACAGCCCACAGCAGCAGCGGCATCGTCAGCCTTCTCACGTACGTCGTCAATTCGAGCACACCGCATTCGGAAGAGGACATGAGCATCTGCATCAGTGAGTGCCCTGCGAGCTCTCTCTAACACGGCTCTCAAGGATCAGAGGCGCAGGAGAAACGAACCTCACCCCCCTCGAATCTTCAAGGGGTTAAAACACCACGGGGGTGCTTAAACTCCTGCTCTCTGGCCCATCAAAGCTGTCTGTGGTTACAGTTGACCGGTAACCGGTATCCTCCAGTGCCCACGGCTCTGGTCGGGAAGAGCGACGGAGTTCCGTGTTGAGACGTGGCGCAGAGGTTCAGACAGAATCGTGCTAACCACGTACTGCTCGGGGGAATATTCCCGAGTTGGGGAGGAATCGAGTGCAATGGTCCGCTGGAATCTTCGGAGGTGAGTGCGTCCAGTGTACTGCCCCACCCCCACCCCCCGGCTATTTCCGTTATGCTCGAACCCTCCCAGACCCAGCCCCAGCCCCAACCCCAGCCAGGGGAACATGCCGCATGTCCATCGTGTATCCCCCTGTACCTGCGGGACAAGGCTTCTGTCTATGCGCTCGAATTGAGACAACCCCCGATGAACGGAATAGCCCTGTTCCCCGCGCAACAGCCCCTGACGCTCCTCTGAGGAGACGGGTCCGAGACCGTCCGACCACATTGCGTCAGGCCCCCCGGGGGCCCCGTCCCGCATCCACGCCTTCCCCATCGTCGCTTGGTGCCTCGCTTCCGTTAAAGGTGCGTCCTGGAGGACAAGAGGAGGATTTGAATCGGACCGGGCGGGCGGGCAAGCGGTACGCCCCGAAATTGTCAGGCGGCCAGGAGGAGTCTTAGCTGCCCGCCAATAAATGCAAGCACCGGGTGGTTTCTCGCCTGTACTTTACAGCCTGACACTCTCGCCTCTTAGCCCCGCTGCGATGGGGCCTCGCTGAAGGCGCTTGTTAATCAACCCCCAACGAGCTCTGCAGTTCCACATGTACCCCACCCCCACCCCCACCCCCCGGATTAAGGACGTAGCCGGGCCTCAGTCGGCCGTCGCAGCCTTCTGTTAGCGACCTTGGGGCGGAGAGGCGCGTCCCCCGTCCCGCGACGAATGGGCCCGGAAGCGACCGAAGTCCTGCGCCGAATGAATCCATGGCCCGGTGTCCCCCGTCGTCACGACTCACGGGGTACGATGGGGTGGCTAGCTGGACTACCCCCAAGAGCAGCGAGCGTAACTTTGCATCCTGGACTTCGTATGAGCTCGAGGCACGAGTGTGTACGGCGTATGTATGACGAAGGTACATCATAGTACAGTACAGAATCATGCTGACAATGTTCACCGGAGAATTTCGCATCATTTGGCCTTTTAGCTCTCGGCCATTATTGGACTCTCGCGCCATCGCTTTCCGACTAAAGGCCTGAACGCTCGGATTCTGTGTGACGAGCCCAGCAGCGGCTGCTTCCCCCGCTGCTGCCTCGTCTGCGTGCGCTAGATCTTCACCGCTTTCTGACTTTTCTCAAATCTCTGTGCGCGCATTGTTGACGTTCCCTCATTGACGCCTAATTCACGAAATTCGGTAGAACAGTGAATTCGACCTCGGAGGCATCCACTTCCTCCCTCATTACCACGTTCCTGCTCATGTGAATGATGGAACCGAGAGCACTTTTGGTGGTGGAATTCCGTTTGTCCTCTGTCCTACTTCCGATCCGAAAAGTGCCCAAATTCGTGCAAACTTATGTCCGCCCTTCCGATTCCCGGCAGCTCCCAAAGCCTTCTTTCGAGTTTGGTTTCCTCATTCCGGGGGCTTCATTACTGATCAATCATTTATGAGTGTGGGGGGAAAAGAGATTACAGAACAAGCGTGCTTGGGCTTGGGCTTCAGGTTCCTTCCTTCGGGAGCGGGTGGATTTCGCATGCAGTTGCAATTCTGCATGAGACCTGAATAATGAAATCATGCCCAGCATTAACTTTTGATGTATCCGAGAAAGGCACTGTTGGTGCATGAAAGATGTCATGTCGAGATGAAGTGTTGGGGCTGATTGATTCCATACGTGGGGTGCGAGCAGCGACAAAGATCACCTTCAGAACATGTGCGCCACCCCATTCACTCACTCACTCACTCAACTCATTCCTGTCTGAATTACATTTCGACCACTCGGAGGAGGTTGAGTTCATTAGCTCGCTCTCACACTCTCCCCCTCCCCCCCTCGCCCTCTAAAAACACACAAATCCGTCCTTCCATTTGTTCAATAAATTTCCTTTCCGTGACCGAAGATTGATCTGCTGCTGCTGCTATGACTGTGGCCAGCGGTTGTACCCGGGTCGACATGATCATGAGTTGGTCTGAGTCTCTGGGAGTTAAGGCTCAAGCATCACCGAGCTGCGTGATTCCAGCTCCAATTTCAACGACGGAACACTCACTCCGTTAGGAATTTCTTCCCTTTCACCCCCTCGGGTCCGTTGAAGTCAAGCCCCTCTTTCGCCATGGTCACTGCTGCTAGAAGCCTGCGCATGCACCCCAGATTTGCGCCCCAACGCTCCAGATTCCAAGGCCTCGCTCGCGAACTTATCCGCATTCCGGAGAGCAGCGTGATACAAGATTTCATGGTACACGACTTTCGAGACTGCTACCACATGTTACTACAGCGTACGAGGGGCTGGTGTGACATAGACATGTCGTTGTATTCTTCGGCTTCCCATGTTGTCCCTAAATGATGCTCGGTGAGCGAGCTGAGCATGCAATGAGTTCGATAGATTTATATTCCATCCTATAATAGATTCCTATCGAATTCATTTGCTAAATGGCAAGATGCAAGAGCGACAATGGCGGTGATGTGCAACCGAAGGATGTCAGCAGTCGATGGTATGGGGTGAACCTGCAAATCGTCTACAGAAGTCTACAGGAATGTGCATAGCCAATAGAAGGTATTGTCCCCATGGTCGATAGTTCGAGAGTGAATGAATGAATGAATGAATGAGCAGGATGAGGACCTTTGCTTACTATTCTCGAAGGTGGTGTGGTTAGTGATCATGTTTTTGAGAAGGCGATACGAGGGACGGTAGGGTACCAGTCCACTCGAGTACTCATGGACAGCAGCCGAAAAGGTCCAGATCTCACAACCTCATACACTCACTGACAAACAAACAGGTTCAAGGGACGGACCGTACCAGGATTTAACGATAGAGTCTACAGTCTAGAGTCTAAACAGGAGAAGGGTCGGTCACTTATGAAATTCCATTGCAGCGCGAAGGATCTCTTCTTCACGTCCGAGCCCTCGACGATTTCAATTCCCCTGCTGTTAACAGATGCTAATCGAGATGTAATTCAGTGGCCTCTGCAGCTCTGAGTCACTGACAATCGTAGAGTCGAAGGCATTGTGCTTGTGTCGATCTCTCTGGCCAAGTCTACCCTACTGAGTCATACTAATGGCATCTAGAACCCACATGCTAAAATGAGACTCCAGCGTGAGTAAGTGAGTGAGTGAATGAATGAAGGACGAGACATACGCACTGCAGTAGTACATGTATAGTCGTAAGAACTCGGGTGCATGATCTGTAGCCGGCTGATGCATTTGTCAGTAATCAGGGCTCGGAGGTCAGACGTGTGAAGTATAGAACTGCTACTCGCTTGCTTACTTACTGTACTGTACATACGAATGAAGAATGGCGCAGGTTTTGGCTTCCTCATACGCCCAAATGTGGCGAAGCAGTTCAATGCTCGAATGAGTGAGGGCCTCTTTACTGCGTAGGTGCTCAATAGCACCAAGCAATACATACCATACAGTACAGTACCCCGAGGCAATACAAAGACAAATGACTTGACTGGACTTTGGATCCACGACGAAATTCGTTGATGACCTGTCCCTCATTCATTAAGTGCTATTCGACCCTTACTTCCTTCCTTCCCTCCTTCCCTCCCTCCTACCTACGTTACACGAAGAGTGCATTCCTCGTCCTCCCCCACCCCCTGCCCCTCCCTGTCGCCCTCCTCTCGTTGCACAATGCAAAAGCAGTGTAAGACTCCCCCACCCCATCCATGATTGCAGCCGAGCTGGCTCGAGTCTGCTGTACCGTCGGACCTGACCTGACCTGACCAAGTTGCAGGAAGCCGGCAAGAACTTCAGGAAGGCGAGGGTCTGCGATTCTCTCCGTCCGGAATCGGCCCATCCATAGCTCAGACTCGTGACGTGTATGTGTGAGAAAAAGGCAACTCGACCCTTCTGGTTTTCTGGGTGAGCCGAAGTTCCAGACCCAGAAATCCACAAGTGAATGAATGAATGATTAAACGGTAGATCGATTGGAGCTTTTGACCTTTTCCAGTCATGAAGTAAAAGGGCGCAATGTGGGTTTGACACGCGAGGTAGATGAGCCTATTCATGAAGAACAAAGTGGAAATCCACGCTCGTTGGTACTGGCTGTGATCTTGGCATAGTTCATCTGCAGCTCATGCTTCGCAATTGAAGCTGTCGTGAAAGCAGTCGGATGAGTACGTGCGCCATATCGGTGCTAGTCTAAACGGGGCCTTTCCATATCGTCAACGGTGGCCACTGAGCATCACCTGGTTTACTTCCATCGATTATTAGGTCATGATGAAGTAAATGAAGCGAAAAGGCTCATTGAAAGCCAATCATGTATGGATTCTCTGTCTGACTCGTATACAGAATCAATGACTATGCAAACCCTACCAGCACAATGGGCATTCAATAAAACAGAACTTTGGCTTTGAGCATATTCTCCCATCTTGTCATCGCCATATATACCCACAAACTTGTCTTTTAACCAATGAGTGGATTATAAAAGGATTCAATCAAGTGAATGAGCACTGGATTTCTGAAACTCTCCGACGTTCTTCTTCCTGCAGGAGCCATAAGAATCTCGATACGATAAAGCAAGTGGGTTGATAATGGGATGGTTGATACGAAAAGCAAGTGGGTGGTAAAACTTAAAAATCAGGGCAAGCTTTTGTAGTCACATTCTCAATGCATCCGAATTCAAGACAAAGTGACTGCTTGGGAATGCATCCTCGATTATAATCTGTCCGGTCAACATATACATGGACGACAACTACAGGAAAGAGCACCGTCAATGACTGCAAGCTGTCAATAATGGTCTATCCATTGACAACTTGGCCCAATTTGACGGTGCACGAAAATGGTAACGTCGACAGCAGTTCATTATCAACTTCGTGTATCTTCCTCTTGTGGTTGCCGTATGTGAGCTTCTCATTTACGAAAGTAGCAAGTGCACGAAAGTCGTAGCGACGGCTACGAGGATTTCCAAGTCACAGAGTTTATGTGGCCACTTGGATGTTCACAAGATGCAAGAGGTGGGTGGAGCATCTGGATGGCTTTTTTATTCCACGTTTTGGATTCATGCGGTTTGTACCAACACCGAATAAATTCGACAATTAATGTCCAAGGGAAGGGAGGGGATCGGACTTATGGACGTGGTTAGCACCCAGTTGGCTTCAAGCGGAAAGAGAGCATTCCAGATTGCTCGAGGCATTGATTCTGAGCACGACGGAAGCACCACAAGGACATTGCATAAGTCCTCACACGTACCTCTCGCCCACTGAGCTCCTGGTGTTGAACGTCCACACGGATCTCTGACTTTGGCAGGTCGTACTCTCTGTCCCCAACCGAGTCGTTGCTACTAAAGTGAAACTCCAATTCAACCGCGCGAGGTTGTCGATACTCGGAGACTGAATTGGAGTTTCACTTTAGTGGCAATGGAGTGAAAGGAATGAGCAAGTCAAGCTCTTTGACGCAAAGCATGGAGGGGATCAGAAGTAGTTCTGAAGCCTTGAGAAGTGAGTACTCAGTGGAGATGTGCAGTGATCGAGTGTTGACATTCCAGCCTCAACATGGGACAAGTAGATTACCATGATAGGATGGGATCACAAGAGAAACCAGTGAATATTGACATTCCAACTGCTGAGAGGTGTGGCCAAAGCATCATAGCAAAGAATCTATAGCCATCAGAGCATCACTTCTCGGTTTGTGCACCGGAGTGCACAACATGGTGGACATTGTCGATGCGTTTGAATATTCAATTCTGAGGGTCCAAGGTCAAGAAGTTTCGGCTACTAGCGGCGACGGTTGTTCAAAGCATCGACAACCTTTATATCAGTTCCTTTTACAATCTCCTGAATTTGGAGTTTAATGTCCTCTGAGTAGTAAGGACTTCGAAACGGCCCCAATTTCGGGCCTGAGGTGTAATGTGGGCCACAATGCCTTCTCCTCTCCTTCATATGGAAAAAATAATGCGACCCTGGAGACAATGAGAGAGTATCTCGGGTAATGATCCAACATTACGAAACCGAGCCACTAAAAAAATTTGACCGCACATTCTTCACATGTGGTTCATCACACTGACACGATCGTACGGGGGAGAATGTGCCTTGACATAAGCTGTGGCTTCTTCTTCAGAGAGTCCATGCTCCAGTAGACCTCTGATGATAACATGGCTATATGATTTTGAAGGTGCGCAAACAGGAAGTTGGCCTTCACTGAATCTCCTCATATCAGCAATGGAACATCTGCAGAAAATGAGGACAGTCAAAACCCTGTGAGTCGATAATTCACCTCACGATCAGAGCTTCCTGAGATGAACGTCATATCATGCGACCTTAAAGTGGGAGAGAGGAGGGGATGCATATTCCATTAAACTGCAAATGATCAACAACTTTCGCTGATGGACTGCCTGCCTGGTTCTAAGGTTGTTCGTCTTCAGAGAGATCTCATTTCAGCTTCTAAGATTATAACCATCGCCATAGTCAGTGAGGACACTCTTACGTGAAGGTCAAAATAGGAAGCCCATCTTCATCGCGTAAATACTTCAGGGTTCCGTACCAGGACCCCTGCACAGGAGAGCAGATCTGACTTCAGTGAAATACGAGGGCCCTGATACTTTCCTGCACTACCGGCCTTGACATTCAAAGGTGATGCAACGACCAGACAGTGTAATTCATCATTCACATTTCGAAGCCATTCCTGTGGTTTTTCAGTCTATGACTTCGACACAGCCGGATACATATATTCTGCCTAAATGCACATCTGCTAAGGAGCTTTACCGGGAAGAAGTCGAAGGTACGATGGCTTGCTATCTCATCCCTTCTCAATCTGTCGATGAAATTCCAGTCGACGGTCGAGTGACTGTTGACCGTGGAGTCGTTTGGATCTCTTCGATTCTCCTGTGCGAGCACATCGCAGAACTGCTGCAACCTGTCCACAAAAGCATCAATAGCTTCGAAGCAGGACTTGCCAAGCCATACAACTGTGCCGAGCTGCAAGTGCGTAATTTTCTGTCCCTTTACAACTTGGCAGAGGAAGGACTTCTGCGCGTTTTGCAGCTTTCCTCGTTCCCTCGTGAGGTCAAATGGAGGTAAAGATGGAACTCACGTTATCTTGTATATACGCATCAAAGTATCGGGAGAACCTCCATGTGAGATGGGATCCAGAAACGCAACACCTCCTGAGCCCCAAAAGGAACTCCACTCGTGACCGAAAATTAGTTTATGAGGAACTCGTAACCATCGAGAAGCTACTGGAGGTGTTCTGTTTCTTCCACCCCCGCATGCCCTTGCCATGCCCTCTACCTGCAATCGACATCAGGTTTACTGATGCTCAATTTAAATCCACAGTATCTACATTTCATGGGAAGATGCAACAAATATACAAAATGTGGATAGTGACAGCGGACTAATAGCTAGCAGGTCTTCTGTGAGATCACACCTTGCACCGTTCCTGACGGCAATGCAAGTCTCGAAATATGGATGTGCCCTGATTTTTGATCTGAATGGACTAACAACTTCTTCTGCATGATGAAACTATTTGCAGAGCTGCATATCATCCTTCCATGTTTTACAGAGAGTTTTACCACGAATTTGGCTTTGAAACTCAGAGTTCTGAGACATTGAATGAAAGCTGCTTTCACTCATACCTGCCCTCCCTCGATGTAACACATGAACCTTGCACTCCACATGTTTGAAGCGTAGCTGCCATACCAAACGTAGGTGCTCTCAGGATCCTGGAACGAGGAAGAGGATCCAACGAGAGCCATCGCTTCGACTCCACAGCCTTCAACTCGAACTCTGTCCTCGTAGACCTTTGCCTCGTCTTGAACTGTGTTCTCATTCTTCAGTTCCGGTGTGCTGTATTCTGTAATCCCTGATGCCTCGACCTCCACGCGAGCTGATGAGCTCACCACTTCACTTCCATCTCCAGCCATGTGGCAGGAGCCTGAGATTGGCAGCCTGAGACCCTAAACCACCGGGCCCTCGCTTTTCTCTGTGTCTTCTGCAGAGAATTGATCGCCAGAGTCATCAAGGCATTGCAAATTGAAGTGGTCTTCACTCGAGATAGGAAGGTGGCTCCTGATCATCACACACACGCTACTCACAAATTATTACCAAGCCTTGCTCGCCGTGATTGACAATTGCAGCAATTTGTATCAGTATTTAGAATCTTCCCAGTCGTCGTTATCTCTTATCGAAAAACTGTTCCTGACAGCCAATATTTGATCCATGCTTTGATTCCAAAACTGAAGACAAATCCCGGAGTTTGCCGCAGCTTCAGACCATGTGCAGCAGCAGGCTCACCAGAGTCCTGTCGGCTTGGATAGCATCGCAAACACAATATCGAGCTACCTTGCAGAGAGAAAAACGCGCAGCACTTACAGGAATGGATCTGTCCCACAGGTCCGCTGAAATTCGTAACTTCTTCCCGTTGACCGAATCCTGATACAACAAACCTGAACAAAACTGGATCAAATTCGGGGGCTTTAATCAAAATACGTCCCCCCTCATGTCTACGAGAAATTCGATCATCTGATCGGACTATCTTGACATCCTCCAAAGGTAGCGCACGATCTCAGAAAGAATCTCGAAGCAAAGGATTTGAAACTCAAGACACGAAAGTATTTTACTTCCATACGAACAGGGCATAAAGCACCACTATGCCACAGTTTTCTCCGGAAGGAATCACAGTACCTGATGGAATTGAAGTAAGAGACTGAAGAAGCCGACTTTGACGACACTGCAGGCCAATCTATTGCAGACTGTTCACCTGTTGGGTGACAATTCTCCAGCACACCGCTCCACTGCGAAGTGAAGCCATGAAGTTGAGAGCGATGTCAGGACTTATGAAGGATCATCTGTACTTCGCACGGTGGCTACTGCATTATCATGTACAGCACTTTTGAGACCTTTTGAGCAGTTCAATCCCGATCTGAAATTGTCGTCAGATACCCTAGGCCTCGATGTGTAAAGTTCTATTTACGTTTTATTGCAGAACAGTTTCGGAAGTACATGGTTTTTGAGAGTCCGTGAATGTCTGGTTAAAGTGTTACTACGTGATAATATGCATGAAGTAAACATGAAGTGTTATATGTATATCTAGAGAATAAAGTGTATTGTCTTCGAACCTCTTTATCATTTTATGCTCAGTTCATATCTTTAGTATATATAATGCTTTCCTTCACAAATTCTTATTTTCGCAAGATTCCAAGAATGAGAGCATTGGCGCAGTTCTGGTGGGATTTCAGAGGAATTTGCGACAGGATATGTAATCACGGGACATAAATAGTTGTCGAAAGTAGCTTGGACCAAGCACAGATTAGTCAAACAGCTCAATTCTTCAAGCCCTCTAGTGCCAGTCCGTTGGATGGACGTTGGGACCCTTCAAGGGTCCCAAGGTCCAATCACCAAGGGCCACCTTTGGTGATTGTAAAAGCCACGCCCAAAGTTACGACAACGCAAAGTGTATGTAATCGGTGCAGGGCAGTCACCGAGTCAAGGAGTACAACTACCTCTAGATTGAAGAGTGAAGTCCTGAAATCGTTCCTCGATGTATGAGTTTTTGCCCTTGAGACGCAGGAAAGGAATCCACAATCGAATTCTCTAGGACAAACACCATGAGATAGAAAGTTCCCCGTGTACTATGTGCAGAAACCGACAAAAATTAGTGTACCCATCGTATATGCCGTGTGTTGCCTGCAGACTGGTGTGGACACGGTACAGTCTCGGAGCTCACTCGGCGTGATGGCATCGATGTTGAAGCTAAAGGCCGAGCTGGACTGCAGATTCGGATGTGCTGGTCTTTTACTTCTATTGCGGAAAAGTATGGGGGTAGGGTTGTAAAATCAACAGCCTAACATCCAGAGCTAAGACTGATCACAGAAATCATAAGCCCAGTTACAAAGATCGAGGCAAATCCCAAACATAGCGAACGTTATCGGCTTCTTTTTTATCATATAATGAACACATGTGTAGAAAGAATGGAACCCCAACAATTCACTACAAAGAGCACGGACAGAAATAAACAAGTGAGCTGAAAAACAAAAAACTAAGTTATCACCGCATAGATCACAGATGACATCCACAATACGTAGAAGATGAACACTAAGACATCAGGTTCATAGAGATCGACAGCTTCGACAGTAACGAATAAAATGGCCTGAATTAATTCATAATGCTGGAAAATCACAACAGACCCAAGTAAGTAAAAAGCATCCGAGCCCGAGTTCGAACCTCGACATAAAGCATTCAAACTCCAATGATCTTTGATGTACCAGGTACCAAGCTTTCCACTAGGTTGAATACGGCGATGCGTGTACAAACAATAAATAATGACCTACTGTCTCCACCATTTGAAAAGGTAACGCTTCCATTTGTTCGAGTCGCTATTTACAATATTTCTGAAGCTACGGGTGCACTTCTCTCACAACATGTTACAGAGTGAAGCTCCTAAAACTCAACACTAATGCATCCCTACTCTAATGAAATCAATCATCTTATCTGTACATGAGTGACGATGCTCTAAGAATCCCAGGCAGCAAGTAGAAAGTAATGTCGGAGTCCAGGACTACACTAGCAGCCGCTTAATCACACGGCAGGAGGCCCACACAGCCATCATGGCAGCTCGAACAATCACAGGACTTTTGTACAGCCTGCAGCAACCAAGCCCAACATTCTGCATCAGACACGATAAAATTTATCCTGAAGGACGACTCGCAAGATATAGGAGAGCAAAATGACTAAGACTTACTCGGCCGCAGTGGCTCCCCACGACGCTGCAGAATACACGAACTTCCCGCAGTTCCATAGCTTCCGCAGCTTCCCCTTCCTCTCCAGATCTGTGAAGGCTTGGCTAATTGCTGCAACATTCCCAAAAAATAACGATAAGAAAACGAAAGTGTATCTGAAAACTACAAAACAGTCGAGCGGCAAAACAACGACATGACAAGGTCGTGAGCGTACCTTTCTGTAGCTCTTGAGGAGACATTGCCTGGAAGTCCAGTACACGCAAACGTCAGACTGATGCACACGAGATACACTTATGCATACACTCCGTCAGCAACGGAAGCGCCACGGGAGGAGGAATCGAGGGCAATTTCCAAAAAAAATACTCCGGAGAGATTTTACAGATTATTTGCACAGGACTAAGGGCCGTGGAAACAGGAACAGGTTGCGAGGAAACAATGGCGGCTGACCAGATTGTACTTTTCAATCCAGATACATTGGCAAAAGAGCAAATGACACATGGTGAAATATTCCCAAACCATAACATCAGCACAACACAGCCCTTGAATCCAGAAACTGGATATTCAAAGGCGCTACCTTTGGAGAAGATGAAGTTTAATTTACGATGTAAGAACATGACGGCAACAAAACTTGAGCTCTCCGTACTTGCCTTAGTTTGAGGGTTGGAAGAGATGTATCGAGCCATGAAACTCGCAATACCATCTACAATATCTTCCTGAGTAACAACGACGAATGCATCTTGTCCACACTGATCCCCCTCCTCTTTAAGCTCCTCGTCAGTCAAGTCGTTATCCGTAACCATCAGCCATGAACTCGGATCATCTGAAATGAAGTACTCAGAATTAGACACTTCAGACATCAACGCGCCTGGAAATGTGAAACACTCAACGACATGTCCGCTCATGGTACTCGATGGTCACACTTGCAGAATGCGCCTAAAATATTCATACTAGAATCAGTACCGCAAAGAACCATGTTCAGTCCAACCTGCAACGCTGACAACCATTCCGTCTGGTGACTTGGAGTCTTCGCTGCAGTTCGTTAACTTCGACAAAAACTCTGGCGAGTCTACTTTTTTCTTCAGTCGCGCGTATAACTGCTAAAGCAACATTCACAGAGAAGGTGCAGAATATAAGTCACTGTCCTGTCGGAAACCAGGAGAATGAAGAGTTGCAGGAATCCCAGGACATTCAACCAGGATCGACTTAGGTTTTCATCTTACATGGTAGCATGGAATGGGCAAAAACTGCTGTACTTAAGATTTACTGTAAAAATGTTGGATATGTTATCTCACGAGGAGAATGTAAAGGACCACACAAGGTGAAAGTCTCAGGATGCAAGGTGCGTGAGAACTCTCGTGAAAACTTGAAACTAGTAGATTCATGCATCCAGATGGTTCGCAATTCAGTCAGATTCGGAGCGAGAACCGACCTCAGAAGGAGTTTCCTGACTGCTTCGCGAGTGCATCCCGTCCAGAGCTTTCTGATACTCCTCGAGTTGAGCACGCAGGCGCTGATTTTCCAGTCGCTGCTGCTCCAAAGCATCTTCGACCTGCAAAATCTCCTTCTCGCGAGCGACGACATCCGGAGAATGATCATGATGACGCTTTTCCAAGGCGGTCTTCGCCACGCCCGCGACTCCTTCCACAACCGCCACCGCCACGGTCAACCCTTCTCCGTGCATCCTGCCCTTCCTCCGATCGCCCGCCCAATCCGTCCTTCGTCGACGGCGCTGCCTCAATTCGCTCCAACTACCGACTACACAGCCAGAGGAGAACCCATGCTCACCGATCCCGCACGAAGCGCCCACCAATTCCACCTACATACTCCCAATTCTCAAAGCCGCCCTAACCTCCGTGGCCTCCTGAGCTCCGTAAAACAGTCCGACCCAGTGGCCGGCATTCCGACCTCCGTCACTTCTCGGATTCTCTCGTCGTCGACCAACTGGTTCTCAAATCAAGGCCAATCAATCAATCGTCCATCGGACCTGCACTCGCTCGACTATCAGCACGTCACGGCAGAAGTGAAGACACTGGAATTCATTGCCCACCGAAACCCCGAAAGACAGACACCAGAGGTAAGAAGATGAAGAGAAGAAGACGAGAAGAAGAGTGGCTAGGAAATGGAAGAAGAGGATTCTGAGAAAACGGAAGAAGAGAATTCCGAGGGAGGAGGTTTCACCATGGATAAGAAGAAGGGAGCGAAGACGAGAGAGGAGGGGAGAAGGCAAAAGGTTGATGCCGAAAGCGTGGAGACGGTCGGTCGAGACAGTTGCTTCGCTTGACTAACCCCCTGCCTCCCTCCCTCCCTCGAGGAGAGGGGCTGCTGGCAGCGAGGAGGGAAGGACAGACGAACAAGGCACCCGCGCGGACAAGCGCCAGTGCAGGCTCTGCAAGCACACGCAGCGTCTGGCGCGGCGGCAGGGCTTGCAGGCCCGGTCTGGGGGCTTATTCTCTTGGCGCTCTTTCCACACGCACCACTCTTCTACTCCTGTACTCCACGATCGACGGGGGCTGCGGTGGGGCTGTGGGGCCACTCCCACCGCTTGCCTTCCTCCACTCGACCTCCAGATATAGCGGGGCTTGGGGCTAACTTCAGGAAGCCCTTCTTTACCCCTCATGTTCCCCTTGCGTACCACCTTCTCCATCAGTGGTAAGAGGCGGTTTGTCACACGATGGTGGCAAATTCTGTTTTCCAGCGTGCGTGCGTACAGTCCAGTTTTCCCCATGAAATCTCCGCAAGTAACCGGTGTTTCATCAAGCTTTCTCTTCTGCACGAACGGTGACGTCCAAAAACTTACCTCACAACCTGAAGAGTGATTGATGGAAGGATGTACATTCTTCCATCATTAAGAGTAAGAGGATGGGAAGACTTAAGGAGAGGCATAGATGGTGTTTACTCTGGTATGAGGATTGAGTGCTCGGCTGGCTGGCTGTTCAGTGGATTATTCAGCTGTGCATAAAATGGTTTTCTGGCCTGGACCACAAATGATCTGATTCCGAACACAAAAGAGTGTTGGACCTCAATAAACGAAGTGAAGCTCGAGAATCATGCCAAGCTCGCGGTTTTGTGATAGACGACTGATAGTCCTGGCAACCGTCTCCCGGACAAATATGCAATTTCCAGAGCTCAATTAAGTTCCGTTAAACCTTGATATGACGCATTAATTAGAGGTAGGGTTGGTCAGAAGTTGTAGTGTCGTGGATGGTTTCTTTCATTCGTTATGGTGTCGGCTTCTCACAATGGGAGAATCTTGTTGCGAGGTTTTCAACACCGACCTCGAATGAGGCTTGTGAGGAAAGTAGGAAACGATAGCAAAATGCAACTAGAGTGCCAGCAGCTTTGAAAGAAAACGGGTGAGATGTTCTTCTTGTCCGTCCATTTCGCCCCAATTGATTTAATTCCGGATTATTTTACTTTTACTTTTTTTCTGAAAACTGTCCATGGTGCTCATTGGGAAACGACCAGAACACTTCTTGCTGCTTCTTGAGACAAACTGTGAGCAGGAAAATGACCTTGTAGGATACAGATTTCAGATATGCAAACGAGTCTCAACCAAAGTTCCACACAGAATTGTGGAGGTGCTGAAGAGAGGGACACATTGTACACCAGACTGTAGAAAATAACTTTACAACCTTACCCGCTAACATAAGCCGACAAGAGAAAACTGCTATGTTACAATGAGTACAAATCGTAAGGCCAGGCCATCTGATGCCAGTGGGTCTTGAATATGAGGGTTTCCTCGAGGAAAAAAATTGAGCAATGCATATAGACAGTACAATTTGACCTGATGTGTCATCTTTTTTTGAGAAGCTACATGTACACTTTGTGAAGCAACTAGAGAGGCCTCATTTCACTAAACAAATACCTGGTGATGTTTCTGATGTTTAACCCAGTTCGATGCTGTTATGTACACAAACAAATTACCAAAAACGTCGAACAGTTCTGTACATGTGTGATACTGCTATAGGTCACCATGCAATTTGATGGAGACGAACATAACGTAGGTGTTCCGGACTACACGAGAAGCCTCGCAACCACGCAGCAAGAAGTCCACACAGCCATCGTCGCAGCTCGAACAATTACTGGATTTTTGTACAGTCTGCAGCCAACACGGCATACAATCTGGGTAAGAAAGAACACAAAGTTGATCCTGAATGACGTCTCAGACATGAAAATATAACGAGAAAAAAAGAAACTCACCCGACAGCAGTAGCTCCCCATGAAGCTGCAGAGTACATGAATTTGCCACAATTCCACAGCTTCCTCAACTTCCCTCTCCTCTCCAGATCTGTAAAGGCTTGGCTAATTGCTGCACCATCCAAAGACACAAGTGTAAGCACACGAGAAGGTCAACTGGCCAACCCGACACATACCTGAAAACAGCACAAAATGACCTGGAAAGTCGTGGGTAGTACCTTTCTGTAGTTCTTGAGGAGTCATCGCCTGCAAGTCCAATACACGAAGTTAAGCTCCAAGTTAAGCTACAGATGATTATCATGCAAATACCAATTCATGCTGGGAGACGGGAATGTCCCAATGTCACGTCAAAAAATCAGGAAACAAGCTTTCTAACCATCCTCCGATACCAAAGCAGGATAAGGTTAACCGTTTGATCCATTGAGCTGATTCAAAGGCGACAGCTCTAGTTGTCGAGAAAATTGGATCAAATCTAAGAACGAAAGAATAACAACAAAAGCCAACTTGATCTCAGCATGCCCCACCTTAGTTTGAGGAATAGAAGAAATGTATCGAGCCATGAAACTCGCAATACCATCTACGATATCCTCCTGAGTTATAACGACATAGCCATCTTGTCCCAACTCATCCCGTTCCACTTTGAGTTCCTTTTCGGTCAAGTCTTTATCCGTTACCACCAGCCATGAACTTGGATCATCTGGAATGAAATATTGAGAATAAGAAAACTTGAACGTAATTAACATTGAGAACATCTGCTCCATCCCATTCAAGAACACGAGCTCCTCACCCTCAACGGAACAAAGAATGCTGCGAAATAGGCACGCATACGTATGCTAGGCTGGAGTTTTACACACACTGGCCATAGAAACAATAAATATGACTCATGAACAAACCTGCAGTGTTGACGTCCATTCGCTCTGGTGACTTGGAACCTTCGCTGCAGTCCGCCAACTTGGACAAAAACTCTGGAGAATCGACTTTCTTTATCAAGCGTTGATATAACTGCCCAAACAACAAATGGTGAAGACGCTATGTCAAATCTTCTGCAAAAGAAAATTGACAGCATTCTGCAAGGGGAAATTGAAAAGGCTCGAGCTAGTAAAAGTATGGCCGATGCTTTTGATCGAGCAGCCTCCGGGCAATTTCAAGACCAGGTGATGAGGCAAGAATTTGGCTTCAGATGATGAAAATGTGGGCTTTTGTCATTATGGATAAAGTTGTGATTCCTGGGGAGACTACGAGGGCCCACAAGTGGATGGAGGCCTGTGGGGAATTATTCTCGGTTGTTCAAGAATGCACAGGTTGGAGAATCAAAGACGAGAAAAGATCCACACATCCTGATGGTCGGCGTTCCCGCCAGACTCCGAGCACGAGCCAACCTCAGAAGTGTCATCCTGTTCGCCTCGCACTTGCATGTCCTCCAGAGCTTTCTGATACTCTTCCAGGCGTGCACGCAGTCGCCGATTTTCCTCTCGCTCCTGCTCTAAAGCGCCTTCGGCTTCCGAGAACTCCTTATCTCGTGCCACTGCGTCTCGCGATTTATCGTGGCGCCTCTCCAACGCTGCCCATGCCACATCTGCAACTTCCACCACCGCCACCGCCACGGATAACCCTTCTCCGTGCATCCTACCTTGAGTTCTCGATCAAATGATCTGTCTTCCTTCGAAGTCCTTCGAAATTCGATACAATTCCAGACCACGGAGCCCAAACGAACCCTGCCCACGGCTCTGGCAAAGAGAGGGAGAGAGAGAGAGAGATAGAGCAGATTTCCGAATTACCGTCCCCCGATTGGGGCTACCACATACTCGCTCTGATTGCGGTGCCACACCCCACCGCCACCTAAAAGTCGAAAACCCGACGAAGACCCAGTGATAGCATCCGTCACACGAGAAATTCACAACCTCCTGGGACAGAAATCAATGCAATTCGCAATCGCAAAACGAAGCGAAAGCAGAACACCAGAAGCCCGACGAAAGAGACCGACTGAAGCCCCGGCTAGACAACAACAACAACAAGGAGGCAGGGAAGGGGCTTCCGAGAGAGAAGAAAAGAGAGATGAGAGTGAAGAGGATTACAGTATACACAAGCAAAACGTAAGAGGCTCGGAAGAGGAGAATTAATGTTGAGCAAACAGAAGAAAGGAAGGATGGGATGAAGAAGACGGCGGTCGAGGGCGGTGCGTGGCTTTGGGCTCGGGCTTGGGCTTGGGCTTGGGTCGAGTCGCTTGGAACAAGCGACGGAGGGAGGGAGGGGCTGGGCCCCGGGAAGCAGGGAAAAGCAAGGCGAGACCGGACAAGCGGCCGGCGCAGCTAAAATAATCAGCCACGCAGCCTCGGCTATTTTGGCGTATCTGAGGGGGCTAGTAGCGAAAGAAAACGTCGGGGCATGGACGCAAAGAGCGAAGCACCGCACCTCGACACGCCGTGCCGCCAAAGAGAGCAGAGGGCCTGGAGTACGAAGGGAAGAAGCCCCACCGGCGTACGTAGCGCCCGAGGGAGGGAGAGAGGAGGAGGCGAGCCCCTCCCTTACCCCCAACCCCACCCCCCATCGCTTGGCGTGATGGGAGTGATTGAGATCTCGAATAGCGCTAGCGTCAAAAGAAATACAGTGAGGGCCTAAAGAGTGCGAGCGAGCGAGCAGGCGACGAAGGGGAAGCAAGGAAGGAAGGAAGGACGGGAAGGGGGGCTGGGGCTGGGGCAGGGAAGGGAAGGGGAAGGGGAAAGGGAAAGCAAAGCGACCGGAGCGAGAAACGACGAGAGCGGAGTTGCCCCGTGCGGTCTGCCTGCGTGCCTGTCGGTCGTGCGGTCGGTCGGTCGCTGTTTGAATCGGTGCTTGCGTACATGCCAACTTTCGGCAACGCAGCGAAAGATTCCAGACGCAGAGTTTTTTCTGACGTGCTTATTTCAGGTGGGTTGCATTCGCTCGCTCGTCCGTCGGGAGGTCTAGTAAAGGTAGAGAGGTAGAGGTCGAGGTCGAGGTTGAGCCTCGAGCGTCGAGGTGTTAGATGTGAGCGTGGTTACTGCGATTCTCGACAGCTGACTTTAGAAAGGCGTGTGCGGTCGGTCGGTCCGCCGAGGCTGCTCGGCAGTGGAGTAGATTTTGCGTACGGAAGAATGTCGATCGACGTTCGATTGTCGCGACTTCGGGTTGCGAGTCATTGGCGCCGGGGGGGATGCGAGGCTCAGCTCTAGTGGAAGCACTGGGGTCTTTGTTTTTGCGGACGAGATTAGCAGAATGGTGAGATTGTCGTCGGTCGTCGGTCGTCTGGGTCTCCGAAGCTCAGAAGATAGCCGCAGAGATGCTCCCGCACCCGCACCCGAAAGCTCGTAGCCCAGGTCAGTGACGAGGAGGCCGGCGAGCTTTGGGCGACCGAAATGCTTTGCTCGTCGCCCGAATTCGAGTTGTCCCTCGGCGCCCTCGCTCGCTCGCTCCGCAATGCGTCCGTGTTTCACTCGCGTCACGCTCATGCTGCCGCCGGCGCATCAGTTGGTGCAGCGGTGGCCAGCCCGTGATCGAAGAGGCCTGGCTTCTTGGACTTTTCTTTTGCCGAGGCAAAGAAATGTCGAAGTTTTTTGCCACTTGCTTTGATGCTCGATGCGCCATCGACGAGAAGACCACACGAGCAATTTCGCTCCTGTGCTTCCGTTTCTCATTCTCAGTTTCCAGTGACCGCAATAAAATGCTCTTCTTCGCGTTGGCTCTGCCGGCGGATCGCCAGGCTCGCTCGACTCTCTCCGCCCGATGCCTTCGATCCTGCCTCCTTCCTGTTCCCCATTGCCCGGGCCTTCTTATCCAAGAACAGCTTCTGTCTTGCTGCAGCGAAATTCCTCTCATATCCATCAGGACATGCTTGCGGAAGTTGTAGCTTGTGCAGAGAGACAGACGGGCCTTGTCGTGCACCGGATGCTGAAAGTGTTCTTCCTCTCGGGGATCAAGTGTCTTGTCGTATTTGCAACTGTGCATTGAGGTCCATATCCCTACCGCGTTGCCAAAAAGCTTTGAGCAGTGATCGCTGCTGCTGCTGCTGCCGCCTCTGTCCTAGTTGTCTGATTGCCAGTGGCGTGCTCGGACTGGTAGCCCTTCGATGAGAGGATGCCCGCTCGTACGTCGGTATGTACATTTGCCTGGGCGCTGGGAATTCCGTGCGGCCGCTTTCTGTCAATCTTGCTGCTGCGAAGACGTGGTTGATCTGACCTCTGAACGCCACAACTGATCCCAATGTGCGATGTCTGTCAGACCTTTGTGCCGTGAGAATGCAAATTGTACAGCGACGACTAATCTTGGCTGTTGTCAATCATGTGGCAGGAGAGGAGTGAACTGTAGTCTGTACAGTTCTCGACGCCAAGAATCTGAAAGATTCTCGCAATGAACCTTGGACAGCAAATGGTTTTCCCGGTACGTTCCTTCGCCCAGTCGAGAGATCTCCAGCACGCTTTCCCTTCCTTCACTGCGCTGCGACCACGCCCGGTTACCATCCCCACTGGACTCGGCCTGCTTGCGATGTGTCTACCCAATTGTGTATCTCGCTTTGAAGTTGCTTTGAGGTTACTGCCTTTCTCATGCGTATGGTGAAAACCAACGAAGAATCCCTGAAGTCGTAAACCTAGCAGCAGCTCAAGCCTTCGACTGAATCAACCCCCTGTTCCGCTCCCACTGTGCCTGTGAATTAGCTCGTTGTGGGTAATGCTCTTGTCGAATCATTCGTGTTCCCAAGCTCAGGTCTTCATTGGATCCCCTTTCTTGCATGCTCCCTCCGTGCATTGAAGTCCCGCCTGCCAATCTCCAGTGCCTGATGTAGGAAATCTGGTGAATTCCCAACACTTCGTCTGTAAGTGTAATCCACATCGAGCAAGCATCGAACGTTTGTTTAGGTCGTGAGCCTTGTCATCGTTTGTGGGTTCGGACGTTGAGGATTTTAAAAGAAAACGGGAGCATGGCCACCGTGAGTCCCGCAACTTTTGCTCTGATGTGATTTCCATGGGCTACTTGTGCAGGTGCTGGCAGGAACGATAGACGAGGCGACCAGAGAGAGGTTACTTGCGGAGCATCTGGCTTCAAACTTGCAGAACAATTCGCTCTCGACCGCTCTTGCCAATGCCGGATTCATTCCAGCCAACGCTTTTATAAACTTGTATGTGCCTCTTAAACCTGGAACCGTAGATTTTAGAGCATCTCCAGAGAGTGAGTGACGCCAGTGCTGTCGCAGGCGAGAGTTTTGTTAGTGCAATGTCCTCACTCGGCCCTTTGTATGAATACCTCGTGATGATAGTTTAACTTTAGACAAAGCCCAGAAGGTTGTTTGGAGGTCGAGGGATGCGGACATGTAGACACCATACACGGTCTCGCCACAATCAGTATAGGAGACGTAACTCGTAGTCGAGAGAGGACAAGGACGTTTCTCTAATACAGCTGGAGAGGATCTTATTTCTGCAGATCGACTCCAGGAGCAGTTGTCAATCACACCATCAATTTATTGAGGGCACCGGTCGCTTCTTTGGCTCAATCCATCGGTTTGCAGAATACAGCAGCTGTCGTCGGTCATCACCTCGGCCTCAAAGCTGCCGGATTACCTCTAAACAACAGGTTGCAAGTGCCAAATGTGGGCATTAACCATAATCTGGGACTGAATTTACCAGTGGGGGCCAACCCTCACCATTACATTACAGCATTACCCGGCATCGGCATAAACATGGGCCCTAAAGCTCCCGGAGTGAATATGAATAACTCAACTATGGGATCGAAGGTTCCTGGACCAGGTGTGGGCAGCAGCAGCAGCATGAACACGAGGTCACCTGGATCGAGCTCGAGCAACAACAACTTAGCTTCCAGGTTAGCAATGGCTGGTGGTCCTCAAAACATGATGCAAAGAGTAGGTCACCCGGGTTTAATGCGGACTGGATCATGGCAAGCGCCTCCTCAATCTGCCGGGATCCACATGGGTATACCCCAGGCCAATGCGACGCATATGACTGCGTATCCTAGCCACCAAAGAACTGCTGTCCAAGGTGTTTCTGGATACCCTCAACAGAAACACAAGTCGTTGGGTCCGACTTACTTGGATGACTTTAAACAAGGATTCCCTTCCAAAGGCCTGTCTGTGCTCCAAAATCGCTGGTGGGGTAGTGCAGAGCCGAGCAAACGTGCGGAGGTTTCTGAAGGGACAGAGAAAGACACATCGCATGCCCTCAACGCAGGAGGGACGAGTTGTAAAGGTGCCGAAGCTGACAGGACAATTCATGCGAAAGTTGCAGACGAGAAAAGCAAGGAAATTTTGAGTTCTTGTGCCAAACTGTCCGCAATACGCAGAAGGGCTTCCGACGGCGGGAGGAGTGCTCTACAACTTGCCGTCAGCAGAGGATATGGAGTGCAAAAAATTGGACATCAACAATCCAAGGCACTTCAGTTTGTCTTCGGTAACTCATTGCCAAAGCAGTGGTCAGCTGCACTTGTGAGCAGTGACTGAAGTCTGAGACAGTCTCCGATTGTTACGGATATGATTTAAAATCAGTGGTATTGGATTCCAGAGCGGGAAGTCATTGCCATGCACAGACGGTTAGACATTCTTTTTGACGACTTTTCAGCTGTCATCCTCTTTACACTAGCAACGCACAGCCAGGGCGTGGGGTATTTGGTCGTCAGGCTTTGACAGGCACATGAGTGCAGGTTTAACTGTCATCGGACATGTCCTCCGGCCGAACGGTAAGATGACTCTACTTTTCTGTCATTGTATCACAAAGCAGGACATCTGTTTATGTCTTGGAGAGCGATGCACACATGCGAGTTGCAATTGATTTGTGCAGGAAGAGGTCAAAGCTCTTTACATCTAAAAATTTATTACTTGTGTAGATCTGTACATATACCTCGAACATCGACGATATGATCAAAAGTCCTTATGAGATTTGGCTAGTTTTGTAGATTTGCTCATTGTGCTGTATTACAGACCTCGCTGAGTGTAACTTCTTTTTTAACAGGTTTTCACTTCTCTTCTCTCAGGCGGAAAATCTGCCACAGGAGCAGGAAGTAGACGACTCTAGAAGGCGTCAGTCCAAGTATCTTAGCTCCAACAAGGACTTTCAAGGTTTTTTTCTCCTCGTCTTGTTTTAGCAAAGGACAGACTAGGTCATAGGAAATTTCTTTTGCTCTCTGGTATGTAAAGCAATTGTAGATATTGATAGGTTTGGCATGATAGGTTACAAACAGTGGATTAGCTGCAATGGGGCAATCTATCTAGCCAAGAATGTGAAGGTCCTACAGTCAAGTAGTTGACAGGTCGGCGTGGTTCAGTGCTCGAAGGTAGATGCTCGGGACACAACTCGAAAACTTTGACAGTCAACTTACCGAAGTTTCAATTATTCAGATGCATTCATGGCAATTAGCTGTACAAATTAGAACAAATGTGCCACAATAAACAGTCAAGTTTCTCAGCGGGGCATTACGAGGTTCGTCGTTGAAAGAAACGATTCTATTTGAGAACTTCTTGTCAGTAAGTGCATTGTTGCGTATGTGAATGAGCATTTTCCTTGTAAACGGAAGATGATGGGCATCTCCATTTTGGAAAGCAAGGTGCCAAAGTTTCCTTGTCGATTCTATTTTGTCACTTCGGGTTCCAAGGGGGAAGGCAGTTGGGGGAACGGCGGACGAACTAGGAGAACGGCTCAAAACCACGCGAGGGAACCATTCTTTCTGGCGGAGATGAATGTTTCATTCAATCAGCCGCACACAAACACCAGGAATTGTCTACCTGTTGCAGATGCTATGCCCACTTCCCATCCGAGAAGGCGTAGATGTGCATGGATAACAAGACAGAAGCTGGCTACTTCCGAGTTGGGAATCTAAATTTGTGAATTTTGCAGGAAGCACTTGCTTCCTTAGCAGCCATATTGCTGAGTGATGTTCCTGTTAGCCCGCCCTGTACGAAGCTGTGTTGTCAACTCATGGAATACCAGTAGGGAACTGTATCCCCGAAACATGTTTAGGTTGGCTCCCTCCGGCATACGATTTGCAAAGACGGCAGAGACTGGTACTGGCATCCAGGGCAGCTTCCACTTACGGTATCGGGTACTTCCAACAGGATTCTGCCGGCCGGAAGTGTATTCTGCGCAGTCTGTGAATTAGAGGCCCGAAATTGAGGCATGCAGGCTCAAAGCGTGGCACACACTTGCGCGATAATAACATAGTGGTCCAAATTGCACATGAAAAGCGCGGCGTACTACAATAGCTTTAGAATTTGTAGATACAGAAGAATATGGTAGACATGATGGTGGAATGCCGCAATCCCTTGAACATCCATCCTCGTTCATGGTGGAACTAATGTACAACGACAGACATGGTTCGCTACAGGTGAGACTGGTTGCATTAATGGTTGAGGTCGTCCGAAAGCTGGTTGCTTCAGGTGAGATACCTTGTATAGACAGACGGGCAAGTATCGTTCACATGTTAGCACAATGCAATTGCTCACGGATCCGTGCAGCATCCGTGCTGTCGATCAGAGTCGTCATTTGACATTGTGAAGAAGTGGAGTGTGGAGATTGATTGCCATACTGCCTTGTCTGCCCATGGACGATACGATCGGCTCCTTCACCTCGCAAGGCCCTTGGTGGTCTTGGACCATTTGACAGCAGCTCTCGCTAGAGCGTGTGTCGGATCGATACACTTGCGCAGAACAGGATCGTCCGCGTCAAACGCCGTGGGCATATTATGGCAAGCCAGCACCACCACGTTCACAGCATTGACCAGCAACACCTGCACGGCGATTCGCAACAGATTCTTCGCTCCTTCCATGTCTCGCCGCTGCAAGGCTGCGATGCCAGGTATCACTGCGTGTTCCATGGTGGCTTTATCCGGCAGTGCAACATCGAAACCCTATCAAAAAACCCATCGGCAAACACTCCCAGGATCAGTTCATCCGACACAGACTCTCGTACAGCAACACTCTCCTGATCATCAGTACGAGCCACTTCCTACTTTGGAGCGCTCGAGCAAATTCAGATCACTGACAGAATTGTTGGATGGCGGAAGCAACTGCGACAGCACGGGGAGATGGTGTACCTGGCTTCGGAGTTTTTCTTGGTAGAAGGCGGAGGCGAGAGTGGCTTCGCTGCCGAGGACGCCGATTTTGGGGCGGGTGCCGGCTTCGAGAGGCTGCAAGTCGGCGGCTTTGAGCTCGTCGATGACGCAGTCGGCCATGTGCAGGAACGGGACGGTGCAGCCGAGGGCGAGCTGATCGTACCACAGATGCGAGACATGGCAGGGCATGACAATGCACTTGGCACCGGACTCTTCGAGAAATCGCCGCTTCTGAATCAGGGGTTCCACGGTTATGAGCTCAATCTCCTCCTCGGCTCCCGGGTACGCATCCTCCAGAAGAGCCGGCTTGAAGCTCGATTTCATGCGCCCCCGAGACGACGCAATTCTCTTGCGCAAGTTCGGATCACTGCACAGGAGCACTGGAATATGGTCACTCTGATCCTCGGCATTCGATGCGTCCACAATCTTCCTCATAAACTCCACAGTGGCCAGCGGATTCAATCCACCCAGGATACCTACCGTGTTGGCGTGATCAAAGACGCGACGATCCCCGTGCCTTTCCTCGGAACTGGATCCTGAAGGAGGCGGCGGAGGGGGAGGGCAGGGAGGGCAGGGAGGAGGCAAGGTCGAAGCGGGAGGAGCAGGGGGGCTGCTCTCGACATCGTTCAATCCCGTGCCTCCATCGGCGGTTTCCCTCGTGGTCGACGATCCGACCGCGTTTCTGTTGAAATCGCCGAACAGAGCCGTGCCCAGAGGCACGCTCTTCAATCTCGAGAGCTTGCGCACATTCTTCCCCAGCGACGACGACGAGGTGCATCGGAACGAGAGCTTTCTGCTGCAGCTCGGGATTCTACATTCGCGCAGTCGCAGCAGAGACTCGGAATCGCACCGCCTCGACGACGAATTCGCCGGCCCTGCAGCGTGGTCGAAGTTCACTGCTAGAGTCCGGCACAGAGGGTCCGGCATGGCCTCCCCCGCGCAATCCTCTTCGGCAGTCCGCGCAAGACTCCAATTCCTCCCCCGACGAGCTCCCACGTGAAAACCAGCTCGCGCTCTGCTTTTCCGTCTATCGGCCTCTCACGAGCTCACAACAACAACAACATCATCATCATCATCATCATCATCGACGGGATGCAGCTCGTGCTACCACCGAATCATTACCAAAAATGTACGCTCCCGTACAAACGCGCAGGGCGCTCCCGGCGTGACAGTCGACAGCCGAGCTCACGTCTTATAGAAGGGAGAAATCTAGATCCTCTGTGCTCCCATCACACCACCACCACTCTCTCGGCCCATGCCCGTGCACGGACGCTGCGAATCCAGAGCCACCCTACCATTCCGGAATCTCTTCGCTCATCCTCCGCATCCAATCCAATCTCTGCGCCGCACCTGCACACTCTCTCTCACTCACTTCAACTCAGCTGAGCGCAAGCAAGAGCACAATTCTCGAGCTGGCACCGAAGGAGATAATGGGAAAAAGTGAGGGACGGAGAGCGAGGAGCGGCAGAGAAGAAGCCCGAGCGCAAGCACAGAGATCGAGGGAGTGATGGACAGGATTCCGTGGGCCTGAGCCACCAGAGGCTTCGGTCGAAAAGGGGGGTGACCAGGATCCAGATGCTGCAGCTGTGTTTCCTAGCACACTACACTACACTCTTGCGCAGCACAGCACAGCAGAGCAGAGCAGGTTCAGCTGGAATCAATCGTACCTCCTTACTCTAGCTGCTGCTGCTGGTGGCGCTCGCTGCCCATTCCGTGACGGAGCTAGGAATGGGCCTGGGCTCACGAAGGGACGGGAATTGGAGTTTGTGGTGCTTGGACTTCAGAGTGCCATCCCTTCGGCGTCCGTCGTCCACCTGCTTTTTATTAATAGTATTCTATTGCCGAGTCCGAGATCCGTCCGGACTTCGTCTTCTACCCGTTGTCCCACGGGGAATCTCACCCATTCCCGGCTGACCGGCCCGAGCCAAAGAAGGATGCGACGCGGGGGCCAGCGTCCGAATCTTATACCTCGAGCTATCGCCGAGGTATGGTCGGGTAAAAACACTACTTCGACATGCATGCCTGAGGTGAATCTCCTACTTTCCGGTGAAAGGTTTCACCATGTATGGACTCGAGGTAAATTACTTCTCACTGCGAAGTCTTATACATAATATTCCAAATTACTCACATTTTCCCACTTTACCACAACAACATAGTGTTCTACTTCCCATATTTGATTTGTTTTTATAGATTAATCTTCCAACTGAAAATAGAGTAATCTTTACAAGGTTAAAAAAAATCATCTTTTTAAAATTTGGAATTACAGAAACTTTATAAGAATTAATCATATATATATATATATATCATTAAAAAAATTGATCATTATTCAAAACAATAGCCAGTGATTGATATATTTAGATTATCAGATTTTTAAAGTGTTTTGCTACAAATATAACTTGCTTATATTCATAGTGTTTAATATCTTATGATTGGTTTCAACTGTCTTTTCATACTTCTTTAATTATATCAAAAATTAAATCAACATTGAAATGCAAATAAGCTTTTCAAGTTTTTTCATTATTTCATCTTCATTGATTTTTTTTACTCATCGCGGGTATCATTTTCATTGATTGTTTCTCTCATCTCTCATTCATACATTGCAATAGTTGAATTATCTACTCATCTTAACACTGCAGTTAAATGAGAAAGGTTTACTAATTTTACAACAACCTATGGAATCGCTGCATTTGTTTCTTCATAACTAGGTATCAAGACACCTAATCATCACAATATGTATAACATGTGTATAGACCCTAAAAGTACAATTTTTTATTACAATTAAACACCCAGAATCTTTTTTCATTATTATTGTAGAATTGTTTTATGTTCACACTACATTTTATTCATAATAAAATGTAAACTCATATAAGATAAGATATGGATTTACTTAGTCTGTAATTTATTGGAGCTCAAACTTTGCATAATTTTGCTCATAATTTATGAATTTTGAAAATGATAGAATTTGAGATTTTATTCTTTATATAAAATTAGATTATTAATTATAAATTTTAAATTAAAATTAAAGATTTATGATAAAAGAAATTTGTGTTATCTAAATAAAAAAACAGCATTATGATCTGAATGTAAATTTAAAAAAATAAAATAAAATCTTTCAAATCAACTTTTGAAATGATAAATTAGTATTATTCACATGTATAATTTATGTCTTAATGTATATACCGTATTATAATAAAAAATGATAAAATCTACATCTTTAAATGATAATAACCTTTAAATTTTATAGAATACATCACATTTTAATAAACTCAGATAAATTTCTATATGAAAAAAAGAATTTACAAAAGTTTATTTTAATAGGAAATTATTGTTTTTGAGAAATATGATATGCCAAGTAAAGTGCCGGAAGTACAACAGTTAAAACCAATAGGCTAAGGTTAATATCAAAGAATTTTGTAAACCATATGCTGGAAAATTTCCTTTCAATATAGTACATAAGTTGGACAAAACATTAATCATATAAATATAAATTTACATGTAATAATATTTTGCTTCCAATAAAGAATTTTTTTAATATTAAAATTATATAAATGTTAGTTTACATTATATTACTTGCTGTAAAAAATCTTACAAAATTCTTTCTTTCACATATTTATCAACTATTCAAACAATCACGTTAAAATATTAACATTGAAATAGTTTTTTTAATATAATAAATTTTTTTCATTCATATCAATGCATTGTAATTTAACATGATTGTAATATTGTAAATATAACCTTTGTATTAATTATTGTGATGTATTTGATTTTTTTCATCTTTTTTAATAAATTTTTTTAATATGAAAAAATATATTTAATTTGATAAAATCTTATATTATGTTATCAAAAAATATATTTTATATATTTAAATATTTCAGATTTTTGAGTTTAAATTGAAAAAAATTATTAAAGTTTTAATGAATATAGTTTTTATTTTCTTTTGGGATATTTTTATTGAATAAAAAATGTTATTACATATATGAAATAATACTAAAAATTTAGTATTCTTTTGAAACATTTAAATTGGTATTTAATTAAAAAATTTAGACAAAATATTGATCTAAAATAAAGTATAAAATTTTAGTATTAAAGTTTTTATAAATCGTAATTATCAAATTTTTTAATATAATTTGTGAACATATATATTAATTTTTAAATGTTTCTAATCCATCTACATTTGAATATTTAGCTTTGTTTAAAGTGAATTTTTATATATCATGATTTTTTTATGAAAAATAATGTAATAAAATTTAAAATATTATAGTTTACTATGAGTATTGACATATCATGCTAGTAATTGTCAAGGAGAAACCTACAATGCACAACGAGCTAAAGGTACTAGACGTGATTCCAATACTTTCCGGCCACAAAGTCTTATTGTAGAACTCATGTGATTAAGAACATTGGCACTCGATTTGCAATAGCTTCTTTTCAATGTTGTTATGCTAGAGTAATTTAGAATGCTTCCAGGTTGTAAACACACATTATTCACTTTTTCATCTTAACTTTATTTTGATACTTTAATGTTAAAAATTTGAAATGGAGTTAATAATTGTGGTAGAACAGTTATTAACCTTCTCAAAACTAACTGCTTGTTGCCATACTTTCATCGTCAATTATATATGACATTTGCTTACACATCAAAACAAAATACTTCAAATAAAAAACTTTTTGGTAGATTACATCAAATTTTTTTTATTAGACCAACAGGTTGACCCGATATCATAATAAAACATTGATTTAAGAATCATCAACTAACACTAAATAATAAAAATACTCCTAACATCAATTTTTTTTTTCTCTATAAAAAATCATTTGTGCTAGCCTTAACAATTTATTTTTCATCTTTTGCTTTTTTTAGCCATTAACTTGAAGTTTCCGGTTTATTTTAACATTTTTTCACTCATTCTTCAATAGCATTTAAGGTATAATTTATCAAATTGTGTATTCAGTTTGATTTGGAATTTGAGCTTACACTTTGATGTGGAACTTAACTTCAGACATGATTATGTGTGATTGTATCATGCTGCCCCTTGTAACTTTTATCAAATTCTGACTTATTTCAAATTTTTTTTCCATTGCCAAAAATTAGCACAAAATGATGTTTTTTATTTTTTTTTGGTATCTATTATATTTAATGTTTATCAAATACAATTTTTTGTTTTTATACAGCATTTGAAAGTTACACATCTATAAACAGTTGGAATTGAGTTGAAACGGACGAGTACTCATAACAACAATCCACTTGCACTTTGTGCTAAGAATGATTTACTAGCCGCCATTCATATTACAGTCCTAAAAGTCTACCTCTATTTATGTCCACCCGTGGACAAGAGTGAGAACGAATGCGAACTGCCTGAAGTCTATAGGCTCGATGCCTATTACAATCCAATAGTCGTGGATGTGAGAGTTCTCTGATAATTCACAAGAGGAATGGAGTGAGAGCATAAAACTCTGAGCTTCGTGGAATACTCACAAGTCCAATGCTAATCCGTTTCTTTATACTTGTGAAACAACATCGTGCACGTTTGCTGTTCTTGCCTATCGTTGAAGCTCTAAGACCAACGATGTATCCGTTCATTTGCAATAGAATTTTAATTATAAAAATTACTTCTATGTTAAGTGTGCAAGATCAATTACATTTTGTAAGTTTAAATAAATAAAATATTTTTTATTAGAAATTACACATACATGTATACATTCAAAATTTTAATCAAAATTTTTAACATTTAAACACCCAGAATCTATTTTCATTAATATTGTAGAATTTTTTTATGTTCAAATTAAATTTTATCTTCAATAAGATGACAACTCATATAAGATAAGATATGGATTTACTTATTCTATTATTTATTGGAGCTCACACTTTGCATAATTTTTGCTTATATTTTATGATTTATACATTTTTTAAGAATGATGGAATTCAAAATTTTATTATTTATATAAAATTAGATTATTAATTTAAAATTTAAAATTTAAATTAAAAATATATGATAAAAGAATTTTTATATTTAAATAAAAAATTTTAATTATGATCTGAATGTCTATAAAAAAAAATAAATCTTTCAAATCAACTTTTGAAATGATAAATTACTCTTATTCACATATGTAATTTATGTCTTAATGTACATACCGTAATAGAATAAGAGTTGATAATATCTAAATCTATAACCTTTAACGGAATAATTTACATTTCAATGAAAATAGAAAATTATTACTTGAAAAAGATAATATTTACAAGATTTTAGTTTAATAGTTTAATTTTTTAAACTTAATTTAAATTTAAAGCGTCAGAAGTACAACAGTTAAAACCAATAGGCGAAATATAATAGTTTTGTTACCATATCCTTGAAAAATTCCTTTTAAGATATAAATATAAAATTCACATGTAAAAATATTTTGCTTTTAATAAAGAATTTTTTTAATATTTAAAATATATGAATTTTAGTTTATATTATATTACTTGCTGTCAAAAATCACACGAATTTTTTTTAACATATTTACTAACTATTCAAACAATCACGTTAAAATATTAACATTGATATAGTTTTTAATATAATAATTTTTTTTCATTGATATCAATTCATTGTAATTTAACATGATTATAAAATTGTAAAAGTTACCTCTGTTTTGATTATTGTAATGTATTAAAAAAAATTTCATCTTATATTATAAACTTTTTCATGTTTAAAAAAATATATGATATGATATAATATAATCTTATATTATATATACTTAAATATGACAGATTTTTTACTCTAAATTGCAAAAATTTAGTAAAATTGAATTAAGTTTTTATCTCCTTTTGAACTATTTTATTTAACTAAAAATAGTATTACATATATGAAATAAAAATAAACATTCAGTATTCTTTTAAAACATTTAAATAAGTTTTTAAATCAAAAAATAAGACAAAAATTTTATTTAAAATAAAATATAAAATTTAGTATTAAATTTTTTGTAAACGGTTTTTATCATTTTTTTAATATAATTTTATGAAAATATTTATTAATTTTTCAAATATTTATATTACATCTACATTTGAATTTTAGTTTTGTTTACAGTGAATATTTATATATCAAAGTTTTTTTTTTGTCATACTCTCATCGTTGATCACCCCTAACGTTAATTATATATGACATCTGCTTACACGTCAAAACAAGCTACTATAAAAAACTTTCTGGCAGATTACATCAATTTTTTTTTATTATCGGATCGGATGTCTCCGAAGGGACAGGGTTAGACCAACAAGTTGACCCGATATTATAACAAAACATTAATTTAAGAATCATCAACTGACACTAGGTAATAAGAATACCCCTAATAATAAACATTTCGTTTTTTATAGAAAATCATTTTTGCTAGCCTTAACAATTATTCTCGCATCTTTTTTTTTATTTTTAAGCCATCAACTTGAATTTTTAAAATTTTTTTAAAGATTTTTACATTCATTTTTCAGTAGCATTTAAGGAATTATTTACCAACTTTTACTGCGCAATCTGTTTGATTTGCGATTTAACAACTTACAATTTCATGTGAAACTTAACTTAAGACATGATTATGTGTGATTGTATCATGCCACCCCTTGTAACTTTTATCAAATTGTGATTTATTTCAAATTTTTTCCCATTGTTGAAAATTGACACAAAATTGTATTTTTTTCTTTGCTCTATCATATTTAATTTTTATCAAATAAATTTTTTTATAAAACATTTAAATAATATTTGAAAGTTTCAGACTTTATTCATTTGCAATAAATTTTTGATTATAACAATTCCTTCTAAGTTAAGTGTGCAGGATCAATTACATCTTATAAATTTAAATAGATACAATATGTTTTATTAACATTTAGACATACCATTTACCATTTACCATACATGTATACATTCAAAATTTTAATCACAAAAATTAATTTTTTAAAATTAAATTTTTAAATTTTTTAAAATTAGATATTTTATTAATTTTTTCTTAAAAAATAAGTTTATTAATAAAATAAAAAATAATAAGTCTTGAGGGCTGGCTGGCTGGTGGGCGGACGAAGATTAGTTTTTTTATAATAATATTAATAAATCATATTATGAAAAAACAAAGTTAATTGATTGCTTAATATGTAATGTTTTGGTATTATTATAATTCTTGAAATAATTTTTAAATAATTTTTAAAAATTTAATATTTTAATTTCAATTAATATTTAATTATTTTTTAAAATAATATTTTAATAAATAAATAGATAATTTTATTAGAATTAAATTTTAAAAAAATGAAATATTAAATTAAAATTTTAAAGTAAATAAAAAATGTTCTAATACATATTGTTATTTGAAAAAAATTTTTGTGATTCAGAAACACAAGTTGTGTGGAAAATCAACAATGCATCGGATCGCAGTTGACCCTAATATTTTATGTGAAATTTTTTTATTAAATTTAATTTCTAGGTTTTTATTCTTTTATAAAGTATATAAAATTTTTATAGTGTAAATAAATTTTAATTTTAATTTTAATTATTAGAATAAATTTATAAATTTATAGGTTTAAATTATTTGATTTTTTTTGTTTTTAAGTACAAAAAAATTCATGTAGAGCACGGTTGCTTTTGCTAAGATGTGAAATCTCTATGCGATATTGGCCATTTTTTGACTTAATGGTATCAAAACTAGTAAAATAAGATTGGAACAAATCTGAGTAGGATAAGGTTGGTATAATTTTTTTGTCATCCAAATTTGATTCATAAGTTGCCAATTGAACTTTACGGTTTACATCTTACTCAACTGTCCAAAAACTAATCTGCCTTCCCATATCTGACGTTTGTCAAACTTAACTTAAACCTTACATACATATTAACCATTTTTTTTCACCTTATATTACTTTTGATAAATCAGACTGCAAGAACTCACGACACGTTAAGGATGAGTAATTAGAAACTTTTTTTGCATTTATAGGGATGCTGTAATATCACCCTTGGCTCACCATTTCTTCTTGATTCACAAGATATGACGGATATTGACTCCCAACTCTGAGAAATGAAAGCTGAAGAGTCACTCATAAATTCGCGACTCCTTGCCTTCAAAGAAAGACAAATAGTCAACTCTCTCTCTCCTCTTGCTCGCGATGTCCACACGTCTGTCCGTCACGAACATTGAGTAAGCAAGCAAGCGTGATGTATTATTTTGTATGTGAAAACTTGGAATTTTAATTAGATAGTATTATTAAACTTATTAAAGTTTTATATTTCTATTTTATTATTTTTTAATATAAGAATTTTTTTGGATAAGTATATTGATTTTTTTTACTTCTCAAAAGAGACTAAAATAATAATAATTTTTTTTATTCAAAAATATATATTTTATAATTTCTAATTTTTTTCATTTTCTATAATCGTATTTTTTTAAATAATAATATTGATTACTTACTCATAAATTTCAAATAAATTTTTTTTCCACAGATTTTATGTTAATATTAGATTAAGATCAGTATTAACATAACTTATATTCTCCTGATTAAAATCCTGTTGTTATTACAAAAAATAATAACATTGGTTTTAATATCATTCCTTCAATTATAAGATCTTAAAATACATCTTTCATAAAAAAAATACCTTTGCTGGTCAAAATATAAAAAAAGAATTTTCTAATTGCATTTTCTGTTTTTCAAATTGCTTTCAAATTTGAAAGCAATTGTGAAATTGCTCACTACATTCTTACATTCACATTGATACATAGTGTAAAGCACATTAATATATGATGTTTTATCCAGTGCAATCATGGACGAATTTTTTTTTTTAATGTTTCATCTCTATTTGGTATTTTAATGAATATTTATTTGTTCAATCATTCAATAATTTTTTTATTTCACTCTAAGATAGAGGAATATGATGAAAATAATATGAACAATGGAAATTAACAAAATATGTCATATCTATAGTATCAAAAATGTAGGGATACATTCTCAGAATTCTGTAAATATTTTATGGGTTAACAGTGGATTGTTATGGCCAAGTTATAAGATATACTGCTTATATTTACTTCCGCACGTGAGAATCTACTTGAGCTGAATTTCAAAAATCACAATGTATGTCTAGGATGAATGAAATCTGAAATGATCACATATGCTCTCAATCTAAAACTGGTCCAAGGGTAATTTTTCAATGTGCATCCCGAATTTTTGTTCTTCATAAGATCTGTAATGTTGATCAGATATACTAAGATACAATTTGAAGAAATTTCTAGAATGGTTGGAAGATCAGAAATTTTCACACAAGGTTTAACAATCAATATCAAATTACCGCAAGTACGCAGGTGAATTTTTAGTCTCAGTCATACCCAAACTTTAGAGTAGTGCTGATCAACTTTCACTTGTTTTCTATGAGATAGACACTACTATATTGCAAATCAAACAAGTGAGAATTGCATCACAGATTATTAGCAAAGCATCAAAGCAACTCAACATTTCATCCTTCGAGAGATATAAAAGGTTATACCTCAATCTGTCAAAATTAAGCATTCAATCTTGAAATATTAATAAGTTTGTCACATCTGAGGCTTAACTGACTAACAACTTTATCATCATTAAAATGGACAAACTTACCGAGAGTGTCTCAATACATTACAACAAAGTCATCCATAAAATTTATATGTTGAAATTAGATAGAAACGCTTTTTCACATCACGTAGACTCGAAATTATTAGGTGCAAGCAATGTACTTGATGGCTTTATATAACCTATTACTTGTAGATCAAGGTTTGATATATACATTTGCAGGGATATATTTATGAAATGGCTTCTAAGCGTGTAGACATTCTCGCTACCAAAGTCTAGAGCGTAGCGAGTCCGCAGAACCCCGAAGTCCACATCTATGTACTAGAAAATATGCAGCTGAATCATTGCAGCTTGGGTTGGAGAGGAACAGAAATGAATTCTCAACGCTAATCTGGGAGACCTAAGTCTGGCCAATTGTAGCCAGAAGACTGAAAGGTGTTCCAATTCCAAGATGGAAAGAAAGCAGGCAGGCTGCGTTCGACATGCGAGACTGCACTAGACAAGACAGCGGGAATCACGCCTCCGTAATTCAAGTAAGCATCCGAATACTTGGGTACTGAATTGCAGAGGGTGAAGTTATCTGCATCAGGATTGTACGGAATGATCTGAGCGGGACTGTCAGGGTCTAAACTGTATGGAAGTGTCTGGGCAGAGATTATTGGATCAAACTTGCAAGACATTATGTTAGACAGGTTTTCTGGGTTGGGATTGTAGCACTCGAACTGAGCGAGCTGCACATCATGTTGATTTATATAACAGGGGTCTGGATCGTAATACTGCATCGCTTCACTACTTTCCTGGGAGACCTGAGGAAAAAGTACAGTTTGTTGTCCTAGAGGTTGATCGTGCATGCTTCCTACCTGACCGTGCCCATCCACAGCGTTCATAGAAATCAGATCATCGTCTGCATGCACACATATACAACTTTCGTCCATATACATACCCTGAGCACTTTCGTGCATATTATACACCATGTCCCTTTGGCCGCTGATGGGCTGCAGCTGTACCATCTCGGGAGTTCGAATGATCTCCGCAGCTGAATCATAATCGTGGGGAAGGTCTCGCATCCCCGCCAGCATCAAACAATCCTGTAGATCCACATCGCAGTCTCCATTTCCGTTCATGTCGGAGAAGTCGGTTGTCATATTAACATTGAAGAGATTTCCAGCACTCGGATCGCACTCACTCTCTCCACTAGAACTCAACCCTTGATCCCCTTCCTGAAAGTTTTTAAGACCGTGAACCATCAAACGCTTCTCGGGCGAACATATCTGGATAGCAGCTTTCGTTCTGGCTCTCATTGTTCTCCTGATCAACGAGTTCCAATAGTTTTTGATTTCATTGTCCGTCCGACCCGGCAGCTGTTCAAGTCAACCATAGGAGAAGAGCGTATCAAGATATAATCGTCTGAAGCTAGAGCGAAAGATCAAGGAGCCGAACATGCATTTGCGATATCTATGCGAACCGAATTAATCTCATGATGATATCCCCAGCTAAAACTAGGCCATTCAATTACGAGTTTTATAATCGATAAGCATATTCTAATGACAAATGTAAACCAGAAGTTTGTTGTTAAGGAACCTTTTAGGCAAGTGTACCGAGCTTTTGATTGCATGCCCAAAGACACACACTCGTATCAAAAAGTGTGCAAACATGTGTTGGAAGGGAGTAAGACTTACATATGATTTTTACACGTTTGAAATTGAAAGTATAACAATGGTTATCGTGGACATGATCATTTAAAGCTAGTGAGAGGAGCTTAGACGGAGAGGAAGAAGATGTCGAGGGAACATGTGTTGAGGAGACAAAGCGAGCTAAGGAAGGAAGGAAGGCATGCAAATAGCATGCATTGACTGCCATGAATGTCGAGAACGACTAGCGTAATCCATGCCATGGTCAGTCAACCTACCTGCGAAGCCATTCTCGCCCACTTGTTACCGAGCTGGGCATGGAGCTCAATAATGGTGAGCTCCTCTTCAGGCGTGAAAGCTCCCTTCTTGAGGTTCGGACGCAGATGATTAGCCCAACGCAAGCGACAGCTTTTGGCACTACGGTTGATGCCCGCAAACTTTTGAACCTTCTTCCAGTTGCCCTCTCCATGCTTGGTGACATAAGCCACAAGGATGGCGTCTTCTTCTGACGTCCATGAACCCTTCTTCAAAGGTTTATCAGCAGCACCACCTTCGGGAGCGATCACGGGACCTGGGCATGGGTTGTCTCGCACTCCAGTTTCCATTTACGCAAAAGCTGCCGCAGCTCCAGTTCCAAAGCTGCAGCTGAGCCTGATCGTCGATCCTCGCTGTCCCACCCACCACCAACTCAACTCAACTCAACTCAACACTGCAGAAGATGGTTGAGCTTGAGCGGCTGCATGAGCATGAGCTTCATCAATATCAGAAACGAAGACCGTGTGCTCTGCTTTTTCTTACACGCCCGCTTGGGCCCGATGGTGAAATATGAGCATCACGTCCTTGTCAGGAGAGCTGCCGATCTCCACGACGCAATCTTTGCTTCTCCATGTCCTTGTCAAGAACCATGCATGCTCTGCAACAAGCTGCAGCTGCACTACTCTACATTTAGGGTTTGTTCACATTCCTAATCCAAGTACAATGAATTATACAGACATCCCTCGAAGCCCTCCACAACCCACACTTCTCCTCGAAGTTAAATTTCACTCTTTGATGCCATCATTTGTGTTGCAGGAATTGCATCCAGTTTCACCAATTTTAGAATAGGCCAGACTTATCTGCTATTGCTGCTGCACGCCTCTCCCTCCCCAGCTCTAAATCTAAGGAAGCACACCCAGAGATTCGACCTGTTGACAATTGTATTCTTCTTGTTTGGTTGGAGTGTGAGCTAAAATTTTCGCCTCTAAAATCTCATGCCATGGATGGAGCTGGCGGGCTCACAAATAAGTACCTTTGACTGAACCCAGTCCCAGTGACAACTTACAGAAGCAAAACAAGAAGCTAATTACAGTACGGAGGCACTTCAGTGTTCTCGTCGCAGGTACTGCTCCAGTATGACTAGCTTGTACAAGTTGGACGCAGCGGCCATCGCTGTGGATATCGTCCACGTGTGACTGGTCGATCTCAAGGCTCAGAATCATCTTCCCCAGTGTGCTTGAGCCATCCACGTTATCTAGATTTATACACGAATGTAGCCAGAGCCATCCATCCACACATGGCGGCGACTTACGACAACAAAAAAGTCTCCGCCACTGTGGTGAAGGTTTTGGCGTAGATTTTGGATCGGGAGAGCATGGAAGAACGTGCTGCTGAATCTCATGCAAATTCAAGGCCACTGTAATAATTCAAGAGGTCGAGAAAAATCCTCGACCTCTTGAATTATCGCAGAGCCTCAAGTTCCATCGTCCGATAGCTCGGAGATCCACCGGACGGGGTCGGTTGATGCTTCTTCCTAGCGGTGAAGGGCGACTGCACGGGCGCCTGCATCTTCTGAGGGAAATATGAATCTTGTGATTTAGTACCATCACCTCAGAATCAAGTACTCCTTGACCTAGAACTTGCAGTCGAGTCTACCAGAGTGCGAAAACATGATAACCAGATTGGTAACCGTACATGAATCACGGACTGGACCTCAGAGAAGTTTCCACAAACATTCCACCAACAGCATCATGAATATCGACCGTGGTGATCCATCGTTCGAGTACGTTCATAGTCAGTCCTCTCCTCAGTTCGATTGATCTAGGGCTTCATCCTCGAGATTTGAAGGAAACTACAAGCAACAAACCTCATCTCGGGTCGCATCAGGTACTGGGACACGAGTTCGAGACGTAAATCATGGGACATGCACTAAGATCATGCCCAACAACATTATCCACCTCTATCAAGCAGGGATTTCATTAGTATCCTTTCGTTTCATGATACATCATACTTAGCGATTGGCGAATGTTTCTCAGTTGGTATAGATTTATGCTGATGATTGACTGGGCTGATTGTGTTCGTAGTGATTATGACTACAAGTATTTGTTGTGACGCAGACTCGATTGAACCCATCGTATACTGATACATGATCTCTTCCAAGCTTGCTTATGCCATATCACAGCATACTACAGGTTTTCTGCACTCCAGTGTTCATATAGATATATTATTTTCTCCAAGGCTGAGCCGAAGGTGGAGTTTTCCTCGAGCATGAACGTGTACTCGACAGCAACCACTCGAGCGTGAGTGTTGTTGATCCCGTGCAATTTACGGGTCCTCCTTCAACAAACGTATTGAGATTCATCAGGATACCTTGAACCACATGCCAACCAACTGAACTATCAAATCATCTTAGCGTACCAGAGTCTAAAACTAGACTAGCATAAAAGTGTACTCATCTCTGACTTTAAAAAAATAACAAATTTACTCTACGTCGTTATCTGAATTTCAGCCAGAGATACGCTAATCAACATGTCCTGTACTCATATGATAGCACAACTCTAACAAAGTGAAAATGACTTATCTTGTGAAGAACGGATTTATTCATAAAATTGGAAAAATAAAGATTTGTAGAAGTGATGGAAGTGACAAATCGTAAAGCTATACCTACTTTTTCTAAACAAAACCACAGTGGCCTAGAAGACCGAATATTCTGTCAATATAGTAGAGGTCAAAGTAACCGGTGGCGTCTCGATGGTATGGTGAGTTTGTAACGGTCGAATTAATTTATATCTTCATATATGACTCCGATTTTTATTCAAGGTGACAGGATTTGGACTTACAACTTTTCAGCTATTATGCCTCTTACATTGCACACGATATCCTCTTGCAGATACGAGTAAACTCAATAAACATGGTTACATATCTATATCAAATTATCAAGCTATTGCAACTTTGAATCGTTTTGTATCTCAATGGCAAACAAACAACTCTTCTCATGGAGCTGTCATGCCCTAAAATTTTGATTATTTCAACTTTCCTAGACACGAATTTGATTTATTCTCCCCTTTCCAAAAGAATCTTCAAGCTTATAAAGATGAGTATAGACGAGATAACATATCTCTTGAATGCAGAAAGTAATTTTAAAAAAGCGATGACTATGTAGAAGAGAGTTATATCAAGTTATATCAATTAAGAAGAATGATCTGATTATAAATCATAACTAGCTCCCTGGTATGATGATAAGGTGATAATACCAACAAGAGTGATATTCTGTAGACAGACATTGATAGAAAACTTAGTTTCATATACACGAAGTCCATACAGGTAATACTGTTGGAAGAAACTGATCCAGTTATTGATGAAGATTTAATGTATTCTCATCATAAGAAGTTATCTACACACAATGACCTGTGAGATTCAAAGAAAGAAAAAGCTTTTTATCTGTTCTCTCGTTCATTCTCATCCATTTTTCAGTTTTAGTCTACTCATGTTTAGCTATCATTTCATTTTTTTGGATCATAAGGCCATCTTGTAATGACTGTCGGATTGGCTGCTATCACCAAGTTCTCTTTCCCATAGAAAACGTTAAAAATTAGATTACGTAAATCACATCTGTTGGTACCAAATTCGATCTCCAGATTGGTAGCTAGAACCTTTGAAATGACCACCTAGACCTTTACAACTACATTTTCCTCACCATCTCTTCTATTATTTTTATCATCGACAATATGAAACTGTGTTTATGCTCTCTAATTTATATATCTTATCTAAAATTTGTTCTTTAATTACCATCCATGTGATTATATTTTCAGCTGCCATCATGTTTCCCTTGTCATCATAATGACTAAATTTTACGTTTTTCTCTTTTTGTCTGCTGGTTCACAACCACATACTCGAGTATCTTGTCCTTGTAAGGAATAAACAGTAGAATTTCTCAATATTTACAAAAGATTACGATTTTTCCATGATGGCCATGTGAATACGAAGACTTATTGGTTTCATGTTAGAAATTTAAAATTAACTAAGATGTTTAGATCTTTCTTCCTCACCACTTTGAGTCATAACAAAAGCTTGGAGTATGATTTGAGTAAACAGAGCATATTGTATAGCAAGAGTATCATTTTTAATCAATTTATAGTAGATTTTGGAAAAATGTTTCTATTGATTTGTTTTAGTTTTCTTAGATGCAATTCATTGGAAGAGCTATGCATGTTAAATGATGGGAATTTTCTTTTTCAAATCTAGTCTATCCAATTCAAATTTCCATTAAAATTGTAGAGAGCAATCGTTGGTACATTTCAGCTGGATGATGTCTCCTTCGATTTTCAGATTTTTGGATATTCTAGATGAAACAAGATGTATAGTGATGCTATTGATACCTAGCTCCATCTTACATGTTTGGATTCATCAGTGGACATCAATTGAGGTATTCTTGATTTTGTGTTAAAATTGATATCCTTCCTTTATTATAAAGTTTCAAGAAGTTTTGTGTTTTTCTTAAGGTACTGGTACCAACACACATTCTAAGGAAGTCAATCTAATCAACATGGAGATTTAATGGATTTTGTGGATTTTATGGCATACATTTAGTATCCCATGAAAAAAACATATGAAGTAGATTTATTGACAAGATTTGAGGATTTTATTCACAAATACTTCAACAAAATTTAAGAATCATGGAATTTTATACAGTTTATTCACGTGAGTTTATCATACATCACTCAGTGGTACCTTTGTCCATATCATTGAGATTTTATATATCTCGTTTTGTTTATAACTTATTCAGATACGTTGACATGTGCTGAATGTAGGAGCAATGGATTTAGCTTTAACACACAGTACTTCTTTCTACATAAAATATATGAATATGTAGGAGTACGTTTTTTCACATGTTGAGGAGGAAAAGGCATATATATATATATATATATATATATATATATATATATATATATATATATATATATATAAAACACAAAACATGTTGGTTCTTCTAGCTACACGGGATCATCTTACTTCCAAATTGCATTTAAGAAATGTGTGAGAGTATCGCTGCAGATTACCTCGATGTAGGCATGTCACGACATGGGGTTTATGTGTGCTTACAAGGTCTTGTATCCGAGATTGAGGCACATATATTCACACAAAGAAACTGGTATAAGAGATGTGATCTGTGCACTAGATGGGGAGAGTGTATTCTGAGTCTTTGGCAAAAAATCGTATGCTCTGAGAAGTGCGAGCAGATTGACATGTGACCAGAGAAAAGAGAGTTTGTGTGGCAGATGTGTATGTCACAAAATATCGCAACGTAAGTTATTTCTCTTCGTAGAAACTTGCACTTATCGATATTGTTATTCTGGGCCAAAAGCTAGTCCGAGGGAGGGAGATTTTCACTCGGAAAGCAGCATGCAAGGAAATCTTGCTTTTGACACGTGGTTTGGTTAGTTTGCTAAAGACAATGTGCAAATCTACAATGAGAAGCGACAATGATCACATTACGACCATGTTTTAGTGTATTTGTAGATAGTGCATCAATATTGTTCCTCAAAGTGGATTAGCAGCTGTAGATGGGATGCCATTCACGATAGGGTATGCGTTTTAATTTTCCTAATATGCATTAAACCTTACAATTTGGTTATAGAAAACATCAGAGGAGAAGTGTGCAAGATGCCCATATATCTCAATAGGGTCTGGTAACTTCCCTTCTCCTTTGCCTGGTTTCTGTTCGGATGGTTTTGGCCTCGTTCTGCGTATACAATGCGCCACCCAATTCAAAGCTTTATCTGAAGTTATGAAATGCTTCAGTTTTTATCTCTGGCTTATCTACACTGTTCTCATGTAATTCCCTGTACTTCCTTACTAAGCATTATACGAACACTCAGTAAATTTCCACGATACGGCTGAAATGACAAAGAGGAAGTACAGGCCTTGGCCACCTTTGTTGCCCACAGCATTTCGTTGTGATTCATCGTTGGCCTAACCAGTGATTTTGTCACTCGCGATACAAGTCAGCATTTCACTGGCGTTCATTCAATCCTTTTTGTTCATCCGAAATTTTGATTTACGCGTAAGTAGGATTCGAACATCTACAAACTTACAATGTCAATTAATTTGCTTATGACCAACCAATCAAGCTTACTGCTGAGAAATAAGTCCCTGAGAGCCCCAAAAAATCATATCAAATATTTCATAAATTCACAGATGCTTGATCTTTGGGTGTCAGCCTAATATAAAGAGAAAAGTTGATTGTTATTCGTTTCCGTGGAAACACATAGTTTGTAAAGATGTGCAGAGAGAAGGCGCCACAGAATCTTGGGTGCTTTGGGGAGGATGACAGTAGTGACGAAATATTCTAAGGGGGAGGAAATCAAAGTCAAATATAGAACGACTAGTGCGCGTTTTAAAAACAATCTGATCTACTTCGCATGGTCTACTAAAGAGGAAAAGAGAACGATGGAGGTCGGAAGGTCAGATTAAACTCTAGGCACAACAGTTTTCTCAAGTTTTTTGTCATTCATAACATCTCCTCGCTTTCCTGGCCTTGTGCACGAGTTTGGAATCGAGAATATCCAGCACTCACTCATTGAAATCTTTCGTTCAAAAAGTGTTTTTTCACACAATCTGTCCCTATTATTGTTTACTTCTGACCGGGCTGATTTCTCCAAAATATAATGCAGTCCATGAATTTCCCTGGAACGCGGCACTGTAACCAAGTCCAAATAATCTCTCGGAACTAGTGATTTAGTCCGTCACTTTCAAAAGGCCTCGGCACTGGAACCAAGCCCGGGCACAACGTGGAATGCACTGCAGCTGTCCCATTCTCCAGCTGTCAGTCTGGAATGGAATTGATCTGATGGAACAACGATGCAGTTAAGGCAGCGAGGGCAACCGGCAGTGCCGACGGGCAGCCATTCATCTAAGTGGATATGGTTTAATGGATGTTCAAGTAGCGTGGGATGCCTTGCAAGGACGATCGGCTCTCATTCTAATCAGATCGTTGCGTTCTGCGTAGACAGTGCTAAGCGCATAAAGGACGTAGATTGGGATGAAAGGTCAGCCGTCGTTTTCGCAGTACATGGTCGAATCCCCATTACTCAGAAGAGGTACATTTTCTCATTCCAACTCATCCTTCCGTAGCATTAAACCCCACCACCAGAAGCACATCGTGCAGATCGTGCCGTGGGCATGAGTTTCGGCCAGGACGAAACTTTACGTGGCTTGTAGCCGCATATTTCAGGATGTCGTAGAATTGCAAGCATCAACATCGGGTGATAGATTGCCTGTAAGACTTTCTTTGGTTTGTTTGAGACACAGTGGGGACTGACGATGGGACGGGACGACGGGGGCCACAACTGTGGCGTTGACGTGCCTTAAAGGAAGACTCGCTTTGGTTGATGACTCCTGGTGTAGCAGCGGGTGGAGAGTTCCCAACTTGTCAACACTTCGTTCGTACCAGTCTTGCATTCATATTATAATTAGCTGATTTGTATTTCACAGATGAATTACATTCTTCCACAAGAGTTTTTTTTGACAATGATTTCGTACGTGGAAGCTCTTGAAATCAGAGTTTGAAGAAGAGAGGTCGGCTGAGCTCTCTGACATTTATAGCAGGGGTCGGATCTCTCCAGCTATCAAGTCAATTTCTGCAAATGCTCCAAGCGCGAGAACTCTGTTGTTGTCGATATGGCCGACAGGAATGTCTATTAAGATGGGCAAATCGCCCAGTAAACCCAACTGCTCCAGCCAAAACCAGGACTTTACATCGACTTCCTCCATATCCTCGCCGACAAGCTCTGCTAGACAGACAAATCAGTGTGGGCACGGTAAGAGGTCTACAATTAAACCCGTTTGGTCTAGAAACGTTCGCGAAACTTGCAAACGAGCATATGAGGGTGACGTCCCTTCTGACTGACAGGCAAGTACCCAACACACATCACCGTTCCATGATTGGCATCTGGACGAACTTGACAATCGCATCATTACCTTTGGTAGTGGCGGACTTAAAAGCATCCCCGAAATCACCGAGAACAAGAGCTGCTAATCGGTCCACAGAGCTCAATCCTCCCTTGGAGTTGAATAGTTGTGTGAGCATGCGATCTAACTTGTAAAGAGGTTCATCCACTGCAGTAGGTTCATCCAACAGGAGCTGTCAGCAGATATAGAAAAGATCGCAACTCGATGAGCCAAGTACGGAGCGTATGGCCCACGAGGGATAAAGTTGGCTTAGAGAGTACAGATATGGGCATGTCATGTCTGATAAACGTAGATCGTCTTTCAGAATCCCTACTTTCGATGGTGAAACTGATCAGAGCCCAAGGTATCAACTTTTCGGAGGGAATAAAATTTGCTGACCATCTTCAAGCAGCAAGATACAGTCCTCCAGCTCTTCCCCCCAAACGGTACCGACAATAGAACTCATCAGTGTCAAGTTTCCGCCAATCAACCGCCCACTGACAATCCCGCCAGAGAACTTTGCTCTGCCAATCTGCAGACATCGGCCCTGCGTCGACAATCCGACTGCAAAGACGTCATTCTTCGTGTTTTTTGTTAGCAGATTATGGAGGCAGGAGTTGCTGACAAGAGGTTTTACAGGTAGTGAGCCTACCGAACATTCCTTCTCGTCTCGAGATAGATAGATGTTCTCATTCCTCAGCAGTATATTGCTTTATTTGTGTGTAGACAACTGCTTTACATTTGCGTAGATGCGACAATGAAACACTATGCTTAATATGCTTTGCTTTCATGAACGCCCGACCCATAGTTGCTGTTAAAGTCCCACACCTAGAAGTAGTAATGAACAGATAGTGGAGTGTCAAATATACAAATCATCTGCCACTTCACACGGGATTAGTTTCATTATATAGAAACGGAAAAGAATGTGAGTGGCACAAAACACACCATGCATCTTGCGTCTTGGACGCTAATATGTAAAGTTAGGATAAATGTACGAAGATTTTACTCTGACGCTGTGCTTACCTTTACGTGGTAAAGTGTACAAAGTTACGTAAATATTCTTTTGAGAGACTGCTTTGTCTTCATACCTTCAGTGGAGGACAAGCATCTTTCAAAGACGAAGAAAACAGGGCACGTCGAAGTGCGTCTTTGCTCTCATCAGTACTAGATTGAAAAGCCAGGCTGGCAGGCATTGGAGCATGAAAGCTTACGTATCCCGGTACCGCAATTCGCATCGCGCTGCATCCCTACAAATGTACCCATTACTACGTGACTTTCACAGCCCCAAGACCAGTGACTCGGAGGGTGTCAGGCAGAGCGGTGCTAGTCCATAAAAGATTCAGTAGCGCTACAAATGAGGAGATGGAGAAGAAGATGAGAGGAAATGAGGACTGCTTGAGAGGGAATTGGGTCTCTGCCAGTTGGTATTTTCAGCATATATGAGAATTGTTTGGAGGTGTCAAGTATCAACGGAGAAACCGGTGACAAGTTCACCCACTTGATCATGAACAAAACCACCAGTAAACATAACTCAAACAGTTGTAACCAGTAACGTGTTACAGGTAGTGTCCAGATTTCATAAGTCATCGTCTGAAGCTTGGATAAACTCTTCATCAGTTAAATATTGTTATCTCGGAATAGTGCAGCTGAATAAGCAGTGTAACAAAAGAACAATATTCAGATCTAAAACAAAACGTAAGAATGAGTCTTGTTGAAGCAGATATGAGAAGCAAACTACGTGAGAAGAAATGGGGAGGTAAGAGAATCGCAATTGTAGTGCCCAATTTATTCTTCATATTTAAAATTCTACTCTGTACTGATAACTGATGGGTACTTGTACTATGTAACAGCTTGTTAGGATTCTTCTAGCATTGATTGGAAATCCTTCCGTATACCCATCGATGGGTACACGGAACATAGCGAACATACAAGAGCTGAAAAGGTCAGATGACTCACAGGGGGTAGCTACCGAAAGCTATACCTGTGAGTTATGTTTGTATGAAAACTATTGAACACAGTGTTCAACAGTATGGATAACATTTACAATCAAAGGTTTGATCTGTATTAACCTTTGTACGTCTTATTAAAGCGGGCAAGAGTAGGTAGAATCCAGGGCTCAATTTCTATATGCTTAACATGAAAAGTAGTAAATTTCTCAGTAATTCTTGAAGTGGATGAACCCAGGGATATCTTAGTTCCAGAAGAACTGACAAGGAACTTTCTAGATTGGCGGAGAATTTGAATGAGTGTAGGAGAAATTCGAATTATTTCAAAGAAGAAAACGAGACATGAATTGGAATTTGTAAGAGTCAGTGACATCAATGACTGAACGTTGAGTTCATCTTTAGGAAATAATTTGCAACCAGAACGAGTTTTCAGATTTGCTTCATACCTATGAATGGCAGTGATGTCGGAGAAACCAAAAAATCTTTTACGGGGAGCATTATGCGGCCCTAACTTCTTCGCAGAGAGGAACGCAGTCAATCTTGTACAACCATAGCCTCCGTTGGCACATATGACAGCTGTTGTGCGTGCATCATCAAAAGCATCAACAATGCCCTGCGCTCGCTCCTCGTCGGATCCTGCAGTGTAACCAAATCGCTCATACACTTGGGGGTGCACGATTGGCTCGAGTCCCCTGCACCCAAAGTTGGCAACAAACCAAAGGAGCGAGTCCATGATTGCAGTCAGAAATCCAACGGAGGACAAAACACATACACTCCATACTCAACAGTCAGAAACAAACTGACCCTTCTTCAGCTGACTTGGCACTCCAGACAGGTAGGCTCAGCTTTATTACTGGCCACGAACAGTTTAGAGCAGCGATACATGAGAATTAGATCATAAGTAACATTTGTCTTGTGAACTGAAGCAGCCATTCTTAACTCAGCTCAAAGAAGCATGCAGTGTACATTAAAGGCAAGAATAAGGGGAGAACCTCACCAGGAACGAAGAATAGTCACAGCTCGTTCTAGTATTTCAAAATCAACATCGGAAGCCGGAGCCACGATGCTCACAGCGTCCCCAGCTTTCACGGGAGGAGGCAGCACCACAGCCATGGGAAAGCTCAACGACCGACGAACCTTTCCCCCAAATTCTTGTGTCTTGACTAAACTGTACGCCGAACGGCCCGTCCGCCGACTCAATGACAAACCTCCATCTCGATCAGACGAAAAGTGTACTGTACTCTTCGATCTGGCAGGAACGAACCCCTTCGGCAATCCTGGGGGTCCTTCAGATCCAGATTCTCCACCACGTTAATTTCCAACGAGAGCAAGCTCAGGGGAAACGTCGGCCAATCGCCAAGTGGCGGAAAGAGCATCTCCACAACCGTGACCTGCGACGCCGAGGCTCATGCCGGCCCTGAAAAGTACGTCTGACGTAAGGCCCACGACGGTCGCGCCGATCGTTAAAATCAGAAGTCGCGCCCTTCTGAGTCCAGGGACCGCGACCTGACACTGGGTCTTCGCATGGACTCGTTGCTAGAGACATCTTCAGTTTTAGCTGTATCTGAGCATGATGGGGAATCTCGAGTGACTCGACAGAGGGTCCGGTGTTGGCTGCTAAAAGTTGGTCTAAGTATAGCGTCACTCTGCCTCCCAGGATCCAACCCTAATGTCTCGATGTTCCATTCTTCGACGGGCGGACAGAAATTGAGGGATTTTCGGACCTTCTTATTCTTGAGCTTGGACCGACCTGGGCTGTTGAATTACTCGTATCGGATTTAAATGTGCGACGATCGGCGCTATGGCCACCATCTTGAGGCAGCTGCGAACTAAAGGTTTAAAGACTTTGCTCAATCGGACGAAGTTTTATGGTGTAGCACCGAGGAATTTCGCTGCAGAGTCGAGATGGCTAAGCTCTGCGTCCAAGCCTTCTTCAGCTCCAGGTGGAGCTGGAGCTACCACTGGGAGGAAATTGTTAACGGATACTGCTGGACCGCCTCCTGGTGGTAGAGCTGTCAGGGGTGGCGTAAGTATAATCGTGGTGATCGTGCACTTTTTTACATCTGATCGTTCAAGCATTCTTGTCTGAGATAATTGTCATGTAATAGTATCTAGGAGGTAGAAATGAGTGTGAAAGGAGAGATACTCTCTTCTGGTTTTTTTTTTAATGAAGTTTTTGTTTCCGTTTTGGTCTCCTCTGGATGCAGCCGGTATCATGGGCAAGCTTGGGATTGCTGGTTGTCACAGGAGTAGGATTGATCACCTACTATGACCGCGAAAAAAAACGACGTATTGAAGGTAGTTTGCCAGACGCATACGGGGTGAGTAGGTCCAGCATGATTGAAATCTGTCTAGTTACGAGATTGTGGATTTCTGGGAGGGGGAGGGTTGTTGTGTTTATTGCCACTCATGAATCTAGCATTGAGAGACAAAAAGTTGCTATTACTGTTGATGAATTGATCAAACATAGTCAAACCTCATTTTGACATTGCAGATATTTGGAACCACTTAAAGAGTAGCTCCGTTGTAAACTGAATTATTACGCTCTATATGATGTTGATCTGTAACTTGATGTTAAGCTTGCTTGAGTCAGCATGGTATTCGACGTGATAAGATTTCATTGGAGAAATTAAACACAGAAATTGAAATCTCCATCATTATTTGTCATTACAGATTTGAAGCAAGCACCTCCTGAGGCGAAAGCGGGCCCTAGTGTTGGAAAAGCTGCAATTGGCGGTCCATTCAAATTGTTGAACCATGAAGGCAAAGTGGTCACAGACCGAGATTTTGTTGGGAATTGGACATTGATCTACTTTGGGTTCACGTTTTGTCCAGACATCTGCCCCGATGAGCTGACCAAGCTCGCCGAAGCTGTCGACCAAATTGGTATTCCCCGATTAGACTTTGATTTGGCTTGTATCGTGCTCTCAGAGTGACAGTTTTATTATGGCGGTCATCATCTGTGCTGATGAAATGATTAGTTTTAATTCTTCTCTGTGACCTCTTGTAGAGAAGAAGATTGGGGTTCAAGTTGTTCCAGTTTTCATATCCATAGATCCGGAACGAGATACAGTGGAGCAAGTACGAGAATACCTCAAAGGTGGGAAAGAATATCTCTAAGCGGCATCTTGATTGGATTTGGACAATTATCTGTCATTTTGTAGACTCTGGTCATCTGTATTTGCACTACAATCAGAGTGTGAAGAGAAGAGTCAGAGAGTGAATGGCAGTCTGAATCCTTTATTTTTATCTTGTAGGGAAACTTCATGATAATGTGATTTTCAGTGCACGGTGTTAGGATCGTTTTTTGCGGGTGTATAATCTAGGACATTTGTGATATTTAGTATTTGTGAATATATCTCAGTTTTAAGAAACTTTTTCAACAATCTAATTAGCAGACATAATTCTGCAGAGTTTCATCCGAGGCTCGTTGGTCTAACGGGGAGTGTGAATGACATACGTCAAGTGGCACGTGAGTATCGCGTGTACTACATGAAAACCGAAGAAGAGGGAACCGACTATCTTGTTGATCACTCAATCATCATGTACTTTCACTCACTTTATGCCTGTGATATGTGACTACATAATTGGAATTCTCTAGTTTTTTATTCTCATGAAGTAAGGCAAGGCGTGAAGTAAGAATATTATGAGTTATTATGTTTTGAGACTGATTTTTTGCTGGAATCTACTTGCAGGTACTTGATGGATCCGAACATGGATTTTGTCAAGTTTTTTGGAAAGAATTATAATGCAGATGGTTTGACTGATGGCGTTGTAGAAGAGATCCAAAAATACGGGAAGAAGTAATTTTTAGTTCAATTCTGTTTTTTAGCGGTTTTGTGGTGATAGAAAGCCCTGTTTATTCATAAGTCCAATTGGTTCATTTAATTCATCTCTTAAGAAATTTTGACGAGTATACTTTAGAACTTTTCGGTTCTCATACATTTCCTGCTTCTAGATTAGGGAGGAGACAATGGTAGTGAGGCAGTGGTCAATATGGCCTTCAAATCTGTGGTGACAACCTCCATGTGGTACTATTCGTACATATTCGATTATCTCGAGACTTAAGAACCAAGATCTAGTACCACAATCGAGCACCCATTTATATTTCAGTTAGGTGAACTTAAATTTGAGGTGGTAAGAACCATTGTGATCGAAATAAATTGAAGGCAAAGAATTTTCACTGATAGTACCTGATATACTGAAGCATGTACAAACTCAGACCAAACCGAACAGATACCACGACCCTCTTATTTATCATTTCGCTCTATTGTTGCATGCTAATCTCACTTTGGAAAAAGAAGCTTGTCATCTTCTCACCGTCTTTACGAAAGACTCTGTATGGTACCTGTTCTAGACGAGAACAGCACCACAGTTATATCAGTGTGTTTCCGAACGTTGTACTCTGGAGTGTCGCACTGTTTTTTACTGTATGATACCTTCTGGTTTTAGTCGTTGCGGCGTAGTTAACACAAAGCCAAGCCAAATCAATGGCGATTATTGATCACTCTGAATTCCAAACTTTGCTTCCATTGAGTATTGGCCGCTTCTGCAAAGGCCATGTTTTGCAAGAGGTTTAGATAATGTTGCAAGAGCAACAGATTTTCACGCAACAATCGGAAAAAATATTTGTCACTATGTTATTCAATTACGAAGCAGGTCTTATCGTACTTGGAAGACCTATGTGGCCTCGCTGAGAAGAATTTCCATATTCTGAAAGTCAGGGACGACTCGGAAAGCTGACGTTGCCGCATTACAAATAGCCCTTTTTTACTGCATCCACCAAGTTTAGTAGGAGAAACTCACTGTGGTCCCTACAGCTCCAACAAATGACGAAAGTGTGGTCTGTGTAGTTGCTTTGATCCAGCTCTGATTAATTGGCCAGGCGAGTTGGTCAAGTCTTCAACTGACATATTTGGAGGTACTGTAAATCAGCAAACTAAGACAAATGAGATGAAGGATTCTCATTCAAGATCTTTACTTTGGTTATGCGAGATTTCTATCGGGGTCTTCCACGAATCTAGAAGTGGCTGCGTGTGTTTGTATCTAATAAGTCGTACAGCTAATCTCCTTTAGCTGATCTAGTTCGACTTCTGTCGACACAGCGGAGTAGAACTCTGACTCCGTTCACTCATTGTAATAAATGGAGACGAGTGGTATCATGTAACACTTGAACCTTGTAACCCTAACCCATGGAGGAACAGAGATATATGCTTACCGACTCGCTTAGTTGCACAAACAAGACCCATGTCCATTACAGTACTCACGGAGGACATGGAACTCAGAGGGCGCAGTAGCCGTGAGAGTGGATAGCGATGGGCAGGCCTGGTGTCTTCTCCAAGGAGGCAAGCTGTGATTCAGGGACGAAGCCTTCGACAAGGAGAGAAGCTTCGCAAAGCAGAAAGCACCTTGCCATCAGCATCAGCTGTGTACAGTCGTGTTCAAGCGGTATCTAGAAGTTTTATCCGCATCTGATAGAATATGCCGTGGTACAAGTCGCGTATTTAGTATGTATCTGATCTTTTATCCTCTACATTTAGTACTTCACTTCATGCAGTGACGACGAAGGTCAGTGATTCAGATGCACCGCAAGGGGAAGGTAGTACCTTGCCCTGTTCCTCTGAGCTCGCCGCTACTTCTCCAACTACAGAGACAACCCTCACGTCAACTCTTCGTACAGTAGTTGAATTACAAGTGGACTTGAATTACAAGCGGTCATGGTTATCACCGTCTCCTGTATTCTCGAGACCTGATGCTGTTTCTAAAGTATATTTCCTGCGGTGATTTTTTTCTGGGGAGTTTTACGAGAAAGGAAGGAACTCCTTGAAGAAACTTTAGTTTGACTTTCCTTATCTTCTGATGAAGTTGAACTGACAGGAGATGCCACTGAGGCTAATCCAAACTACTCTGCCAAGTCTAGCCGAAGGCTCTGAGTTATGACTAATGTTGTCCACATTGGATCGACCGTCATGTCCATATGGACCCAAAGAGGATGAAGTAATAATCGTCGAGAATGGTTCTTTATTTTACGGTATGCATGACCACAAGCAACTGCTCTCTGGAAGTTCTTCCGACAACAAAAGAAGATGAAAAGGCAACAGATAACAAACGGTGATCATGTCACAGTCATTGGCTGTTTCTGGTTTAAGAGACTTGAACATACATGCTGCTAGACTCTCTTTAGATAAAGGACATGAACCTTTGATCTAACATACGCGCATGAGAAATTTTCTTCGCAGTTCGAGCTGGAAGAGTTCTCCGTTCCAGAGTAAGCACGCTCATCTGCCTCTCAGCTGTGATGGATGGTTCAGAAAGTTGAAATCAAAGGTTATGTTGTCGTCAATTAGTGTAGCACATACAAGCATGAACACCAGCATTCTGTCAACGACGAAGAGGTCGGGACGGGGCGATGCAACAGATGGCGAACCAGAGGAACACTACACAAACTTTGTGTTGATCACCGCTGTCTCTGACGTGTGCAAAAACTTACGTGAGCACATTCATCACGACGGACGGTCTCCAGTTGGATGAAGATCTGGCGGTTTTCTATTCAAAATATACCATGACAGGTTCTTACGGTGCAGGGGAGGTGAAGCTCGAGAAAGTGGAAGATGGACAGGTGAGTGGAGTCGAGAGAATTTTTCAACCAGATGCGGATCTCTCTCTGCGGGGACGGAGCCAGATTGAGGATTTGACCGAGTTATGAGGTTGTCGTCGGCATCGACGAAGGTCAAAACGATGCTGGGGAAAAATATACTTTGGAAAGGCCTTGCAGTGAGTAAGCACGTTGTGATTAGCTCAGAAATGTGAGGAAGGTAGTTTGCGTTGTAGGTACAACTGAGCAGGAAGCGAGTTCTTTGCGGAGGCTTGTCCCGGAGCATATGTAGGGAAGGTGACATCCTCCAGCTGACGCAGTTTGAGGACGTCGAAGACAAATAAGAGGAGAGGCGAATGAAACAGAATATAGGCAGATTTGCTCAGAGTCAACGAACTACATCTGCCGTACTTTGTTCTCCGATTTGTTTGATTCAGCTCGCGTCTGTGTCGGAGGAGAAGCTCAGTTTTCAGGCTCAGGGCTCTAGTTATCTTGTCTCGTTGGTTTCGCCTCACCTGAATCTTCTGAAGGCCTGGCGCACAGTTTGTCAGTCGAGACTCTGAAGTCGTTATTGCTGAGCAGAGGCCTGCGCAGCGGGGATTTGACTAGCAGCTCTCTGGCCACTGCACCGTACACTTTGGGCACCCACTTCGAACGATGGCAATGAACGGCAAGCTGAGTTTGGTGTTGGTGTTCGCTCTGCTGGCAGCACTGGCTGTCGTCTCAGGTGAATTCCGTAATCTGTCTGCTGACTGATTGAAATTTCATCTGGAATGAGCTCGAAGGGTGAATTTCAGATTCCTCAGCTTCAGCCAGCTTGGATGTGTGCGTGCAACTTGCGGGTGCGCGCACAAATCCAAGGTCTTTCAACATTCTCATTCCTTTACATTTGTCTTGAAAACGATCGCAGGTTTTACTGGTTAGGAGAATCTTTTTTGCGAGCTTAGAGGTTATCTGACGAGGAATTGGAAGTAGAGTTTGCCACCGCATGACTGAATATAGACACCCTTTTGTCAACTGCTTAATTCGTTGAAAAAATTACAGCAAGCAGAATGTGCTTATCCTCACATCTTTGTCAGAACACATCTATGAAGTAGGAGCAGGAAATAACTGATCGTTAAAAGATGAATTTTAGTGAAGTTGTATCAGAGATCTGAGTGAGTAGGAAGAGAATTCCCATCGTCTTCTTTATTGGATTCACGAGAGTTAGATCTCGGAAGCTTGATGAAAGGCTGTCCATATTTGTGCTCGATTAGCATTAGAACTCGCAGCTACTTCATCCCATGGCTTTCAGTCTGGACCCGAATTGAAAACCAGAGAGCTAAAATGCTCCACTTGGCTTTCGAGTGTTTATCGTATCGATCTGTCGACAATCCAGAGACTCCACATGTTGATAAGAAACTCAATTAGCTTATGAAGAGAGCCGCGTCTGGGAATGGAGTTTCTGACGAAACACTACCAGAACAGTTGGCGATGACTTTTAGAATATTCATGTTCAGAACTGTGCGGTTGTTATCAAACACACGATTGCATACCAAACGCCTCACGTCTTTTGCTCAAGAGAATGTTCTAAGGAGACTATGTGGGTTGGAATCTCGCAGTCCGAAGTGATGCAACATTCAAGGATCCACGAGGAATGGTAAATCTGGCGAATTTTCAAGCGTTGAATAACGCGCTCTACTGCCTCGACAACAAGGTAAAGCTCCCAGCCAACTTCCTGAGTCATCCTAGTTCAAATGAAAAATCGAATTGAACTATGAGCTTGTTTGTTGGAAATTAGTGAATGGCTCCTGGTAGAAACTCGAGCTGGCACCAGTTTTGACGAGAATTTGTGTGCTTTATCTGCCTTTTCTAGACCGCTGCCGTATGCCCCCCAGGAGGTTATCTCAATGAGACTGGAAAGATCCCACAATTTAGCACAGCCGATGCCCTCGTTTACTGCAATGAAGGCTGCGCAAATCAGACTCTCGTGCAATTGAAATGTGTATACGACGTCTACGAGCCATTCCGCTTCAACAACAACGCTCTCGTCGCAGATATCCGGAACACGATCGAAGCCGCTTGTGATCCAACCAGCATTTTGTTCGGTAAACATCTGTAGCACTTGATTGATGCAATTCCTGCGTGAAAATGCATTTGCAGTTTGTTGGCTTGTACTTTGACTTCTCATGTTCCTCTAAGCGGCTCTGACTGGCTTCTGATCTATCATTTGGCGGTAATTTGATCTCGTTTGTGCCCAACATCAGGAAACTTTACCATCAAAGTTACAAGTTTTGGAACGAACTTGGCTCCAACAAGCCTCTTGGGGGTGACGCTTCTGTCTGTTCTTTCTGCACTTCTCTTTGTCTGACTTATCGAGCCGAACCCTCAGGCCCTGATGAGGAAGAGAAATTCGAAGCTGCTGTTTCTGTACCGATTACCTTTTTTCCCGCACTGTCAGCCTATTCGATTCTTCTTTAAACCATATACTCTATTTGTGTAAGACTTGGGTCATAGCAAGTAGTATGTCTTCTAGGGGCCCTGGATTCGTCATAGTGAGGTATGCGACATTTGGGTTTTCCGCTTTCCACGATCACAGGCTGGTATGGCTGTTCAAATTCACGTAGTGTAAACTGTGCGGGTGAGATGGAAACTCAGACGCGGGATGGAATCTCGTTAATTTTCACACTCATACATTCGCAGATACAGTGTGGCCTCCACTTCGTCACCAGAAATGTAAACGGGACTGAGAATTCATGTGAGCTCATCAGTGATCGATAAAGTTGTGTGTATGCGACGATAATAGATACTTTATATTACTAGGGCATGTGTAATTCTAAGTTGCCACTGAAATCCAGTAATCTGTGGCTTTGCTGGATGAGTTTCAATCCATCCGGCATAAAGTTTTGAGGTGTTGTGATCCATCTTGTGGCTGTTTCTGCCTGACCTCGAATCGTGCTTGATGCTCTCACTCCAAATAAGTGTCCATCTTTCAGTTCGCCGGTCATCGTTGTGTCAATCTTCCAGTCGCAAAGTTGACTTTGTCGATGTACTCCTCATTGTTCTGTCAATCTTCCGGTCGCAAAGATGACTTTGTCGATGTACTTCTCGTTTATCGTCCGATAGGGCAAAGCTTCTTCTTCTCGACTGAGGGTACTTGATTCTTCGTCGAACATGGAAAGATCGGCGGACATTGGTGTTGTTGTTTTCTTCGATCGGGAAGAGGGGAAGCTTGTCAGCCCTAGCGAACTCAATGAGAGCGCAGGGCGAGGTGACTTTGAAGCAATTTAAATACCGGCCAGATGCATGAGCTCTTTCTTCATCTCATCGTTGCGCGCGTTGATCTCGTCAATGCCCGCCTGGAGGGAGCCATGGCCGCCCTCGATGTCGGATGCTCGGGAAATGATCTCGCGGTGGCCCATGCGCAACAAATCGATGTCGTGGCGAACCAAGCCGATCGTGGTCACCGTCTCGTCCTGCTTGGCCATCACACCGTCCTGACCCTTGTGCAGATTCTGAATATCGCGCTGCAAGTTGGCGTACATGTTCAGATTTCTGGCCATGGAATCCACGACCTGCGCCAGCAAGCGCAGGTCCCTGTTCAGCTCGGCCACCGTCGCCATCGCCGCTTGCCGCTAGCTACGTCGGCCACAAGCCTTCGTCGGGAACGCGATCGATCGCTCCGCCGTGATCTGCAGTATCTCGACACCGCCGGCAGAATTCCGACGTTTTCTTCCCTCTCCCTTTCCCCTCCCCCCTTTCTCTTCGTCCCCCGGTCCGTCGCGACCTTACCCAACCGCCGCGTCAATTTAACCTAATTGACCCAACAGTTTTCACTACAATTTATTTACATGGAATATAGTCTTCATCGCTCTTTTGTGCGATCTTCTAATGACCGTCGGATTCTATTTCGACGGCCGATCTTTGATATTTATCAGAATTTTTCGAGGAATTAGTCCCTCTCACGCTTCACCTTGGGTCCGGGTAAGTGTAAAAAAGCCGAAGGTTACGGCGTTTCGATTTGGAAGCGACAGAGGGTGAAAACCGTCGAATGCATGTAAGGGAGGACTATAACGACACGTGTCTGTATAGGACGGGCGGACCGAAGGTACGTCTGTTCTGAAGCTGATAACCGGAGGAAAGGAGATAAACCGGAGAGAGAGGTGAGATCGGAGTTAGAGGAAGCTTTGTTGCTATTTCCGGGCGAGAATCGGAGGTACGACTTTGGTGGCGGAGCCCCGAGAGATTACAACTTCGCAGGCAGACGCCGAGCAGCAGTGACAATGTCGCACGCGACGCTGGCCTTCTCGTCGGCAGGATCCGCCACCGTCGCGGATCTGTCTCGAGACTTGAGGGATTTGGGGCAGGTCGTGGATGCGTTGCAGAGGAATTTGCTGATTCATCCGAATCTTGAGCGTGAGCTCGATCACCTCCGAGAAGGGAACCAGAATATTATGAATCGGGAGGATTCCATCATCAAGGAGCTCGAGGGACTGCGGCTCGAAATGAAGGAACTGCGGGCACAGCAAGCCGAAATCATGCAGAGGGAGAATGACATGAAGGAGGCTATCTGCGACATGAGGAAGGGTCATAAGGAAGTCAATGCCCGTCAGGAAGACATGAAGCGCGAAATCATGCGCGTTGCTGGTTGCTGAACCCTTCGTGCGCAGATTTCTTCTACGTGTCTACGAAGGAGTTCTATCAGGTCTCTGTCCGCATCCCAATCAATCGTGATAACCTCCAATAGACGGAGATCCTTAAGTATCAACATTCGTTCACGCTTTATCTGGTGAAAATTGACATGGGGTATATGGGTTTAAGAGGAATTCAGAAACTTCATGATGAGCCCACGAGACCAAATGGTGGACAAAGAAATTCAGCGTGTGTCGTCAAGCCCATTCCAGTGTGCCCTCACGTGGTTTCAGCAGAACGGTACCAAGAAACACTTGCACCAAACCCGAATTCCAAGAGATCAAAGCAAGCAACACAGATACAAAACTTCACACACATGTTAAACATTTAGTGACGTCCGACCACCACCCTTAGACAGTGTGCCTGCTAAGGGACTACCAAGACTGTCCAGGTCAATCGGAACAACAAACGAGTGGCTCACACCATGTTCTCATACTTTGCACAAAATTCGCTCTGGAAAAGAGTTTTGATGCTTGGATTAAGGAAAACTTACATTAATGTCGGACTGCTTGATTGATAGTACAAAATGTGGACACAAGAACAACATAAAAATCGCATCTCTGCCACCACTCTCTGGTGATTTTGGCCCAATTGACTTTCTACAAATGCACTGTAACCTAACAAGGGTATCGATTTGTCCCACTGGATGTGACACAAATTCATGGTCTCCAGACAGGAAGATAGGAAAAAATGGTGACTGCATCTAGTCACTGTATCCGGCATCCTCCAAGAGATTTCTCACTCTCACGGTGCACGTCCCCGTACGCTGACAATTCCATCATGTCCATGTCTCGGTTTGCCAGCCGGCAATAGACGCTCTTCTGCATCAGCTCTGTTTCTGAAACGTTGGTTCGGGCACCTTTCGCGGAATTGGCGGCAGTCTGCAAAACTTGGCAATTCTCGAGAACACTCTTGCCTCCCTGAGAGTACGGTACAACGTGATCGAAATTGTAACAGAGGCAACCTCGACAAGCAACGAGCTTTCTGAACACTAGGTTTCCAAGGGCGTCTCGGCGCCACCGCGACGGATCACGGCCTTTGACGACCTCAGCTTGTTGCCAACAGGCTTCTTTGACATCGTGAGGAAAAGACCGAGGCTCTGTGCGGGATTCCGAAGGCGGGCTCTGCCATCCCCCGTCGTCAGTCCACTGCTTTCGGCCAGTCTTCGTAGCATTGCGCGACCTGGATGACAGTCCTCTCACCATCGCTTCCTCTTTGAATGTCGACACAGCTTGCATCAGCCCACAGCTCCCATCGCCTCATGTGTTTTCATGGAGCTGTGAACCATCAGCACGTTCATATTCTCATCCATGAGCGTTCTTCGAATTTCAGCATCACATCGAACGTCCTTCCCACGAACATTCCATCCGCTCGACGAAATCTGGACGCTATCGAAGTTCGAGTTTTACTCGTTCATTACTGACCAGACATTGTCCGATTATACTCCAACGCTTCCTTTGTGGAAAGAGACTCTCATCACTTGCTAGAGCAGAACACAAAAACCTGTATGATGTCTTCTCTTCGGTTCTAGCAAAAAAATAGAATCATACGTTTGACGGTTCAGTCTGTTGCTTATACGGAGAAGTTGAAAATTAAATTGGACGAAGCTCCAATATTTGAAGTTTCTTGAGGGTCAAAATCTCTTGACTGTTTTGTGGATTTCTTCCTCTCCTCCCTTATCGAGGTATTCAGATTAGAGTTCTTCCTGTACAGTAAGATCTTCTTTATCAATAGTTGCTTCTTGAACATAGGCTGCCTATGATCTTATACTTGTTACTATATATGACTTTCAAATTACTCCGTGGAGTGACATGCAATTTAATAATACTACAACGATTTTGAGTTGATTTTTTCCTGAAGTGTATATACTTTTGGAACATGACCTGGACTTGCTTTTATGATGATGTGATCATTATTCTCTAATGATGCATTGACTCACTTATACACTTCTTTTTCCCAACAAATATAAATATCTGAATCAATATTGTGCATGAACTATTCTTGAAAAGTAGCAAGGTTTTGAAGTTTTGCATTGAACTACATTTTTCATCTTATTTTAAAAAATCCAATTGAAACATTCATCCATAATAGTTTAAAAGAGGAAAAAATCACATGTATATTGGCATGTAAAATAAATTTCAATTGTGCTAGTAAGATTTTAATCCATACTAGTAACATTTCTACTATGTATTATATATTAATACATAGATAAATTTTTATCATAAAAAATAACACTTCTTTGTTTGTCATCGAGAATTGAAGTTCAACGAAGAATCTGGAATCTTCTGATACTCTAAACCGGTCACCGGTCACCGGTCATCGATCCGGCGCATCTGATGCTCGACTCAAGAACATCAGAAGCAACGACGGGCACGTCCGAAGAGTCCTCCGACTCCTCACGACGTCCACATCAAAGTAGCACAGTGGTTGAGTAGATAACTTGGACCAAGTAATTCTACGCACTGCAGTCGACTAGGAATACATCGTCCCGTCTCCTCGACTGCGATTTCTTAGATCACCACGTTCATGTTGTGGTGGAACGTGAAAAGGAGTAAAGGAACGAGCCTGAGGGTCGCCATGCGAGGGTGGGAAGATTTCATGAAGTTGTTCTAGAATCCTCTCTAAAGAACTTAGAAAAAGCAAAACGTAATCAAAAAATCTGAAGCCACTAATTTGTAGAACGAGCATAGTTATCACGAACTCAACATAAAGTACAGTACACCGTAAATCAATCCGGGACCGGCTGCTGGCTCGAGAACTGACGAGCCAATAAATGATTGAACCACATGTTTCGTCAGATCTGCGATGAGCAAAGTATAACGAACACACGCGAATGATGATCAGCATTAAACTCGTGGAAATAATCTGATCAAGAATCTTCCCTTCCACACAAACTTGTGCACAATGCTGCATCGAACAGTCAGGATATGCACGAACTCTTATTTCAGAAGAATCCCTCGAAGGGCTTGGGGTTTGAATCGATGAATCAAAAGCGTAACTGAGAGCGGAACTGAATAAAAGCGTACGAACGAGCCTACAAGGTTAACGAAAACCGTGGACGGTCCCTCAACAACCGCGTAGGATATGTAACCGAGCAAGTGCAAGATTCACTGCAAAAGCGCGGTCCGAAATCGAACTGCCGTGCACGGCGGAACGCAGTAAAGTCTGCAGTGATGACTGCGGAAGACGCATCCGTGCACGGACAGGATGGGGTCTTCCCATGCTTCATGTTCTTCACCTTCTACTCAACCGCAGAAGACAGTCGTCGTCGCAGTAGCCGCGGTCAAAGAAAAATTTACCTTTCCCGGTTCTGCATAACGGCAGAGCGAGCGGAGAAGGGCAGGCACTAACGACCGAGCGGCTTGCGTGCCGAAGAACATGTAAGATTCCGTTAACGGCTTTACGAACGAGGACCGCAGGAACAACAGTTTGACCTTTGGACTCGTTCCGGACGGCAATAGCACGCAGAAGAACCGGGTGTGCAGTGAGTAGAGTAGACGAGAGTGGGCGAGGGAAGGGAAGGGAAGGAAGCGGAGACTCGAGAGAGGGACGAGGAAGAGGAACAGGGGAGAGCAGGTCGAGGATGTCAGACGACAGAAGGCAAGAGGAGAGAGAGAGAGAGAGAGAGAGAGAGAGACGAGAGCGAGGAGGCGGACGAGGAGGATTGATCTGTAGACGATGATGAGAAGCGCAGGATATCGGGCTTGTCTCAGGTGCTGACTGGAAGGGAAAGGACAGGAGAGGACAGGACGACAGGAGCGAAATTGCTATGCTGGGCTGTGGTAATTTCGCTCGATCGATGCTGCTGGTTTTATCGCTTCAATCGATCCCTCGTAATCTCCGCATACGCGCTGAGTTGTAGAAGGAAAGTCGGGCGTTTCAAACACGCGCACCATGAACGCCGGTCCTTCAGGATTTCGTAAGTTTCAGTTGGCGAGTTCTGCTTCTATTGTTTTTATCGGCTGTTTTGTACTTGTCTAGGTTTCTGATTCTCTGTAGATGGGAGGCTACTCGATAGAAAAATCTCGGATACGTAATTTGGAACTCAGCAGTTTGGGAACATGTTTTCATAGGAGTCGAAGTTTCTGTGGGGTTGAGGAGTCCTATGAACTTGTGTCTTCATACCGACAGGGCAGTTGCGGATTTGGGAGAAAGCTCAAAAGCCTTTGGTTAGAGACGCGAAATTACTCGTCCGTTTAGGTTTGTGGAGTATAAGAAATACGTGCAGTGGAAGATCTTGTGTTTACACGGCTGATTGGTTGCATTCTGTCGGACGGTTTGTTCCGGAACAGAGAATGCAGCAGTGACAAAGGGAGTCGTAATTATTTGCGGTGTCGTGTCGCTGCTCGTTGGAACGCAAGGGGGCGCCAGGGCTTGTAGCTTATCTTATCAGGTGTGTGAACTTCCAACTTCCTTGCTTCTAGTTTGATAAAGTCTTCCAGCTTATTTATCTGTTTAGAAAAAAGAGCTTTTCCTTTTCCCTCGTTCTCTCTCTGTAGCCCTTGCTACAAGGAACGATAGAATGATGGGGGTGCGGAGACTGGAACAGTCTGACGCAGGCCGTTCTTATTGCTATATGAACACGAAATGTAATGTACCCTTAGGGTTTGTGATCCTATAGTAAAAAACAATTTTTCATCTACAGTTTTCCAGACAATCTGACCAAATGGGGATATGCGTTCTTGCGGAATGATTATAACATCTTTGTCTAGTCTACGAGCGGCAGGTCTCCACGAACTATTTACAATCCTCGTCTGTGTGAAATGGGCCCTTTTTCTCTTTCCGCTTTCGCATATCGTCTTCATTGCTAAGATTAAACATGCAAACATCCCTCACATCTCTATCCACGCACTCATTTGCAACTTATTTTTCGCCACTTCCGGTTCACCACATGATTTCGGCTCACAGAGATTACATTCGAGGCATCCGCTTTTTTTGCCTATTTCTGATATCCACCTTTGTGCTAATTTCCTTGCTCCAAGTGCTTCTTTCATAATTTATTCTGAGGCTTTTATCTACTTCAAATTACACGGCATCTCTTCTGATTGGTACCATAACGTTATCTTTAGTTTCTTCTTTGACTTCCAAGCACCTCTTCTCCATATTCTTCTTGTCAGTCTCCACACATGAACAAGAAGATTCTTCTCTGTACAGCCCCTTAGTTTTGGGGTCCCTAACTGTTACGGCTCTTTTCATCTCTACAAGACTATCAGGAGCCCTTCTCATTTCTATCATCAATTCTAGTCCTGTGGCTACACTTTTTAATCGGGGGGTTTTTTTTTTTAAATCTCTTACCCAGAACATGAATGTCCTTTGGCAGGATAGCTACCAAAGAATCGTACATGGGGCTGACACCTAAAATCTCTGTTCTTGGATTGCAACTGACTCCGTTCTCCCTCGTCATTCACCATGTTGCCTCATAGCAGTCGTCGTATCTTAAACCAACTCCATCCTCTTACAGGCTTAGTCTCTTATATTTTAAATTCACTCTTGCTGATTCAGAATCTCGAATTCCCGTTCTCATTTTTCAACTTTTTCATGTTCACTCTTTCAAAATCGTTGAAACTTTACTGTTGGTTTCTTTTTAATTCTCGGTTGAAACACCCACAAGATCGTATATCTACACAATACCTACATCTTCGTATGCACGCGACTGCCTCTGGCCTCCCTCTTCGGTGTTAATCTTCAGGTGTTTTTCGACGGATTGTATAAATAGCCGCGGACACAACTGTGGGCACAATTTGTCGTGAGTAATAACTGGATCAACTTCCCTGCAGAGTTTTCCTGAGTTTTGCTGAGTTTGTCTCATCATACCTCCACACGTAGTTTTGATGGGTTCCTCTGTTCCGACTTACCTGATTTTTCATCCTTCATGTTTTTGGACGACAGCCGCTCTTATAGGTGGAACCAAACCCATGTCCTTTCTTGAAAGGATCCTCTGTTTTTCTGCTCATGAATATAGCTTTTAGGACATGGCAACCTATTGTTTTTCTCCAGGCCTTGATACCATGGTCTATCACGAATGAAGGAATGTCCATCATTTGTATGTCTACTGACATTCTCGCCTGTACAAATCATGGATCTTCTTCAGATCGCGTGTGAATTTTAACTTGCATATTATACTGTTCGTGATTACTTCCATTCGTCAGCTTTGAAGCTCTACTTCTCTTACTTCTAAAGGAGTACTTTGTCCTTCTCAGCATTGGTAGCATGCTTTGTTTCCTTCTGACTCTTGGTTATGCTACTTCTCTATTATTCACTCTCTTCGCGGACTTCTTAGTTAATATCTTTCACCCTCGCGTTCAATGTACCATATCACGACTATCGCTTGTTAAAATGGGATATCATTGTATGTTCTACTGCAGTGGTTTCTGGAAGTTCTACTTCTACGTCTGTAACTTCTAGCCAGCAAAGCGACTCGTTATGACCTTTCATTGAAATGTTAACCATCACCCTTATGGTATATTCTCATGTCATAGTCAGAAAAGACTGGTATATTCTCATGTCATAGTCAGAAAAGACTAGATCATTGGTTCGTGTTAGGACTTGAATCAAGCAAGAAAATTTGTTGCTCAGCGGCCACTTTTGAACCACGCTTGTGCAGGCTATCTTTCGAAAGCTCCAACTGTGGCGCCTCATAACATCAAATTTCGTTGTTTCTACCTCTCCAGAGCTTATCTTTGGTCTCTATCTAATATACTTTTTCAGAGTGTTTGAGCGTCAACTCGGCTCCAACAAGTATATGGTGAGTAGCCTCAGCTTTACTCTGCTTGTGTTCTGGTCAAGGTTATTACTTTTATTTCCCACATATTCCACCCGCTGTCATCTGTTTTGGATTCACATCCTACTTTTCCTTAATACTGTGTCTGTTCGCACAGCATCTTTGTGTGTAATAGGCGAACTTGTGGTTTGTTGGACTTGTATGAAAATTTGTCTTTTCTTGTTGAGAAGTTTAACCTCCGATGTGTTGGTTTCGTTCAGCCGAAGTGGAAATGTCTGTTATTTCGATACTCTGCACTCTGTTGCAGCAGTTAGGATGTCTTCCAGATGTATTATCAGCAGTGTCTGATGCTACTATCAACTGTCCTGGATTAGCTATAGCTTGCTACTACTACCCCTATCTTTCGAGTGAGATTATGAGCAGCAATAATATTGTCAAAATTATCTAAATAGCACCCGCCACACTTGAATTGCGAACAACTCGCATATCGAAGTTCAGCTGGCGTGTAAGCTCCACTCCCCCAGCAATTCAGCACTACTCAAAGATGTGACAAGTATTTGAGGAAATGATCATTGGCAAACAGTGTAGTATGATGTGTGTTATTTACCATCAGTCTTGCAATATATCGCAATATACACATATTCATGTTTATATTGAGTTCATGACTCAAACCTGAGCGTGAAGTGTTATTTGAAAATTTAATCCAGCACCACTGAAAGGTGTGATCAGTATCCGAGATAATGATCACTGGTAAAGAGTCTAATATGATGTGTGTTCTTTGCAATCAAACGAACAACAACAATATATACACAGATTTCATGGGCTCAAACATAAGTGAGAAGTGTTAATATGAAAACCTAATGTTAAAGTGGCTACTGGTTGCTATACCCTACTTCAGCCCTGAAGTACATGAGTAGTCGGTAAAAGTCAGTAACCAGCTTTTACTTTTCATAAATTTTACTACTTTACTGCCAAAGACGGAAAGAAACTTACTATTTAATTAACTATTACATCACAAGATGTTAGTTGTTGCTACGAAAGAAACACGTTTGGAGAATGCTCCTCCAGCGAAAGCAAAACTGAACGCTTCATTATATCAACCAACCAGGCCGTACTCTTAAGCTGGATTAACTCCCCCTTGTGTGTTATTGCTTTCTTAGAAGAGAGTAAGGCGTTTCGGAAGCTCATTTTCAATGTGACATGGCTGCAGGTCTTTGTCCTCTTCTCAACAATATTGACAACTCTTCTTGAAGTTATAGCGTTGGCAGCAATAAGAGGTTTGCATGTTTCCGAAGCTGCTACTTTATTGACACATTTTTTCTATCATGTTTCACGATCTGAGGCGGTTTGAAATGTTAGTCATCCCGTCAACACCTAGGACCCTTTCTATATCTTATAGTTTCTGCTCTGTTGTGATGGTTTACCTCGTCGCACGTCCTATTACATAACAAGGAAAGAGTACTATTGCGTCCCATTTACAATCTATGTTTAGAATGTGTCCAGTTCCCGTTGAGCTAGCGTGTTAGTCTCTGCAAGATTTGTAATATATTTTTGACGACTTTTGATGCAGATCCAACATCTTCTGGTATTGCTCTGTCTCCTGGTCCTTACGGTCTTATATTTGCTTCCTTTATTCCATTCTTCTTCGACATACCCATTTCTACAAGATTCAGGGTGTTTGGTGCCACATTTTCGGACAAATCATTCATATATCTTGCAGGTCTCCAGGTAGCTTTTTAAATCTCTTTTGTAAGCTATGATTGTTTGATATGGCAAAACGCTATACTTGGCCTCTTATTGCCATTGTAGGGTACATTTTTAGACTAACAGCATTCCGATATGTAAGGAGCAACATCGAAAGACAGTATTTTTTCTGCTGGAAATTAACTCTGGTGAAGCGGCCCAGTATAGGGCCCGACTACTTATTCACCACGGCATGCTGATCCGTGATAACTAGCTATTCCAACTTTATGTTCCTGAGTTGCAGAGAATAACCCGAACTAACTTTGTTTTCCTCAATCAATCACATGTTTTGACCTATTTTGTACTTAAAGACGGCAGTTTCTCTGTCAATTTGTTGACATCTGTGTTCCCCCTCGTAGTTTGATCTCAAATCAGCTGTTTCCTTTAATTCTATCCCATTTATCGTGTCATGGTTTAAATCTAAAAACGAGGACGAAGGTCGTTTCTCAGTATGCTTGCATCTTCCAAGTCGGTGTAAGTGCCTGGAAGAATATGGTGCTTATAAATTTTATGCGGAAGTCTAATTTTCTCTCCTGCTGCCTCCAGCTCCTGCTGTCATCATGGAAGAGGTCTCTTATTCCAGGCATATGTGGTATCCTTGCTGGTTTCACATACCGCTCAAATGTGTTGCGATTGCGGAGAATGAAGGTTAGTGTTGGATTTTGGTTTGTTTTGATTCGCCAAACTTCAGTCTGGATTTTGTGACATCTCTCTTTTGTGAGGCTTTGTAGGAAACAAAGTCATACATAACGTGCCCACAGGATGCTTTGCCAGTTTCAAGTTGCTTCTCATTGGGATTGAGAATCTTCTTCTGTGAACGCAGTTCCCAGATAGCCTTGCCTCAGCTACAGCGACGTTGTTTCGACCTCTCCTTTCAAGTGTGGCAAGTTCACCAGCAGTACCTGCTGGCAGGCCAGCCGGGACCAGAGAAGCTGCGAATCAAACGCAAATGGGACGTCCATATGAGGTACGGGGATGGAGTGAAGATTGTTTGTATATTGTTCCGCACAAAAAGCTGTCGCTGGCATTCAGCACCTAGTGAAGTTGGATTGCAAGAAGGTTCTGACTTGTTCTCGGTCGCTAGAGTTAGGACGATCGTTTGGACGTTACATGTAGGAGCGTGGTTGCAATTTCCTTATTAGCATCCAATAAGGCCGTTGCTTTTCGTTCGGAAGCATCTTGGGTTTTCTGGGTCTAGAGTTGTATCCGATATTTTCGCGGATGTTATTTAAATACTGCATGCCTGCTGTGGGAAGAAAGTCCCTGTCTAACTATGTCGTCGCTTTACCGTTTTGCATTCACAGGGTAGGTTTGCTGCCACCGCACCACCTCTTGCCCCCATGGCACCACCACCACCACCAGAGGAGTCCGTGTCCACACTTGTAGCAATGGGATTTGATCGCAATTTGGCTGTACAGGCTTTGACACGGTCTCGAAATGACGTCATGATGGCCACAAACTTGTTATTGGAGTCTCAAACACATTGATTTACAAATTGCGCCATCAGAAATCTTAGCTAGCAGGCAAAAGCCAGGCCTGTCTACATTATAATTCGTTCAGCAAAGCTGACAGTAGCGGAAGTTGGCCTTGCTCTTAGAGGCTGTATATGTATGAGTACATCACAAAGTGAAGACTTCATCTAGTCTGTTGAGCTGTCTGCGGCAACCTTGAATCTGTCGTCTTCACTTCTTGCTCATTAGAAGTTTGCACAGGGTGACTGGTTGTTGGCAGATGAGTGTTTACCTGATGAAGGACCTGGTTGAGCTGGTGCCCAGACATATTCACCAGGAATTGTCCACTAGGACATTGTGCTCGTCTGCCCTGCTCTCTTCAGTACCATCACCGTCTGACTTGTGTCCAAATGACAAGGGGAGCGCTGAAGTTGAGTACCAATGATCATGACACGGATTTCAGCTCATTTATTGAGCTTCTGGACTAAGCTCTAAATACGGCACTAGCCTGTACATGATAGAGACTATGAGCTGAAGTCGCCCTCAGCCGAATCTAATAGCTAAGTTTCAAATTTCGTAAAGGTCTAGAAGATCATGTTCAATCGGTCTCTTCATGTGGAAAACTGTCTTCTACAGCAGAAATGCAATATAGTAGCTACATACTTTGTGAAGAGGTTTGCGGAAAACGACTGAGTTTTTTGTATGGCTTGGTAAAAAAGGCAGGAGATGTGAGGGGTCATACTTGTACTCTTTGTTACCGCAAAGACTCCAAATACAACTGTTGGATCTGAAAGCTATTATGAGGTTTGTTCAGTACATCTTCAGAAGATTACTGACACCTGCTAAATAACCCTCCCCACTTCATATCTGAAAAGTCATTTATGAAAGGTGACTCGTGTGCAGATTACCAATAATTTACTAACACTGCCACTAAACAATACCCAATAGAATGTTAGTGTAAGTGTTGAGGATGGAAGATATAGGGCAGTCTGAAAATCTGTTAACATTGTCGTACGAGAGAATCTATTCAGGAGAAAGGTGCAAAGGGTTCGCCTTCAGTTAACAAGCTGTCCTCACCTTCAAGTAGGACTGCGGAGGTTGAGTCTGCAGTTCATGGACACAACCTTCCGTGAGTTACGGACGTATCCATCACAGATTAACTCGAGGCCCAAAAGAATCTTTTGCTGCAGCACGGTTGCGTGCTGTGCTAGTACACTTCTATGTCAGTTAGATTGTTCCGCTTGTACTCCACACGTCTGAGTCGGCGGAAGTTTGTGAGTAGTTTCTCTTATACAAACACTTTGCTGAGCTGCCTGCATCCGACGAATTGTTCACCTTTTCTCCTGGTACAGACTTGATGAAAGTTTGGAACGCCATGTGAATCGTGTCAGATACGTGCATCTGATCCTTGCCGGATAATACTAACCAATACATTCATGTGTCGCCTACGTGTATTTTGCTCTCTTGGCATGCATGCCATTAAGAAAATACGTGCATGCCTCTAACTATAGGGCCAGTAGATTTGGAGGAAGGGACATGTATGCCTGACGCTTGCTCAACCGACTAACTACAACCTTTGCAAGTTGTCAGGTATGGAGGTTCACAGTCATAGGCAGTCACATACTGGATCATATGACTTGGATGTCTATCTGGGGAGGAGCCATCACTGGTTGCCTCATATTGAGAGAGTTCTGATTCTGCACTCTTTTGTACTAACAAGGAAGTGACGTACTTGATCAAAAGATAGAGGTAGCGCTTCTAGTTGCTATACTGGACTTGCTCGGCCACGACTGTCTTGATGTGAGAGACCCTTAAGATAAGGGTCTACCCACATCTTAAGCTGGCTATCGTATGAAGTCTAATTATCTGGCGTGCGAAAGAAGGTCTTCAGTCAGACATACATCATGGTTAGAAACGTACACACTCAGATTCCTCGACAATCTTATCGACCGTCATCTTATCTGCTGCCACATGTATTTTGAGTAATATCCATACAAGTCTTCAGAAACCACTCTCTGAAGAGTTTAGCGCTGTCTCAACAGGCCCTAAACTGGGCTCAATTGTGCTCGTGAGAGCAATACAAGCGTTTCAATATCATCATCGTTTGAGTTGACGGTGGGCCCAGCCATGTCTGAGAGAACTGTAATCCTCTGTTCTTTCAACCCTCACCAATTAATCCTTGTGTTATGTATTTAAGTGATTATAAGAAACTAAGCTGATGGTTCTTAAACTATATTTGAACCGCTGGTAAAGAATAACAATAAAACTTTAATCCCTTTTTGGATAGCTCAAAGTTAGAAATGCTTGGATGCTCTGGTTGGTACGAGGTGCACGCTTGCTACTAAATCTCCTCACGTGGTTCCTCGTTATGACCTACTTTGAACTCGTCATGCTCATGAAGTAGGTAGCATATGCATGTTGGTAGAATCTGACCGTCATAACCTCAGTCCCAACATTTCCCTACGTGATTGGATGCACAGCTTCTGTATACAAATAGGTAATGAGGAGTGAATGATCACACCGGAATCTCAGTGGCTCATATGCAATCTCAGACTTTCTTCCTTCACCCAACAACGCCCTCTGTACACGTCATGCAGGTCGTAAGCAAGTTCCGCATCTTTGAGCATAAAATGTGTCGTGCCTTGTAAACTACAGATTTTAACCCAGCTTTGAGAATTTGAGACAATTTAACATCGCATTCCTCATGTTGATTGAAGCAGGATATGGAACACGCACCAGTCTCAACAGTGAGGGTTTAAAAACAACTTCTTCTCTTTTTCCGACAGAGCTGGAGCATTGTTCTCAATGATTATTGCTAAGAGCTGATTGCTGTATAAGACCTAGAGAGGATTGCTACTCTGTACAATGAGTTCTCAGGTTCTCTGATCTTGAAATTTATTGTTACGTCCAATGTGCAAGTCAGATTGCTTGAGCACACGTAGGTCCTGATGGTTGATTTCCTGTTTGTAAGGGTAACAGATGTAACAGTGTAACAGATGGTAAATTGCATGGCCCTGTACGTGGCGTTACACAGATCCAGCGATGCTACAGACAGATTTCGGGCAGCACAGCCGCCACAACCAGGACCGACATGTATATCCTCCTGCACCGATCTGTGAGAGTGCGCACGCTATCGCAGTCAAGTGGGTGCAGTATGAAGGAGTTGTTCACTTGATCCTTGCCTGCGGTGATTGTTTTAGAGTTCCACTTTTCCAGAATCGGGTCCTCCAGATCAGAAAAGAATGAGGATTACTCTCAGGGACCAGTGGCTCGGAGCTAGTCGACTGCCGCTCCCCATCGATCTCTCCAATAAGGTCGAGTGGAGTACAGGCCAGTGTCTCACACAAACCATTGGCCGACGTCCAGTCATGCGGCAGACGCGAGCAGCGGATCAGCAAGAGGCCCATGAATGTCTCCTAACATTTCGAATCCGAATTAACCCGACTGGCCGAAAGATTCCGTCATTCCGTCATAGATATAATAAAAATTTGCAGAAACGTCTGGGAGTTTCAGTTCGAGATAAATAGCTTGATGACTGCGGCCTACAATTCAGTTCGGTGATTTCTGCACCATGACTTAGGCTTCAGAGAGATATGCAGGATCAATTAACCACTGCTTCTTATAAGGAAAGCATGACTGCCTGAGAGAGTACAGAGTTCACGGCTGCCCAGAATTGCTTAAGTCGCACACCAAAGTTTTATAACGATTTTTTTTTTTTGGGGGTTCACATATATACAAAATGACCCAGTGAGGCCACCTGCCTTGGAGATAACTTGGTCTCCGATTGCGAAATTGGATGAGTGTTTCTTTTGCTATTATGATATACAGAGTTTCAAATGCACACGCAGTCAGAAGAGGATTTTGGGAGAGGGTGATATTTCGAGGCAGTCACCTCTGAAATTGGGAGAATAAGTGAAGTGCGCATCAAGATCACGGGCAACGGGGAGGTACTTTACATTGAAAAATGTCAGGTGACAGCTGATTTTCCTGTGAAAAGTTGGTATCTGTTGGACTGTTCTACTTGACCACCGAGAACGCTTATCCATCCACAGTTGTCGCTGTTATGGGCATCTGGAAAGAGGAATCTGAGCAGGTATGTTACGGTGTAGCTCGTCGGTGACAGTATAAAGTGATTCGCAGCTGGAGTCGAATCAATCATGGCTTAACAGTCTCATAGTCTCCGAAGAGCTGTAATTCAAGTCTGCAGCGAGCTCGTGAGTGCTAGTGCTGGTCTTCGAACTGCGGTTGGAGAGGTGTGATAACACAGAACTCCGTTCTCTGATTATCAAGCCGTGCTCAGATATCATCCTTAGTCCGTGCGAAGGCGATCTGCTGGCTTCGGAGGCAACATCTTTTCACATTTCAGGTTCGAATCACACTCATGCTGCAGTAGCACGTAAAAACTAATTAGACTTCCAGAAGCTGAAAAGATTGTCGACATTTTATTGAAACAGAGAACTCCGGTTAGAAGGAAGTGCACTTTCCGAGCTGATTTGGAAATTAAATTCCGTACTTGTGCAGATTTCTGCAATCCACCGTTTCGAGAATGGCGAGTCGCACGTCAAAGCAGCAGAAGAATTCACGTGTGCAGATGGTGAGCAGTGCCCTATTCGTGCATGTTCTTCCCACTGCATAAAGAAGAGTACCCTGACGCTCATTGGTAGTAAGAGTTCTGTGATGGATGCCAAGAGATCTCAAAGTTTTGATCACGAATGCATTAAATGCAAAGTGCACGAGATTCCGAGGACTTTATCAAAAGCAACTAATAATGCAGCGAATGTACGAGATGAAATCTTCTGTGCTTACTTCTCTCTCTTGTACCATTCTGTCTACAGCAGAATTTGTTCTCTCATAGTTCAAGCAGTGGATGTTATAATAACAACGAGAAAGACAGTGAGCTGATTCATGTAACTGCAGGTTGCGGAAGAAGAGGCGATGTTCGACGAGCAAGTGAGAGAAATCGAGGACTGGTGGCGAAGCGAGCGATTCCAGCACACGAGGAGACCATACACAGCGAAAGATGTGGCTCAACTGCGAGGCACTCTGCCACAATTCTACGCATCGGGTGAGCAGGCAAAGAAGCTCTGGAACCTACTCAAAGATCATCAAAGGAACAAGACCGCGTCACGAACCTTCGGGTCCTTGGATCCGGTCCAAGTCGCCCAAATGGCCAAGCACCTGGACACAGTCTACGTCTCGGGCTGGCAGTGTGCCTCCACAGCCTCCACGAGCAACGAGCCAGGGCCAGACCTGGCCGACTATCCCATGGACACCGTGCCCAACAAAGTCCAGCACCTCTTCCTGGCGCAGCAGTTCCACGACCGCAAGCAGCGCCAAGCTCGACTTTCCATGACCCAGCAGCAGAGATTCGACACCCCCTGCACAGACTTCCTTCCTCCTCTCATCGCAGACGCAGACACAGGCTTCGGTGCCACCACGGCCACAATCAAGCTCATCAAAATGTTCGTGGAGCGAGGAGCCGCAGGGATCCACATCGAGGATCAATCCTCGGTCACGAAAAAGTGCGGACACATGGGGGGCAAAGTCCTGGTTCCTACAACTGAGCACATCAACCGCCTCATCGCCTGCCGGCTGCAGTTCGACGTGATGGGGGTCGAGCAAATCCTCATCGCCAGGACGGACTCGGTCTCGGCCTCGTTGATTCAGAGCAACATCGACCCCAGCGACCACCCTTTCATTCTCGGAGCAAGCAACCCGTCCGTCATGGGGCGGTCTCTGGTTTCTGCCATCGCAGCGAAGAAAGGGCACGAGCTCAAACAGACCGAGGATGCTTGGCTCGCTGAAGCTCGAATTCGTTCGTTTGCCGACACCGTGGCCGACGAGATCAGGCACTTGGAGATCCCGGAAGCTGAGAGGAGCAAGCGCTTGCAGGAGTGGGTCGGGGCCTGCCATCAGCTGTCGCACTCCGAGGCTCGAGAGCTGGCCGAGCGGCTCGGAGTGCGACATGTTTTCTGGGACTGGGACCTTCCCCGGACTCGGGAGGGCTACTACCGATACGCCGGAGGCCTCGAGGCGGCGGTGGCCAGGGGCGTGGCATTTGCGCCGTATGCCGATCTGCTGTGGATGGAGACCGCCACTCCCGACCTCGAGCAGGCCAGGGACTTCGCCCGCGCGGTTCTGGCTCTGCACCCGCACATGATGCTGGCTTACAACCTCTCTCCGTCTTTCAATTGGGATGCGGCTCGCATGTCCGATCGAGAGATGGAGGATTTCATTCCGCAGCTCGCCCAGCTCGGCTTTGTGTGGCAGTTCATCACTCTGGCCGGCTTCCATGCCAACGCTCTGATGGTCGATCGGTTCGCCAAGGACTTCTCGGAGCAGGGCATGCTCGCTTACGTGCGCGACATCCAGCGCCAAGAGCGACGGCATGGAGTGGAGACTCTCGCCCACCAAACGTGGTCGGGAGCTTCGTATTATGACCAGGTTCTCAAGACCGTGCAAGGAGGTCACTCATCCACGGCTGCCATGCAAGCAGGTGCTGGTTCCTTCCATGATTCGAGCACAAGTGAATGTGAATCTGTAATTTGAGACTGATATTTCATGCTTGGCGATCGATTGACGTGCTGACAAACCCATCGAGGACTGTAGTATGGAGCCTTCTGAGCTCCTCGTGATCGTTTTTTGGTCATTGCATGGACGTCGGTCTGCCATCGTCGCCGTGCTACTACTGTACTGACGGTCTCGTCCCGTCGCAGGTGTCACTGAAGATCAGTTCAAACGAGTGGCGGGATCTCACGGTCAAGCCAAACTTTGAGCATCCCTGCACACAAATTCTTTCGGTCGACGCCAAATATGCTTTTCGGCTTGCATCGGCCCGGCGTATGCACACAGTTATTCAGCGTATGCGCAATCGATTTCTGATCCTGAAGCTCACACACGTTTGAAGTCGTATGTGGAGCTCTTGCATGTCCATCGCTGTCGTCATAAGACGTAATATTATATCGATAAGCCAGCGTACACATATATCAATATCATTCAGGTATATTATATTATCTCATTGCTAATCTTAGCTCCTGATTTGTAGATACCAGTCGAGTAGCGAGTCAAGCCGCAGGCTCTTGTAAAAGTTTGCAAGTTCGCGGAGTTGTCGCAGTGTGTGTCCCTTCACGAGTAAGCGTGATGTCGATGTACAAATTGAGGGAACGATGTGATTCACAGGGCCTGGAAATGTAACTGTTTCAGATATGACCAATTGGTCATGAACCCAACATTTGTTATTATTTCTGTATAAAACATTTCTATGATCTGAAGCATTGGTGGTACAAAAGAGGAAGAAGTTATGGTGATGAATACGTTGTCAAAAACACAAGCAAGTCGTCTTGGTCTATGACCTGGAATTGGTGCCTTGCGTACGAAAGAGAGAATATGAATTACTCGATCTCTCCGCGGAAACTGTCACATCACCTGCAGCGGGCTGTGTAACTTGTACCAAAAATTGGTTTGTATCGGAGACGTATTGTGTTGATATATATATATATATATATATATATATACTAAGTTGAGGCTGAAAGAAATGGTGAAGTTTTGCAGTTTCATGAATGTATGAATGGGAGCATGCAATCTATACAACCTGCATGCTCCCAGCGACACGGAGATTCTATTGGGCCTAGACACAGACCCTCCATTACCCTGGATTACCCTCGACAGAAAAACATTGCCTACCTGCCTACAAGCTTCTCGCTCTCTTCTTTCCTTTTCATTTCGGACTCGGCACGCAGGGCCGACCCATGAGTTCCAGGTTCAGCTCCTGCTATCAACCCATGACGATTCGCAGCACAAGTGACAATGTGGCAGGCAGCAGTCCAGCACCTGCCTGTGCTGGACTGCTATTTGAGCAATCGTGGACGACGATTGCTGTTCCTGTCACTCCTCGCAACGGTGCACAGGGCGGATCATCGCTTGATGCTCACTCGCCAAGCACGTGCAATGGCGACTGTTATATTATTCAACATATACGCGCGGCATCCCTCCTTCCCTCTCCTACGACCCCTCTACCCTCTCCAACCTTTATGAGTTTATCAATTCACTCAAGCTGTGACAATTTGGTACTTTTGTATCAAAAATTGTTAGCAGTTGCATGGTCTCTCGTTAGCAACTCTTGGAATTCTTGTGGCCATGGTTTTATTATTTCATTAAGTTTGCATCGTAGCAGTTGTGCATTCGTTCTACTTCTTGTGATATTTGTTTCACAGTTACGGGAATATCTATTTAATAGTATTCAAGTTGATTTGTAGGGATTATAGTTCTCTTTACTCAGGAAAGTTTTGATTATAGCGGGATGTCTGGAAGCTGATGCTGGTGAAACATTGTTTTGCAAGTCAATATGCCAAAGTGCAATGTACACGAATTGTTTCAGCGATTGACACCTCCGTATTTTCAGCGATTGAAAATACGGAGGAGTCATATAAATTCCGCCTTTGGATGAATGCTTGTATTTAGTTCAATGGGTTCCTCTGCTGTTCTTCAACATGATAGCTTTTTAAAGGATGCGTCGAAAGGTAGCTGAATAGGAAAACTTGGAAAGTAAAGATCTTGTATTTAGAGTTAACTCTTCTTCTAATACTGCTTATCGACTTCATTACATCCATATAAAGTTTGGCAAAACTTACAAAGACATTGATGAACAATTTGGATTGATGTCACAGGTGGGGTTTTCGTCAGTGGAAGCAGGACCGTTCGGCTGAAACATACTCGCAGCATTATGGTGAAAAATGTTCTGGATACTTCTTACTGTATAATAGCCTTTGGGATCTTCGGCTATGAATTTGGATTTGGCTATGGCTCATTGGCTGTAGGTTCGAAAGTGGCAAAGAAGACTTCTTCGGGTTGCGAGGTCAATTGGAATTCTCCTTCCAGTTTTCTTTCGTAGTTTTTTCTACAGCGATCATTGTTGGAGCTGTGGCTGAACACACACAACTGCTTGCTTACCCGGTGTACAGGTAGTGATCCCTCCCAGTTGAATCGGGTTGATAATATTTCAAAGCTGATGAGAGAATATGCCAGTAGGTAAATAATCTCACTATCTTCCAATTCTCATATCTGGTTCACTTGAGTCCGCAATCATCACGATTAGTGTTAGAAACAGATGGGCAAGATAGCATGTATTAAAATATGAATGTATAATAAAACACAGATGCGAGATGTAGATGGAATAGGATATTTCGATTGTGCTTGGATGAGACTAGCAAATAACAACTTCTTTTACAAGTCAAAGAGCTTATTAACTTGACGCGCGCAGAAAACTGTGTAATCTATTTATTTAGAATGTTCGCCGATAGATCAGAAACCACGGAACCGGCATCCTACTGCCTGGAAAATGCCGGATGAGAGTTTGGATCACAATAGAAGAACATGGCAAACGAGCTTCCGATGATCAAGACTCAGGAGAAGAAATTTTCTTCAATTTACTTCTTATTTATCAAAGGCACATCCTAGAGTAGTTTAGCGAAAAATTTGCTTAACAAAAATCTTTAACAACGCTAAAAGCAATGGTAATCCGGAAATTTCAGAGCGGACTCATATTATGGTGAAGGAGTTTTTTGTACATGCAAAATCATACAATAATTTCTGCATGTATGATCGATGCGACTGACTACACCAAATTTTACTCGTACCTATCACAAGCTCCCAGCTGAAGTATCATAATTAACCTTTAGAATGAATTTTTTTATATATTTGTACATGTAAACTTGTTCATATGAGACATGTTCTGTTTTTTTTCCTATGTATTATGAAAATAATTTCGTTTGTTTTCTTGGATACAATCTTGCAATACAGTTTATATTAAATAACTCATTCCACACTATACATTGGGCTGTTTTAATCGTTTAATTTCAAATAGAAATTTATAACTTATTCATCGAATTCATACTAAGCAATTTATACATATTTATTTGAAATGCGATGAATTACTTGATTTATTATGAAATCTATGCAAATAAGGATAAAAAATAATTTTCAGTATAATTTGTGAAATCACTATCGAATTCTCAAATTATAAACGAAATTTGTATCGCGTCTCATAATAATTGATGGGACAATACTAAAGTAAACATAAATTTACATGTCATTGCTAAAGACATCATAACAACTTCATTCTTATATCCTAGCTTTAAGTCTTTCCTAAAGTTTTATTCTTAGACCGGCTGGCCACATACTAACATGGTTCGATCCAACTCATTAATCGGTCACCCCATGGGTCATTCTAGCTTATTTAGCCTATACTTCTAAATTTTTATTTAATATGTATGTATTTCTACATAAAACTAAATTTGCACGACTACACCTGAACGCGAGTCATGTAGATGATTAACTGTTAATGGTGGAGGGTCTAATAATAAAGTTGATGTGTTTGGCAGTCAATGATTACTGCTGCAGCTATATTGCAATGTTATCAACCTAATTCAAATTATCTGGAATTAGTGCTCTTCGTTGCACAAGCTCGTAATCTGCTCTCCTTCACCGGCTATCTTCACAAGGTTCTACTTAAGCCGATTCAATGCTAGCCAAATTGAATGTACATTATCGTATGAATTCGTGTACGAGAAAATTCTCATCACGCCATGAGTAGATCTAAGAAGGCCTACGAAAGAGACCGTAGTCGGACTGTGTATGGTACAACGTTTGATGTTGTGGAAATGAAAACCTGTTTCTCAAGACTGGGATCAGAGTAATGAGACCTATGACAGTTGTGAACCCAACTGAAGCTCCTATTGCGAAGGCCGTCGTGGAGATATCATGAAAATACAAACTCCACGACGCTTCTTTCCTTGTAGTGAAGGTGCCAGGATGAAGCTCACCATCACAACTAAAAACGGAAGATTCACAGGGCTTGTTTATGGAACCTCCACAAAGTTTTGGATTCCCAGGCAGAAAAGATCCAGACAAGCGCGTGTCAAATGACTCTGCAACAAGAATGGACCGCATAGTTGATTGAGCGACAAGTTGAGATAACCCAAGCGCAGTCTGCTTGGCGACACAGGAATTGGACCCGATAGTTGGTTTTTCGATAAATCTAGGTCTAATAGGTCAATAATTTCTCCCTGCTCGGAGGGGATAGATCCTTCAAAATTGTTATCGTTCAAATACAGGTGAGTAAGACCGTGCAATGTGCACAACTCCTTGGGTAGTTCTCCAATAAGTTGATTGCCAGAAACGTCCATCAACGCCAACGTTTGCACGTAGGTGTACTCCAAAGTATTTTCTCCTCTTCTGAGAAATATGGAGTTGAAGTTTATCTTTTCATAAGAGTCGCTTGATGCCTTGAGTTTGCTCTTCACAGGTATCTTAAAGCTCACCAATCCTAAGAGATCCTGAGGCAATAGACCTGTGAAAGTGTTGGAAGAGAAGTCAAGCACTTGCAATGCGGGCAACTTCCAGATTGAAGAAGGTATGGAGCCACTAAAGTAGTTGGAAGCCAGACTCAAGTTTACCAGCGGATGATACTGATGTGGATTCATGACATCTAACTTCAGCACCCCCGAAAAGTGATTGTTACTCATATCCAACCACTCTAGATTATAGCAATTCCATAAAGTGACAGGGAAACAGTCCACTAAATTGGTGTCCACTGATAGACAAGAGAGTCAGATATTCCAATCCTCTGAAATCTATGTGCGTGAGCTGTCCTCCCAGAGAATTGTGACTCAGTGCGATCATCACCAGCGCTCTGCAGTTATTTAGGGTAACTGGAATGCTTCCGGTGAGATTGTTGTAGCTAAGTAATAGGCGTTCCAAGGTCTGTAGCTTCCCCAAATCCGGTGGAGTCTCACCTCACCAGTCAGATGGTTTTCATGCAGATGCAAGCTTTGGATGTTGGTGAGGTTGCCTAAATCCCGTGGAATCTCACCAGTCAGATGGTTGAAGGACAATGCCAAGAAGTAAATGTTGGTGAGTTTGCCTAAATCCGGTGGAATCTCACCAATCAGATGGTTGTCATACAGTCCCAAGAAGTATATGTGGGTGAAGTTGCCCAGCTGGCGGGGTATGGAGCCTGTTAGATTGTTAATTCCCAACTCCATCGCTAAGACATCCTGAAGGTTCGCCAAGCTAGCGGGAATCTTTCCCGTGAGCTCATTGTTACCCAAATGCAAATAATACAACTTTTTCAGGTATCCAAGCTCTTCAGGAATGCGTCCATCGAACTTATTTGAATCTAAATTCAAATATCTGAGTTGAGTCAGATTAACTAGGGCTGTGGGGATCTTTCCGGTAAAAGATTTGTTCCCCACATCGAGTATCGTGAGCCGAGACAGCTTTGCAAGTCCCACGGGTAGATGCCCTTGCAGTGCGTTATCTCGAAAACTAAGGTATTCGCATACGGTCAAATTCCCCACTTGATGTGGTACAGCTCCTGTGAAATTGTTATCGCTAAAACTGAGATGCTCCAGGTGTATAAGCTTTCCAAGCTCCTCTGGTATCACACCTGTGAAATTGTTCCACTCAAAACTGAGATACTTCAGGTGTAGAAGCTTTCCAAGCTCCTCTGGGATCACACCTGTAAGATGATTATTGCCGTAGAAGTCCAAGTACCACAACTTTGTGCAGTTTCCAAGGGACCTGGGAATGGTGCCTCTGAGTTGATTTGTAGCTGTCATGTGAAAGTCTTTCTCCGAATACCAGTTCACAGCTCCGAGATTCAGAAACCGTAGTTCCGAGAGCTTCCCGAACTCTTCTGGAATCGTTCCATTGAACCACGATCCCTGAGAGCCAAGGCTCAGTATCTGCAGGCCTGTCAAATTCCCAAGCTCTTTAGGAATGCTTCCGTGGAGCCAATTTTCTTCCAGGTTCAGGATTCGTAACCTCGAGAGCCGTCCTAACTCCGGAGGAATCTCGCTTTGCAAAAAGTTAAGGTTCAGATGGAGCTCTTCCAGGTACGTAAGATTGCACAAGGAAGGGCCCAACGAGCCAGTCAAATCCAGCGAAGACAAGTTGAGAGCAGTAACATGCAGCTGACGATTGCAAGTGACTCTGGTCCACGAACAGTACTCTGATCGCTTGTCAGGAGTCCAATCATCCAAGGCACCCTCCGAATAGTTTCCGATCCCGTCCTTGAACGCGAGAAGGGCATCAGCTTCCCTGAAAAAGGAACTTAACAGCTTAACTCAATCTGAAGCAGAATTGAATATTTGGCAATACGACGTTTCATTTGCTCATTCTGGTGACCTCGGTCACAATATGGAACATATCAAACGAAAACTGGAGCCGGAGTTTATCACTCACCCAAAGCTAACTTCCAGCAACGACAATGAGTGCGAGAACCCATGGGACCTGGAGTCGGTTTCGTGATAATGAAAAAATCCATCTCGAATGGGATGAATCTTTGAGGCATGAAATCCTAGATGGTCTGGATGATCTAGGTCCTTTTCCTTGAACTCTGCCTCACGAAGACGCTCATCGGAAAGAAGGTGGCCTTTACGGCTAGATTGGATGAAAGTTTTCTCAGACTCGGCAGATGTTGACTGATGCGAGAGCGATCTAGAGGCTTTGGAAGGCCAGTTCTCTCTCATGCAAGCCGTGGCAGACGAGCCAAGGAGAAAACATGCAAGAAGTACGATCAAATGACCCGGCGCCATCTTGACATCAATGTTACGGTGGGATTGGAGGTTGGAATGATGGGACTCAAGTCTGAGATTTATAGTTGCTGCTCCCAGAGCCCCGCTTTCGCTGTTTCTCAAGCAAGTGATGAAATGTCAACAAAGAGTTATTGAGCGCTTTCCCATTTAGATGTGTTCATTGACTAAAATAAACTGTACCCACAAGCTTTTCGACTTTTGGACCGGTCTAAGATTCCAAGCATGAATGGCAACATAATGAAGACCCTTAGTTTTATGAGCTCAGCAGGAAAACAGACTGTCAGCGCAGAGACGTTTCAGTCGGGATCCCCAATATCTCTGATTAGATCCATTGATTAGAGAAGAAGGTCGCATTTCGTACCAGCAAAAAGCTTGGAAGATGGCAGTCCTCTTTCGTTGCCTTTGAACTTCCCGAGTCTCTACCAGACTCGGGAAGTCCATTCTCGGAGCTTTCTGATCTGAGGTATCGTCGCTTGTAAGTTTGGAGAATTTGCGCCGAGAAAAGCGTCGTGACTGGAGTATCACTATGGAAACAGTGTTGGAACGTTTACTCTCTCGCAACACGCACAGCGCCCGAAGGACCAAATACGAAGTCTAGCCGCTAGTCTTCGTATTTCGTATTCGTATACGAAGACTAGCGGCTAGACGGGAGAATCGTCTTGCTTTTACAGACACTCAAGCTCGTAGCTCTGGGCTCGTCCCTCGTCGCTCACCATGGGTGTGGTCTGGCTCTCGAGTCAAAGAACAGGGCCTGGTTCTAGCGACGCAGATGTGCTTCGTCTATTAACAGTGCTGCAGCAGTATATATAGCATGTCAATATTCATCTCAGGTCTAATGACGAATAACAACTTCGGAAAGACATTGTCTTTCTGTACTCTTAATTTTTCTCCTGCTCTGCAAGTAATGCTTTCTACCATCCGAACTTGGAAAGGCGATTGGTCATAACGACAAAGTGGCAGTGGCAGAGCAAGAGAGCTTTACGTGTCAAGTATACATCAAACTTCACAGGTGGA